GTTGGTGTACGGTGCTATTTCAGGAATATTTTGATATTTTTTTCCTGTATTTTCTGTTTGCACAGTCACATAATCACTTTAAGATGTTTTCTTGTTCATGTTTTTTGTTTGTTGCGGTTGCACCCGATTCAAGACCCGAATGGCTCACAGGGCTATACCAAATAAATGAACTATGAACTATGAAGCGTAAGATGAGGATACAGCGTTCATACCTGGAGAAACCTCGACGATGAAGGAGACACCTGGAGAAGGGAGATGAACGGACAAGGGAAAAAAAATCTGACAAGAGGGAATAAAAATGAAAGAGTTAAATATGTTTTGATTCTCACAAAATAGGTCACCCACCTTTTCACCACCCAAATTGCCGAGGGCTGATTTCACCACCAGGGGGCGATCTTAATGAAAGATATCTCCATAAACGCCTCTTCCAGGCAGTTGACGTTACACCTCCACACTCCCAGGTGTGGGTCAACCAACAACATCCTCCCATTTACAATACAGGGTTGTTGTTGTTGTTGTTTTTTTGTTAGACCGCGTAAATATCCATGTCTCTGTGCTCCTTCACGAGGAGTCAGTGGCACCAAACCGATTTCCCGACTCACACACTTGTTTTCGAGCCCTCCGGAAAGTTCACGTCAGTACCTATGTATGTTGAACTTCGTTTGCACCGTACGTAGCCAACCGTGCTTAATTAATCGGAGGCGCGGCAGGTGGGGGGGGGGAACAAGAAATTAAACCAAAAGCTCCAACTCGACAGCACCTGCCGCCACTCTCTCAGCGTACTTTACCAACAATTTGCCGTGATATGAACCTTACAATTGAAACTGACCATGGGCAGAACCACACAGTATGATCATAAGTGGTGGTGGTGGGGCGGGGGGGTGGTGTAACGTGGTTTCCCAACACCATGGGTCGGCAAACCTGCGGCTCTTTGGCAGCCACCTTAAATCTTAAAAATAATTTAACATGAAGATAATTGATGGAATATGGCAGTGAATTGGGTCACTGTGGAATATCTTGGTGACACACTAAATAGACGCAGTTGATCCCATCACCCATTTTGTTTATGTAAGTCGGAATGTTTGTCATCTGCTGTATACCTGCTGTTTGTGGGAAAAGTAGCTTGGCGTGTGATGCGGCTCTCGAACTATTTGGGTAAAAAAAAAATGAAATGTTGCATTACACCAATGGGGAAAACGTGCAAGGGACGCTAACGCTCACACACAAAAACCCCCAACCCCCCCGTATAACCTTAACACACTTTTTGGTCAAGGGCTGTTAGCGAGCACCCATGAAGGCCGGCATGAAGACCTATGAAGACCGGACAATGTACAGCATGTGTGTTTAACTTCTTTCGCACCGTGCTTAGATAACCGCGCTAATCCGAGGTGCGGGAGAATAACAACAACAACAACGTAAATACAAAAAGCAGTTCTAAAGAAATTAGTTTTCAACCTAGGTGATTTAGCGGTGCATAGCACCAGTGGCTTCCTGGTATCGGAAGGAAGAGCGTTCCAGACGGCCGCAGAAGCGCACCTCAAAAAAGTGCGCGACGCAGTGACCGTCTTCCGGTTCCAATGGCTCGACAAAAGCCGCTGGCTGCGAGGCCGACTCGGAGTTCGCGCGATTGGTTCCTGCTCCTTGGCGAGAGGTCACAGAGGCGTGCACACGCGAGCGACTGCGACGACTTCTTGTGTTGAAGGTTGCGGACCTGCGACCGTGACAGCCCCGAGAGGTACAGCTATGAGTAGAGGGGGTGGTGGTGGGTGGTGGGTGCGAGGAGCAATACCCAAAGCTCGCCCCAGGCTGCCGCTTGCAAAACTGGCTGGGGACGTATTTATGTTTGTATGTTGAACTTCTTTCGCACCGTACGCAGTCAACCGTGCCAATCGGAGGCACGGGTGACACGTGCACACAACGTAGCCTGCGACTGTCTGAAGTCTCGGGGGATAACGGAATACACACAAATACCGCTTGCAGCTGTTTTCGAACACGAGCACACACTACGGTATGTTCAACATGCCGTGGGGGTGTAAAAAAAGGGCCTGGACAATCCCACAAAGTGAGGCAGGAGCATCGGAGGACTGGTGGTATGGTGTATGTCTTGTGTGTGTGTGTGTCCTGCCACGTATGTATCTGCACTTTGCTCACGAATCCTTGAAAGATCTGGACACATTCCCATCAGTGAGCTCCTCCGGCAGGTACGGCTGCGTTGGATGGGTCATGTAGCCCGCATTCCCAGTTACCACATGCCAAAGCAGCTTCTGTTTGGCCGGATAGAGGGGGCTAAACGGGCACGACATATGCTGGAGATAGACTGATGCGGTACAGGATGCGGAGCTGAGTGGACTTGCCTAAGACTGTTACGAGCAGTGTCAAGATTGGCCTCTACGGAGGAGGCTCGTGAAGGATGCTACCGGTTAATTGCAGGTAGTCACCCTCCAGCAACAACGGAGGGCGGAGGAGCATCGCTCACAACAACAAGCGGAGCGCCGGGCGGATAAAATCCAGCAAGTTGGCACAGTAGGGGGCATAGCTGGTGCATCAGCCAGTCATCTCAATCAGTCAACCCATGGCACCTAGGTCTGTCCCGTGACCTCCTGTCAACGTGCCCTCGAGACTTCACGTGGCCTCAAAGTGTACCTGGCCTGGCACAGGCGCTGTGTGGTGACATCACCGCTACTTCGTGGCGGCTGTTGTTGTGTACTTTGCACGGGTAACACTGGACGTGGTGTTTCCCCCCGAGTGTAAGAAGCCAATAGTCAAACCCAAAAATATATACAGTACTCTACGCTGCCCGCGGAATGTTGCACCGCACCGCCGCCAATCACTCTAAACGCACAGCAGACCCTTTCTTCGAACGGAGGCCAAAAACAACATGCTCTTAATGGGAATGTAGATTTGAAGTTATTTTGAATGGCTGATGTGCAAGTAATTGCGATTTGCCTGTACAGTAAGTTCATGGCCAGTTTAAACCTTTTTACAACGGGATTTCACGATTCACTGCGAGATGTCAAGCCTCCGCACTTAATTTAGGAAAAAGTTCCAGTTCTGCGAAATGTATCAGTTTAAAGAGCGTTTGATGAACATCTCTCCCTACAGCAGAATGGGTGGGGATGGCATTGCTCCCTACCGTGTGGATCTGAATACACCTGAAGGGAGTTCAGAGGTAGCTCTGTGATATCCGCTTCCATGGTGTCATCCAGGAACATAACAGAATGAACTGCTCTGCGAGAATTCTGAAGGGGTGTCTCGTGACATGACGTTACTAGTTCTACAAAAAGGCTCATTGCCCTCTTCACCTTTCTTTGTTAGTTAAGAATTTTCAATATCCAACACCCCATCTTTATTTAAACGTAACTATTAATCTGATAACTTCCTTTAATAACTGTTATTGCAATAGCTTAATTTTAATTCAACAGCTTAATTTCAATAGCTGGACTTCCACATATCACCGATTCCTTGGTAGGGGAGACAGGGTCTGCTCTTGCATGTTTTACAGCCATCACAGCACATTATATATCTGGACCTTGTTATACAACCCGATACAAGCCTGCTTATCATTGCTCAAGTCCCTTGCCCTTGACGAGTATGGGGGATAAATATCCATATTCCCCACCCCTTTTTCAAACCACTGTTGAATAAGTGCATTGCCATGCCATGCTCGGCATGATGGGGATTGATTGACCATTTTGGTCTGTGCGGGTTCGGGACCAGTTCAGATATCACTCGTCACTGATGTTCGCCATGAACGGGAATTAAACGTAGGTCACTGGGTTTACAGTTTGGTGCATTGATAATTGCACCACCACTCCGTACCAATGCCGATATTATGAATTCCAAATTTAGCAAACACCGTCAATTTTAAGAAATCTGCGAATGGATACTGTTTCCATTAATTAACGGAGGTTGCTGGGTGGCTCAGTGAGCAAATACCACGTCAGAATACTCAGCTGGCACCCAATAGATCCTGGGTTCAAATCAAGACAACCATCAAATAATTAATGAAGATGATTATGCTTTACTCAGGGAAGCCTCATCAAGTCTCATTACGATTTTTCAGGAGAGTCCTGCCAGGTTTTTACAACAGGGGTAATAAGTGTTATGTATATTCCATATTCGTATTTTTTTCTAAATTCGGACCGTGACTAATGCAGAATGGGGTTTACCCGTGCCAAAAATAAACCAACGGTTCACACTAACATCTTGGGATGCTTTACGTCCACCGTGATCACCCAGGCGGGCACTGGTTTCAAATCGTGAACATCTGCAACAAGTGGCAGATGCGCTACCGCTAAGCCATGTAACCAACCCATGATTGAACCACATTCTCGATTGTTGCGAGCTGACAGTACCATCCATGCCACCAATTACTGCACCACAACCTCCCATTTTTTGTATTTGGTGTATCACTTAATTTGGCATATTCAAACTGTGACGATAAAACAATGTGGCGAGATTACTGTGCGACAAGCACTACTCAAGTTGAACTACCCAGTGTGGTTAAAAGAACATCGAAGGGACATAAATATTTCAAATGTCCTTGTGGTGGTCGATCTCTGACACAAAGCGATGCAGGTTCCTTGCCAAAGTTCTGAATTGAAAATGCATTTAAGGCACGAGGTCACTCCATTTGCAAAGCTTTGTGAGGAGGAAAAAAAGCTTTGTGCATTAAACAAAAACCCAAATAAGCCATGGAAGAGGATGACTAGTGCTTCACAAATTCACCCATTCCAGATATTTTTTATTTATTTAAAGCTTTCATGACTGCAGGGATTCGTATTCTTGGTTCTTTCGGTAAAGTCACGTAGAAGGGAAACAATAAAATAATAAAAATATAAAACAATAAAACTCTCACGACGTTTTGACTGCAACACAAGCAATCATCAGGTGTGAAAACCACAGCAAGAACATTTGAAAAAAGTGGCGGTTTTTTTAACGTTAGCACCACGGAGAGCGATTTGGCAGTTATTCTTGCTGTGGTGTTTCACACCTCATGATGATTGCTTGTGTTGCAGTCGAAACGTCGTGAGAATTTTATTGTTTTATATTTTTATTATTTTATTGTTTCCCTTCTACGTGGTGACTTTACCGAAAGAACCAAGAATATCATTCCATAAAAAGCCTCTATGCAAGTACCTGCTTGCATGCATATGTAAGCGTGTAAGTGTACACATTTCATCACAAGCAATGAAGCAGTTTGAAATCAGTTGCTGAACTACTTCCCATTTTGCGAGCACCACTCCCTCCATTGTCGCACGAAATACAAAACAACTGCATGAAGACAACTGACTACGAAGCTGCACATTAAAATTTCACATTGCAACATAAAACTTCAAATGAACCAGATGGCCATTGCAATTGTGTTTAGGATGATCATTAAGACTATTAGAGTATGAATATAAAGACAAAGATCCCCCTTATAGCCTCAAAGGAATGTTGGGGCAAGTGCTGTTAGCGAGCACCTATGAAGGCCGGCACGACACACGAGGGGTGGGTGGGTGGCCGGCACCACGCCCGGCCGCCTTTGTCTCCCCAGTGACTACGTTTACACACTCAAATTAGTACATTGTGTGAGCCCACCTAGGGGAGGCCCAGAACAAATTCAAATATTCGTCACTGTTGTTGGCCGTGAGCAGCGCGCTAACCATTGCACCACCGTTCCCCTCATGCATACACGTGCATGTACGTACACAGACACCACGCGCATAAACTGGATCTATGATAAATGCAAAAGGTAATGTATAGATATAAAAAAATACAAAATTGTGACCGAAGGCTCGGTCTCCCTCCCATCTTGCCTTGAAACTCATATGGCCACCATGCGGATATGCACACATCCTTGTTTCGGACCACGCACGTTAAAAAAAAAACAGTGAAACGCGTGGTGGCCATGTTATTTTAGACTCCTTTGAATGAATTGGCGGTCTCAAACAAGGCTGCGTGTGCATTATACACACAGTATCGTGGTGTAACGCAGCGTGCAGAGGGGGCATGGTGGAAGGGATCTCCATCGCACCTTTCCCCCCTCCATAAATCGCACTGCGGGTTAAAGAGTGCGCTCCGGAAAGTAACGCAACCCAAAAAACTTGTTACACAAATCTGGTCAAGCACACACCCAACGTTTTCTTTAAACACAAGAGGGAAACCGCGTCTTAGAATCCGTACAATACGGCATCACTCGTATTAGCGTCCAGCCAGCTGTCAGAATTGGTTGACACACACACGGACGCGTGGTGCGGTGCGGTGCGCGCGCGTGCGTGCGTGCGTGCGCGTGTTCGTGTTCATAGTTCATCAGACGTGCGTGCTTGCTGCGCCTGCGGCTGAGACGCCTGGTGCAGAGGCGAAGGCCCAGGCTCGCCCTCCGTCTTTGTATCACCGGCGACGCCCAGTAGAGAGGCGAACATCTCAGCAGGGGCTGTGTACAGCTCCTCCATGCTTAGGGCGCCATCCCCATCACTGTCGCTGGCCTGGAACAACCGCGCGAGGATCTCACTGCCGTTCGTCTGGCCCCGTGCACGCAGCCATTCCTTCATCTCGCCCGGCGTGACCACGTCTCGCCCCTCAAAGTCCTCGAGCACCCGGGACCTCAGCAGCTCCAACGTGGACGCCATCCGGTAGTCGCTCAGAGGGACGCCCTCGGACGACGGCGTCTTCTCGCAGTCCGTCTGGTTGAACCAGCGGAGGTGCACGAACCAAAAGTTAACCGCAAGGCTCCTGCCCGCGTCCGAGTTCACCTGGTGGAGCCACTTGTACGGGACGAAGAAGCAGTCGCCGGCGTCCACCGTGGCGCTGTACCACCGCATGCGGCGCAGCCCCGGGTAGCGGTACATGTCCACGCGGTCCACGTCGACGCCGACGAGGAACTCCTCCTCGTCGGCGTCCTCGGCGGCGGCGGCGTCCGCGTGGCCCGACGCCAGGCGCGCGAGCTCCTCCCGGTCGGCCAGGAAGAAGCGCTTGCGTCCCGCGAGCACGCAGATCACGTTGTCCAGCGAGTCGTAGTGGAGCACCGATTTGGTGCCGCCGCCGCTGAGCCAGAGCACCGAGTCGACGAGCGACCGCTGGAGGCCGCCGCACGCGAGGCACGGCGGGGGCCACACCTCGGGGCGCATCGCCGCGGGCAGGCTGCACACCGCGTAGACGTCGTCGCGCGCGAACGAGCGCAGGAACGACGCCAGGCTGCTGCTGTAGACGCCCGCCGAGCGGTTCTCCTTCCTGCCCAGCTCCACGGTCACCTCGAGCGAGCCGTAGCGGCCGCTCAGGTAGGCGTCGTCGCACCAGCGCCGGTAGGCGGGCATGCGCGCCGCGGCGCCGCGGAGGAGCACGGGGCGGCCCGGCGACACGAAGTCGCGGAAGAAGGAGGACGCCGACGGAGGCGCGGAGAGAGACCACGCGTCGCCCTCGGGCGGGGCGTGCGAGCCCAGCGGTTTCATGTGGCCCGGTGGGTGGCCCGCGGCGGCGGTGGCCTCCGGCTGCGGGGGGGGTGGTGAGACGGACGTGGCAGCGGCGGCCTCGGCGGCCTCGGCGGGCGGTGAGGCCGACCACCACGGGTTGGCGCACCCGGGGGCCATCAGCGCCACGAGAAGTATTCGCAGCGTCGGCTGAAGGAGGCGCGCGCTCGTGCGCCGCGGCGGAGGAGGAGGAGGCGGCGACGTCCCGTGCTCGGCCATGCTAACGTCGACGCCGCGATTTGGGGGGGGGGGGGGCGGGAGGGGGGTGGGGGGAGCGGTCGGCCGAGAGCTCTGAGAGGAGCCGTGGGGCCCCCCAGGGCCGTGCGGGTTAAAACTGTTTTTGTTTTGTGTTTTTTACGCGGCTGGGCTCTACATCTTCCGCGCGGCCTAACGCTCACCTCCGTGCAGCTCGGTTGCCCTCTTACTTTCACTTTGCAGCCAAAGGTGGTGGTGGTGGTGATGATGCTGCTGACGAGGTGAGTTGGGAGCTAAACCTCGTCCAGTGATGGGAACTTCGGGGCCGCGGCCCTCATCTCACGAAGAGGAGGAGTGGGGGGGGGCGGAGCGAGAAAAAAAGTTAAGCTCACAGCGACACGGGAGCTCTAGCGAGTGCACAGCGAATCTGCAGTTCCGGCAGCTGAACATTGTTTTCTAAAAGTGTTTTGTTGTTGTTGTCGTCGTCGTCGTACCCCCAACATTAAGAAAATAATCCCACGTTCGTCTGTTTAAACATCTATTTAGAGCAACTAATTGAGATCAGGGTAAAAATTTAATTCCACATCTCTGTCTCCTCCCCCTGCCATCTCCACCTACGCCACAGTTGGTTTCGCCCACAGCAACTTGGAGGACGTGGCTAGCCCCGCCCCCCCACCCCCCTGCCTTCACCCCCCCACCCTCTCTGCCTTCACCCCCCACCCTCTCTGCCTTCACCCCCCCACCCTCCCTGCCTTCACCCACCCTCCCTGCCTTCACCCACCCTCCCTGCCTTCACCCACCCTCCCTGCCTTCACCCACCCTCCCTGCCTTCACCCACCCTCCCTGCCTTCACCCACCCTCCCTGCCTTCACCCACCCTCCCTGCCTTCACCCACCCTCCCTGCCTTCACCCACCCTCCCTGCCTTCACCCACCCCTCCCTGCCTTCACCCCCCCACCCTCCCTGCCTTCACCCCCCCACCCTCCCTCCCTTCACCCACCCCTCCCTGCCTTCACCCCCCCACCCTCCCTGCCTTCACCCCCCCCTCCCTGCCTTCACCCCCCACCCTCCCTCCCTTCACCCACCCCCACCCTCCCTGCCTTCACCCCCCCTCCCTGCCTTCACCCCCCCCACCCTCCCTCCCTTCACCCACCCCCACCCTCCCTCCCTTCACCCACCCTCCCTGCCTTCACCCCCTCCCTCCCTGCCTTCACACACCCCATCCACACGTGATGAAGTGTGGCCATGCAATATATGGGGGATAAACGGCGTTACCCTAGGTGGTGGGGCCATCGTTGCAACGCCCCCCTCTGTCAATACACTGCAGGGACGAAGGCCTTCCCACTTGACGTTTCAACAATATGGCTGTTGCTTTACCATACAAGCGCTTCACCACCCGAGTGCGTACGGATTGTTGAAGAGGAGTTGTCCAGCGAGACCGAGTGCAAGGTGGACACGATCGATACTGATGACGTTGGCCATGGCCCCGGAGTTTGCCTCGCGTGGCCGGATTCATCGCGCATGTGCGGCGCTAATTGCTGCGCCACCACTCTCTCAGCCCCGATAGGAGCCGTCCATAAATGACGTCACGCGATTTTGGACGATTTTTGACCCCCCCCTCCTCCCCAATCGTCACACGGCGTCACAAAAAGTCAGACCCCCCCCCCCCTCAAATATGACGTCACAAAGCTCTGACCCCCTCCCCAAAAATATATATATATAAAACATGCTTCAAATATTGATTTAAAGCTTTCGTGACTGCAGTGATTCATATTCTTAGCTCTTTCGGTAAAGTCACGTTGAAGGGAAACAATAAAATAATAAAATATATACATAACAATAAAAATTCTCACGACGTTTCGACCATAACGCAAACACCTGATGATGACCGTTTGCGTTATGGTCGAAACGTCGTGAGAATTTTTATTGTTTCATATATATTTTATTATTTTATTGTTTCCCTTCAACGTGACTTTACCGAAAGAGCTAAGAATATGCTTCAAATCGCTTTAAACTATTGTCATTGTAGTGCGTATTTAATGTGCCGCTGCACTCTGATGTTGTAGGAGAAAATATTAATTAAAAAGTCTATTTAATTAAGTAGAAACGTGTTGTGTATATTTATTTAAAGTTGCGCATTTTGATGTGACGTCACATTTCTCAAACCCTCCCCCCCCCCCCTTGTCACACATCGTCACAAATGTCTGGCACCCCCCCCCCCCCACCCCAGGTGTGTGACGTCATTTATGGACGGCCCCACAGTTCATGATGCACTACAGTACTAATCGTGTTGTATTTAAGTTTGAGGGATCAGAATTAAGAATAATGTGAGTTACAATGCCAAACTACCCCCCCCCCGCCCAAAGCGTGCCCTTGACCATGACCAAATCACAGAATACACTCACTTTCCGGAAAGTGAGTTGAGTGAATAGATCACGGGTCGGAAACCCGAATAACAATAAGAGCCATTTTGACTTAAAGCTTTCGTGACTGCAGGGATTCATATTCTTGGTTCTTTCGGTAAAGTCACCACGTAGAAGGGAAACAATAAAATAATAAAAATATAAAAAAACAATAAAATTCTCACGACGTTTCGACTGCAACTGATGATGACTGCTTGTGTTGCAGTCGAAACGTCGTGAGAATTTTATTGTTTTATATTTTTATTATTTTATTGTTTCCCTTCTACGTGGTGGTGACTTTACCGAAAGAACCAATAACAATAAGAGCCATGTCTTCGAATTGGGTTAAACAGACGCTATATTTCAAGAGCTGCAACGCGAATACGAGACGGTCCTTAATAAGTGACGTGACGAAGCAGTCCTTCAAGAGCCGCAGTTTGCCGACTCCTAGGATGATAGATGGTTGATTCTGGATAGTCCTTGGGTGGGCAACCACCATGCAGAATAGGTGTTATTGGCTCCGGTATTGTGTGGCAGTCGAGGGGATGTGCATCACAATCGATTGTTTGTAACGTTATGTCCCATGCACGTCGATGCTCCCCGCCCTCACCATCTGCAACACTCACCGCCCATTGTGCTAAAATACCGTACGGCCAATAATACTGTGTAGGAACCTCCTGGTTACTACACCAGCCCACAGGGGATTATTGTGTCCGTCCGTCCGTCGTGCATCCAAAACTGAGAGGGGTAGAGCTGGGTGGAGAGGGGAGGGCGGGGCTGAGTGGGGAGGGAGGGGCTGGGTGGGGAGGGAGGGGCTGGGTGAGGAGGGGAGGGAGGGGAGGGGCTGGGTGGGGGGGTGGGAGGAGTGGGGAGGGGCTGGGTAGGGAGGGTGGGGAGGGGCTGGGTGAGGCTGGGCGGAGGGTGGGAGGGGTGGGGTTGGGTGGGGAGGGGCTGGTCACCCCGTGGTGCCCTTATAAAACTCAACGTTTAACCTACTCACGCCGGCTTGTGCCCGCCTTCACAGTCGGGCATATTTGTGGAATACACCACGTGGTGCCGCTGTTGTTGTTGACCCTGGCCACTGACCGAGCAACCCAACGTTCCTACCAGCTCCCTCCGCAGGAATGTGTTTATCACACCGATCCTCACGGCGTGGAGAGGCCCTCAAACCAACAGTGGTTTGACAAACATCTCTAAATGTTACTCTTCTCTGGTCTCATAGAACAAAGCTGATGATTTATTGTTGATTCTGAAGTAATGAATGTGGTCTTGTTACCGCAGGTTTTGATGAACTGTATTTTGAAATGAATGTCCTTCATCCATAATGAAATAATTTTGTGGATTATATCGCGTAAATATAAATGTGTCTTTAACCCACCACCACCCGACTTAGCCAATTAGTAAGGTTTGTTACGTAAACAAAATGTGACAATTGGTTACTACTTCAGCACACCGGTGTGTTGGAGAGAAACCCACGACATTGTTCTATGTACACGATCTAACCCAATAAAATAATGGATTTTGGTCTCGAAAGGCTACGTGTGAAACCAATATGTCCTTTATTTTTTTTAATAAAAAGTGAGAGCCCGTCGATATTCATGACCATATATTTTACTATGAAGGCCTAGTTCTAGTCACGAAAATAGCATTTAAAAAATATGTTCGTGTCATTTTTCAAACGAGCTGCGGTTAGGGGGACATGAAATTGGCGATGTGAATAATATTTGGTGCTGATAATGTTAAGGCTAGTGATGCATAATACGATTCTGTTGCTGACAAGTGATGTAATAATTGTTTCGTTTTATAGTGTTTTTTTAATGCAAATTGCACTTGACAATCACTGAGGAGCCAAAGATAAGCTGCAATTAAGGCAGTCATGTGCCAACAATTTCCCAAGCTCAGCAGTCTTCTATATATATTCTTGGTTCTTTCGGTAAAGTCACGTAGAAGGGAAACAATCAAATAATAAAAAATATCATCATCAGGTGTGAAACCCACAGCAAGAAATTTTGAAAAAAGTGCTGTGGTTTTCACACCTGGTGATGATTGCTTGTGTTGCAGTCGAAACGTCGTGAGAATTGTATTCTTGTTTATATTTTTATGATTGTATTGTTTCCCTTCTACGTGACTTTACCGAAAGAACCAAGAATATGAATCCCTGCAGTCACGAAAGCTTTACATCAAAATTTTACACGTTTTATTGTTTTAATTTTTTATTTGGTATAGCCCTGTGAGCCATTCGGCTCTTGAATCGGGTACAACCGCAACAACAAAAAAAACAATAACATGAACAAGAAAACATCTTAAAGTGACTATGTGACTGTGCAAACAGAACATCCAGGAAAAAAAACCTGCAAAAATATTCCAGAAAACGCACCGTACACCAACGCTGTGTGCAAAAATCCCAGTGGGATGCAAGTCAAACAACAACAACCACAAGAAAACTTAGATTTAGGCCATCAATCTAACTCCGTACTACAACAAACAAACATGGCCAAACCAAAAAACTTTTCGAAATCACCAAAATAAAGCCATAAAAGCATTTTTTTTAAAGTATGCACTCACATAAGGCCGTATATCTGATGGTGTGTATAATACATTATTTTTACATTATTTTTTAACAACTTAATTTAGAGAGACAGATGTGATGGAAACATTGCTTATTTAATGTATTTATATTCGACGCGAATAACTATTTAGAATTTTACATCAGAGTAAAAAAATAAATGTAACTGAATAGTTTTCATTTTTTTAAAATGTGTAAAAGTAGCTTTCAAATGCTGCAAAAATCAGCCACCCTGTCGACGTACAGTGCTCCGAAAAAGTTTGTGAACCACAATAATAATTATGGAAATTCCATCGTATTACCATAATAGTCTTCTTCAATCAAAACCCTCTGTTAAATATCCAATGGGGTTTATATTAACCAATTCCGTGTATTTTGAAACAAAATTATGTATTAATTAAACAAGCAATTAGTATTCTATGGTTCTTTCGGTAAAGTCACGTAGATAGAAAAAATAATACAGAAAAAAAAGTTATTCAAAATATCACGACGTTTCGGTCGCAACACAAGCGGTCGTCAACAGGAAGAGGGAGGTTAGCCTCTGAGGACAAGCTGTTTATAAAGGTTTAGAGATGGGCGGGGCAGCTAATGTTAGGACTTAGATTAAGATCTAATAAAATTTTAGATTTGAAATATGTGAAAAGCCTAAGGGGTTCACAAACATTTTCTCGGCACTAGCTTATTTTTCCTGCGACGATCATTTGCCATATGCAAATTATTGGCTTTTACTGCTCTCTGTATCCTAGCAATGCGATAATAAGGCTACGTGTGAGTGTAAGGGCATGCGTTTTATGCCCCCTTCCCGAGTCCAACGCTAGTAAGCGGGACAGCACGGCATCAGAAGGTAAAACGTCGTAAGTGCTTGACAAAACTCACTTAGGACAGCCAGTGCTTTAACCGAGTCGCTGAGTGAAAACCAGCACTCGAGAGCCCAACCAACTTGCCGTATACCCCCCCCACCACCAGCCTTGTTTCCTCTCTGCATACCCCTACCAATATATGTGCAGGTTTTATAATTGATATAATGTTTGAAGAATTGTATTTTCACATAAAATGCAAAGTTAACACTTCATAACATCCCCTTCATAAAGTGAAAATGAAAGACAAGCCAGGGTGTGATTGTGACCATGCAACCTAAACTATGGACTAAATAGTAAACTACTGTAGTCTGTGCCCCCTCAATGGAGGAGGAATACAAAAACTGCACGAACTGTCTTCTGAAGCCCGCTCGTGGCCAGCAGACCTCGACATTGACATTCAGCTCCTGCACATATAATAATGTTGTTTCTCTTCAACGTGACTTTACCGAAAAAACTAAGAATATGAATTACTGCAGTCACGAAAGCTTTAAATCAAAAAGTTAATTTAATGTCCACAATGTAACAGTGGATCTGGTTGAGTGGCCTCGTTCCCCCCAGGATGGTGTTGCCGCCGCTGCTCATGGCCCAAGACCACTTCAATTTCTTAACAATTTGAACTTTATCATTAACTGGCATGTGTTCGATAATCCACGTGCTCCTCTTTCTGTCTCGTAGTTTAATTCCAAGCGTGCATCTCTCCATGCTTTTTTCTGCACTTAGTATTTTGTTATATTGTCACCATATTCAGATCGACATTCGACTGATGCTGATGCTTAAGCCGAAAAAGTTGCTACTCTCACTGAGGATGATGATGGTAATGATGCTGCCAATGCTGTTCTACTTCTATCATTATTGCATTTTCGAGTTGGTATATTGATGGCTAATGTCTGTTGGCGATACATGATCTCATTATCTATGCTTGTGCGCCATTGCCAACGAAGCATCGCAAGCATGTTCATGGGTATTATTGGCGAGATACCCAGGGTAACAGGGGAAATGTGCAAAAGCCAACAGTGTCGAGGGTGACCTCTTGTTAAAGTCAATAACACATTCCTGCGGAGGGAGCTGGTAGGAACGTTGGGTTGCTCGGTCAGTGGCCAGGGTCAACGGCGGCACGTGGTGTATTCCGCAAATATGCCTGACTGTGAGGGCGGGCACAAGCCGGCGTGAGTAGGTTAAACGTTGAGTTTTATAAGGGCACCACGGGGTGTCCAGCCCCTCGGCACCCAGCCCCACCCCTCCCACCCCCCACCTAGCCCCACCCTCCCCTTTTTCCCCTCCCCACCCAGCCCCTCCCCACTCTCCCGTCTCCACCCAGCCCCACCCCTCCCATTTTTGGATGCACGACGGACGGACGGACACAATAATCCCCTGTGGGCTGGTGTAACCAGGAGGTTCCTACCAGTATTATGGGTGATGTTACGTTGGCAGTGGTACACAAGAACAAATAACTATTGACAGATTCGCCAATAACACTGCCTTGAAAGGAAATGGCCCTTCGTCATATAAACTTTTTCTAAACTATATTTACTTTACCAGGTAAGACCCACTGAGCTATATAGCTCTTTTTTCAGAAGCGACCTGGCTACAAATGATAGCTCAACGAATGTAATTATCATGTGGAACTGTATAGCAGCCAAATACTCTAAACGCATGGAGGGAAAAACCGGAGGACCCGGAGAAAAATCCACGAGACCACGGGGAGAACGTGCACACTTCAGATATACAACAGGCGTCAGGGTGGGGATCAGACCCACGATGTCCTGTATATCAGGCGAGGTAGTAAACATCTCACCACCGTGGCCAGGGACAGTGGATAATACAAGTTGGAGACTAGAGTTTACACTACGAGACCTGTTCCGGATTACATTTTTAAAATGTGTCATGATGAACAGTTTTTAAATTGGCATATGAAGTTACCTCGTAGCTACTTAAGATGGTCCATTGCTTAAAACGTCAACTATAATAGTGTTAATACATTATGTACTTTGTAAGGCAGCGTTATTAACAAATGTGTTGAGTTTTTTCACGAGTCGCCAATGAGAAACCTAAAAACCCTCAAATAATAAAAAATGTATTACAACATAAACTCATTTGTGTTAAAAGTAAGCGTAGAAAATGTTGCAGGTACATTGCATTTTCGTTAATCCACGTTGCAGCGGGTTCAGCAAAACCATCATTAGCATGTCCTTGGCTAATTGCGAGGCTCTTAAAACTTCTTGTCAAACTCACTCTCTGGCACTCTATTTGTGCTGTGAAGAGCCATTGCCCGAAACGTCGCCTATCATTAATAGACATTTTTTTTCTTTGTCAGGCCACGGTGTTATTGGCGAATGTTTTGGGTTCGCTTGTGCACCACTGCCTTCGTTCGTTCGCTCGTTTCTCAATGCGCTTGTCTTAGTGAGAGGGTCGCGACGGCAGCATGTTGAGTCGGGCGTTCCAGCAGCAAAAATAGCTTGATATCTCATGGGATTCCTCCAGGATAAATACATATTCTGATCTATATGAATAAACACCTTCATCTGTATGTATGTATGTCTCAAAACCCTATAGGGTAGTTCCAGACAAGGTAGAACGATGACATTTGGTACATAGCTTTTAGGACACAAACAGGAAAATTTGGAATATCCGAGGTTTTTAATTTTAAGGCCCCCAAATCTCGATTTTAAGTGCCCCGTTAACATGTTTGTGCGTGTCATTCAGAAACCGTTCGCAATATAAGATTACGGATGTTTTCGTTTGGTAGCGCGTTAAACAGCAATTAAAATTAAAGCGAGAGACATTTTTCTTTCATTTTTGTTGAGATATTTCGGATTAAAGCGGATTTGGACGAAAAAATACGCATTTATTTCATGACTTTCAAATCTGAATAATTCGAAAACGGTAAAGGATAGGAGCTTCCCCTCAAAGAGTATTAAGTTAATTAATGTTAGTTTTTTGTTCTGTTAAAAATAGAACGGAATCTTTATATTTAACGGTTTCCGATGAGTATGTAGGTCTTGAAATGTTGAAGTCGTTAACAATAAAAAAATGTGGAAAAATGCAAATTTTTGGAGTAAGTTGTTCGTGTCTGATCGTAGATAAAAATTGTAAAGTATATATCTATATCAGGTTAATTATTATATGTATTGAATCAGAATAAATATTATGATAAATATTCTGATTCTGACCACAACTCAAAACCAACCCCGACGTCACTGCTAAGGGCGCTTCCACTGGCGATGACGTTCCACCGACAATGACGTCATCTCGCTCCGGTAATTCACAGGACGTGAGGGCGGTTGGCGTGACGTCATCGCGCACGAAGCAGGCCGCCACAAAACGCCGGCGACGTCACGACGCACGGGGCGTGACGACGCTTCACGAAGCACGGGGCGTGACGACGCGTCACGACGCACGGGGCGTACGACGCGGCACGTCACGACCCACGGGGCGTGACGACGCGTCACGACGCACGGGGCGTACGACGCGGTACGTCACGACGCACAGGGCGTGCGACGCGTCACGGCGCACGGGGCGTAACGACGCGTCACGACGCACGGGGCGTTACGTCACGACGCACAGGGAGCGCGTTGTCCAGGGCCCGGAGTCACCGGGACTGGGGCTGCGACTCGTCGCGAGTAAGACGCGGCGGAGGCGGCGAGTTTCTGCGTCTCCCCTGTCTCCCCTGTCTCTCCCCTGTCTCTCCTTGTCTCATCACGGACCGCCGTGTCTGGTCACCGTGTGTTTCCACGATCCGCTGTGTCTGCCTGTCTCCACACAGAGGCAACAATGCACTCCTGCTGTCTTGGTACTACTGTACGTAGCCAGCGCGTGCTAATCGGGTATCCGCGAGTTCTCCCGTGTCTCAACACGAATCTCCCCGAATGTCTCCACTCGGAGTCTCATTGTATCTTTGTCTCACCACGAGTCCGTATTAATATTTTTTTTTGCGCGATGCGTCCCCCTGCCTCGAATGTCCCCGCACGAGTCGCGTCTTCCCGTCTCGATGTGTCCCGTGTTTCCCTGTCCCCGTGTCTCATTGCATATCACCGATTTCCACTGTCTCTCGCCTCTCGTCCCCCGTAATTGTCTCGCTGCATGATTGTCTTGTGCGTGCCCTTGAGACGATGTGTCCTGTAACTGCTCGTCTCGCTGTGTCCTTGTATTTTAATCTGTCCACGCGTCTCAACGTGTCCTTGTGTCTGCCTGTGCTCGTCCTGCCTGCCTTCTCGTCTGTGGGAAAAGAGCTTCATAGCTCATCGGATTACTCGAGTATAAATAAAAGAGTCCCGATTGTTCTCCCGTGTCTCTCCACAAAGCTGAATCTCCACTGATCACGACACCATGTCGTGGTGCGTGCGCGCGCTATGAGCGATGTTTTCATAGCAGAATGGGTATGGGTCCACGTGCCTTTTAAAGTGCACCACGCTGACGTCACCGCTGTGGTGATCACAGTTTCAGTTTCGCGTTTATTTGGTACGAGGGGGTGGGTGACAGCACCACGCCCGGCCGCCTTTGTCACCCCAGCGGCGATGTTCACACATCAGACCACTTACTCGTTTGAGGCTGAGTTGACCTAGGGGAGGCCCAGGACCGGTTAAAATAATCGTCATCGGTGGTGGCCGTGAGCGGGAATCGAACTCGGGTCGCCGGGTTCGTAGCGCAGCGGCACGCTAACCACTACACTACAATGCGTTACGCTTCCACACAGACACACAGACAGACACACAGACACACACAGACAGCCACACACACAGACACACACACACGGACACGTACACAGCGCGCTAACCGCTACACTACAATGCGTTACGCTTCCACACAGACAGACAGACACAACAACAACAACAACCGCCATTCGCCACTAAGTGGCGGTGACGTCACCACGACGCTTGTGCCAGGCTATGTGCACCCTGAGGCCACGTGAAGTGTCGAACGCCCGCTGGCAGGAGGTCACGGGGCAGACCCAGGTGCCACGGGTCGACTGACTGAGATGACTGGCTGATGCACCACCTGTGCCCCCTACTGTGCCAACCTGCTGTGCTTTAGCCACCCGGCGCTCCGCTCGCTGTTGTGAGCGTCGCTCCTCCGCCCTCCGTTGTTGTTGGAGGGCGACTGCCTCCAACTGCCCAGTAGCATCCTTCACGAGCCTCCTCCACAGAGGCCGATCTTGACACCGCTGGTACCAGTCATCGGCAAGTCCACTCAGCTCCACGTCCTCCTGTACCACATCACTCCATCTCTTCTCTAGCCCGTGCCGCGCCCGCTTAGCCCCCTCAATCCGGCCAAACAAAAGCTGTTTCGGCATGCGGTGGCTGGGCATGCGGGCTACATGACCCAGCCATCGCAGCCTTGCCTGCCGGAGGAGCTCACCGATGGGACCCTGCCCAGATCTTTCAAGGATTTGTGAGCTCCTCACACAATCCAGTCTGGTTAAACCCAGGATGGATCGTAGGCAGGCCAGCCTAAATGTTTCTAACCGGCGAAGATGTTCCATTAGGGGGGTCCACGTTTCGCAAGCATAGAGAAGGGAGGGAATGACCGTGGCCGAGAAGACCTGAAGCTTAGTGCGGAGCGACAGACCAGGTAGCTTCCACACAGCGTTACGCAACCGATGAAAAGATATTGCCGCTCGACTGATTCGGAGTGAGACCTCTGCTGTTAAACTGGAGCCAGTCATAAGCACACTGCCCAGGTATGGGAAACTCTCCACTCTCTCCACAACTGCCCCATCACCGATTGGGAGTTGTGGTGGTGGAGTGTCCGATGGTACAAAATACCCAGGCAGGTGCTTAGTTTTGGTGGGGCTGATGGTAAGGCCCCACCTCTTAGTGGCATGCTCCAGTCTCAGCAGCAGCGTCTCCAACTCCTCCTCTGACTGAGCAGCTATTACCAAGTCATCAGCATACATAACGTGGTTGAGCAATAGGGAGCCATCCCTTGACCGCACCCGGGCATCGATTAGCCTCCCATTATATCTGTACCATATGGAGATTCCCCCGGTACAGCTATTGAAGGCTTCACGAACTACGTGGTCAAAATAGATGTTAAATAATGTGGGAGCCAAAGGACATCCCTGTCGCACCCCAAGGTGTACAGGGAATGGCTCTGACTCCCGGCCACGTAGTTTTACCCGGACCCGCTCACCATCATGAAGGTCCTTAATGATCGTGAGCAGAGGGTCAGGTACTCCAAAAGCACGAAGAACGACCCAGAGCCCAGGCCTACTGATGGTATCATAGGCCTTGACCAGGTCAATAAAGCAGAGATGTAGGTCTTGTTGGAATTCCCTACACCTCTGCTGTAGCAGACGGACAGAAAATATGGCATCTGTGCAGGACCGCCCTTTCCTGAAACCGCATTGGGGCTCCGCAAGCCTCTCCTCAGCGTGCCTGGCAAGGCGATGCTGAATAATCCTTGCCAGGACCTTTCCCGGCACACTGAGGAGTGAGATGCCCCTGTAGTTGTTACAGTCTGTGCGGTCCCCCTTCTTAAAAAGGGGGACCACCAGGGCATCCTTCCAATTCTGCGGAACCCGTCCAGTGGTCCAGACTGTTGTTATGATGTCATATAGGGCAGTCTGTGCACAAACGCCACCCTCCCTCAGCATTTCGCTCGGGAGATCATCTCTGCCCGCTGCCTTTCCTGGTCTCAGACTCCGGATCGCCTTCAATACTTCCTCAGCAGATGGCACCTCAGCCAGCCACTCACAGGGGGTGACTTCATCCAATATTTGAGGCACCGCAGCCTCAGCAGGGTCATCCTCACTTTGTGCCGCGATGTTTTCCTGGCTGAGGGATTTTCCCTCCCCCAGGACCTCACAGAAATGCTCAGCAAATCTGCGAACCTGTTCCTGGGGGTCGGAAATTGGATCACCGTTTTTTCCCCTAATGATGGTAATAGGTGTGGCGCTGCAGGTTACTTTTTTGATGGAGTTAAATAGAGATTTGTGATCACGGGCCACTGAGGCAGACTCCATCTCCTCAGCAACCCGCGACCACCACCCATCCTTGCAGCGCCTCACGGCTCTCCGAACCTCCGAGCGAAGGCTGCGGTAAGCCTCCTCATTCTCTGACGTGGGATTCTGTAGCCGATGACAGTGGGCCTGTCGCTTTTTCTCAACCATCCTGAACAACTCCTCTGTCATCCAGGGTGTCTGGGGAGGTCTGGACCGCGTAACCAAAGCAGCCATTGCAGCTGCATGAGTCACAGTCCTAAACCTCGCCCATTTACCCTCGACATCAGGAGGAGTCGGGGACGATGCCAATCCCAGCCGCAAGCGATGATGAAATTCTCGCTTGCAACTTTCATCAGATAACTGAGACCAGGCCACTTTAGGTTGGAATGGGGTACTGGGTGTACACCCACCACCGGAGTGGAAGAATGGCAGGCGCATCTTACAGATGACTAGTCGATGGTCAGAGGGCAGATCAGCTCCACGGTAGGTCCTGGTGTCAAGGACATGGGCTCGCATTCGCTGGTCCGTCACTATGTAGTCCAGCAGATGTTCTTGCTTGGACCCGGCATGCATCCATGATGTTGTGTGGATGCGCCGATGCCGGAACAGCGTGTTGGTAATTACAAGCCCATGGGCTGCACAAAAATCTAGCAGCCTCCTACCGTTGTTATTGAGCTGATCTGGCCCATGCCCTCCAATCACTCCAGACCAGGTGCCAGTATCATGACCAACTCGGGCATTGAAGTCACCCAACATGATGACTCTATCCCGAGGGGCCACTTTAGCCAGCACCTGTGACAGGAGGTCATAGAAGGCATCTGACTCATCGGCTTTGCCTGCATCCCTCCACGGATGTTCATCTTCGGTGGGGGCATAAGTAACCACGACCACCATTCCTCGCCTCCGGTTGATGGGAAGGCGAGCCCAAAGTAGCCTGGGGCTTACAGCTTCCCACACCTCACCGCCACGCTCCCACGCCCCCTTCATTCTTTTGTTCAAAAGAAGACCCACACCCTGTTGTTTGGCAGTCTGCTGCCCCGAGTAGAGGACTGTCCACCCCTCATGGTGGCAGGAGCCAGAGCCGGTCCACCGGACCTCCTGAATGCCGCATAGATCCAGGCGGTACCGGTCCAGCTCCCGACAGAGGAGTGGCAGCCTCTCCTCTGCAGTGAGCGTTCGAACATTCCACGTGGCCAACCGTAGTGGCTTTTCGTTGTTTCTGGAGTAGCCCCGAGGGTAGGTATTCAATCTCCTGGCTCCGCCAATTGGGGTTTGGCCAGGAGACGTCATAGACGCCTGGCCCCCCGGGGCCTCCGGCACAAGCTTAGTTGTTACATATTTTATTCGTAGTTTCGTGGTAATTAATTGAAGGTGGAGGGGTTACCAGCCCCTCGCACCCGTCCAGACACATACACACAGACACACACATAGACACAGAAAGACACACAGACACAGAAAGACACACACACAGACACATACACAGCGTGCTAACCACTTCACTACAATGCGTTACGCTTCCACACACACACAGACACACACACAGACAGATAGACAGACACACAGACAGACACACAGACATACACAACGCGCTAACCACTACACTACAATGCGTTACGCTTCCACATGCGAGGGTCACGTGACAGATTTGACGTCACAGCTCACTTGCCGTGCAAAAAAAATCATTATTGAGATCCCCCCCCCCGCCAAAAAAAGTGTATTTTTATAATGTTTGCATGTTGTACAGTCTGGAAAGTACCCACATGGCAAATTTCAAGTTTGTTGCATGTCGGGAAGTACGCTAAACATTTTGAACAGACACACACAATCACAACTTTACCTTTTATATTATATGGAGATAGCCCTGTGAGCCATTCGGCTCTTGAATCGGATGCAACCGCAACAAACAAAAACATGAACAAGAAAAACATCTTAAAGTGACTACGCGCAAACAGAAACATCCTGGGATAAACAGCAAAGTCTTCCAGAAAAAGCACCGTACAGTATATCAATGCTGCGTGCAGAAAATCACACTACATCGTTACCAGCTACTGCTCAACGTCAGTAGCGAATTGTGTCTTAAACGAGTTCAGTACTAGGTGCTTTGTGCACTGGAGAGAGTGAATAAGGCGGCTGGCGAGGTTTTCACAGCACTTGCCCCAACAGTCTGTTAAGGCTATACAGGAGGTGGGGGGGATCTTTTGGCTTTGACCAAATCACCTGAAATATACCTGATTTCGACGGATCTCAGAACCTACAACACCTGGGTGATTACCAGTTGTAGGTTTTTCTGGCTGCGAGGTAGTTAGGGAGATGATGGCATTGCTAAGTGTTTCCCTATTACCGTGTGTAGATCTCCCCCCCCCCCCCCCCAGAGTTCCTCAGTAATGTATCCTCAAATGTTGCTAAAAACTCATTCATGGAATTGGCCAAACAACCCCCCAAATGCAGGACCCTCCTGGGAGAAAAAAGAGCTCAGATCCAGTGAGGCTTTTCGGGGCAATGTTTTGGTTACTGTGCTAGGAATTATCTGTGCTGAAACCACAACCATTCGTATACATTGTGTGCAGTGCAGGTCTTGATAGGAGACTGCAAACAACATTTAATCTCAGGTTGTTCACACTCAAGGGGAATATTTGCTTTTATACGGATTAGAATTTGTCGTGGCGTAATTGTGGTGATGAAAGTGGTGCACCGGTTTTCTTATGTTACTTTGGATATGTACGATGCGAAATAAGTTCAACATGCACAATGATTAACTGGGTAGTGCAGTGGTTAGCGAGCTTCACTACAAACCCGGCGACCGGAGTTCGATTCCCACCCATGGCCAACTCCAGTGACGATTATCTGACCCGTCCTGGGCCACCCCTAGGTCGACTCAGCCACAAATGAGTACCTGTGCAATGTGTAAACATTGCCAATAGGGAGACGAAAGTGACCGGGCGTGATGCTGGCAACCCATCCATGCGTACCGTGCCGGCCTTCATAGGTGCTCGCGAACAGCACTAGCCCCAAACGTGTGTGAAGGCTATATGGGGGATGTTTGTCTTGTGTTCCCTGCTACAGGATGGGGGTGGGGTGGGGAGAGGTTTGGGGGCTGCTGGGACTGGCGGCGGTTGGAGTCTATGTCCTGTGGGGTCCTTCAACTCGTACATCACGAAAAAAAGGTACTGCTCACTGATATCACACACACTACACACTAAATGTATGTTGAACTTCTTTCACACCGTACGTAGCCAACCGTGCTAAACGGAGGTGCACCATATATACCACAATCTCACCTACTGACTTCAATCACACGCTACATACACACAATATACTACACAACCTCACCAACTCTCTGAAACGCACTCACTACATACGCACCATGTGAAACACAATCTCACCTGTCTGAAATCACACTGCATACACACCACATACGACACAATCTCACCACTGCTAAAATAAAATATACTGCACACCATATACTGCACAATCTAACTGCGATAATACACACTGCACATGCACTTCATACTACAGTCTCACCTGTATCATACACACTACTTTGACCACACGTCACATAACGCACCACCGTTGCGCACATGTGTACCATCCACAAAGTAACCATGCCACATTTTTCGAGGCCAGAAAAATAATATATCACTCGGCAGACAAAGTTTAGTTTCGTTGCCAAATAAGAGAAGACAAAAGCACATTTTTAATCAGGCAATACAATCAGGGGCGGAGCTACAGGGGGGGCTGGGGGGGGTTCAGCCCTCCCTGAAATTTTGGGAAAGTCGGCAATCGGGATAACCGGATATCCGGCTGCTGCAAAATGCTGCAGGCTGCCACCTTGTGTGCTGCCCTGCAGACTGCCCCCTTGTGTGCTGCCCTGCAGGCTGCCACCTTGTGTGCTGCCCTGCAGGCTGCCACCTTGTGCTGCCCTGCAGGCTGCCACCTTGTGTGCTGCCTTGCAGGCTGCCACCTTGTGTGCTGCCCTGCAGGCTGTCACCTTGTGTGCTGCCCTGCAGGCTGCCACCCTGTGTGCTGCCCTGCAGACTGTCACCTTGTGTGCTGCCCTGCAGACTGCTTGAGCGGCAGCCTTTCGAACTTATCGAACTTATTAGCCACATCAGCGGCTCCGACCTATTAATAAACTCCGCGTTCAAATCCAATAAAAAATGTTGGTACATTTTTGACGCCCATTGGAAAACATAAACACTGGATATCTCAGAATATTGAAGTCAGCCCCCCCAAAGTCAAAGTCAAAATCCTGGCTCCGCCTCTGAATACAATCCATTCTTGTCTTGCACAGTTTTTCTCTGCTATGTTAAACAGGCCCCGTAGTTGCATAAACCACCAAGAAACGTTTGTTTAACAGGCCACACCCTGCTGGTAAAACTCAAAATCAAACCAGATCAGTGCTTGCCTGATTTAAAAAAGAATGCAGCTGTCAAGATTACCATTATAGGGATCAATGAGACCTGTGTTTTATTTGCATGATACCATGTGCACACATAGTGGTGTTGCATTTCTTTATAGCGCTCACTGCGCTATGAACTTGGTGACCCAAGTTTGATTCCCGGCCACATATAAACATCAGTGGTGAGCGATATCTGAATTCGTCCCGGGCTCCCCCTTCACAAATCCACATCGACCAGCATAGTGAGTTACGGTCAAACAACTGTCATGATAACACGGCATAGGGAGACCTTCAGCATACCCAAGGCTTCATTTCTCACTGAATATTATATCGGGTCGCCGATAGACTGAACTTTTGCTGGTTACGTGGTACCGGGTGCCCGAAATAATTCCAGACACACGGACATTAAGCCCAGCATATATCACATTCTGTATTAGGGTTGTTAAGCAATCGTCATTAAACCATAACATTTTTCCAAAATCGAACATCGATTCTGAAAGTCAGGAACAAGTTATCGTTTCCGGTGAGATCTTGTATGTATGTTGAGCTTCTTCGGCACTCCACGTAGCCAACCGTGCTGATCAGAGGTATGGGGGAAAAGACAACAAACTAAATACAAAAAGCCGTATTAAAGAAATTAGTTATCAATCTAGATTTAAAGTGCATAGCTCCAGTGGTTTCCAAAATATCGGAAGGAATAGCGTTCCAGACGGCCGCTACAAGGATGGCCAGAGTTTGCGTGATGGTTTATGATCTTTGTCGAGATCAGCAAGGTATTGTGGTTCGTTTGTGGCAAGGAATGCAGCTGAGCGAGCACCAGACGGACATGGTCGGATCTTGCAGTAAGCGTCACGACACGTGCAAGAGAAAATTGACAACGCTGCAGCTTGCTAATGTTTTTTGCCAGGCGTCAAGGTGTTCGTAGTGAATGCACTCACTGGCACGTGCAAACGTTCAAACCGCACGGCGGTCTGAAGTCACCACATTGTACATTTACCATTATTAATTAGAAGGTAAAGGTGCAAGTCTGTAATTGCTTCCTTGCTCATGCTACTGCTGGTGGAAGGGTCTGCTCCAGCGAGAGTTGTAGAGGATATCTGGTGTACTCTTCTTTGCTGACCAGACCTGGTGAAAGAGGCGGCCTTGCCTACACTTAACTCTCCCACACATGACCTCCAATCGACTAACTGCGGTGTACCCATTTACACTACTTGAGTGGACATAGGTGGGGAGGGGAATTAAAGAAAAGTTGCCCCATTGTTTCAACTGCCATGCCGGGAGATCAATTGAACCGGCGACCTCAGGATCACAATTTCATTGTGAAAACCATTCCACCGTGGCAGCTACATGTCACGCCTATTTATCGACAATTCTGTACGTGAGTCAATGTGTTAACCATTTTACGTGATTACCTCTAATGCAAAAATACAATGTTAACAACCTGCCACGTGTGCAGTCCATCACGCACACTCAATCCAACCCACGTACGCAACAGACACACCAGACTTAAGCGCTCAGCTTATCATACACTATGCTTAAATCGTTTACCATACCATTCACCGCTAACATACCAATGTACAAATTCACCCAGAATGTGCCCCATTTCTTCACATCTCAGAAGCTAAGCAGAGTTGAGCCTGAATCGCGCTTGGATGGCTTTAGGAGGTCAATCAATATAAAGCATACTTGGTTTTACACATAAGCGTGTGTTTGTGGGCAGCGGTAGTGTAGCGGTTAGCGCAGTGCACTACGGACCCGGTTGATCAAGTTCAACTTCCGCTCACGGCCAACACCAGTGACGAATATCTAAACTGGTCCTGGGCTTTACTCTAGGTCGACTCGGCCTCAAATGAGCACCTGGTATGGTGTGAAAACACCGTTACTAGGGAGACAAAGGCATTTGGACGTGGTGCTGGGCACCCACCCCCGTGTGTGCCGCGCCGGGCTTCAAAGGTGCTCGCTCACAGCACTTGCCCCAAAACTCTATTTAAGCTATACGGGGGATCTTTGTTTTTGTGTGTGTGCAGGTCTTGTACCGGGCCTGCGAAACATTGGGAACGCGTGTTACCTGAACGCACTGCTGCAAGCCCTCGCCACGTGCGCGCCTCTGCACGCCTGGTTACAGGGCACCGACTCAAACCCTGGCTCGGAGCCGGAGCACGGCACGAACGAGCGAATGCACAATGAGTGTCACGCTCACAGCAGTGACGCGCGCACGCCGGGCCCGTGTCACAAGCAGGAAGAGGTTACTCACGGCGGTGACACGGACGCGCATAGCATTGACGCGGGTTTCAGTGGGATTAAGGCTGACGCACGCAGTAATAACACAGAAGCATACGGCATTAACACGGACACACCCGGTAGTAACACAGACACACACAGCATTGATACTGACACACAGCAAATGAACACTGACACGCTTGACACTAACACAGAGGCGCACGGCATTAACACAGAGACGCACGGCATTAACACAGAGGCGCACGGCATTAACACAGAGACGCACGGCAATAACATAGTGCCACACGGCATTATCACAGACACACAGCAAATTGACACTGAGACACCCAGCATTAATACAGAGACGCACGGCATTAACGCGAACGCATATAGCACGAATACAGACAGTCACAGCGATAGCACGCAAAAGACAGACGCACAGAGCATTAACACAGACACCGATGACTTGCATACGGACAGGTACAGCAATAATAAGCACAACACAGACACCGGCAGCATGAACAATGACACGCACGACGTGCACACATACAGCACTGACAAGGACACGGGCAGCACTGTCACCCACAACGTTAACGTACACGAGACAAATGGCAATGGCACTAACCCAGACAGCATGAACACAGACGTACGTGACGGGAACACAGACGGCATTGATGCAGGCATACAGAGCATTGAAACACAAAGCAGCGGCAAGAACACAGACAACGACGGTGCACACAGCGCTGACTTGGACGCACGCACGATGAATGTGAACGGTAACAGCAAAGACTCGGACAGACATCGACTCAACACGGACACACGTAACAATAATGCAGACACGGAAACCAACAGCACAGACACGTATTGCGTCGACACACGTAACACGGACACGGGCAAGGGCGGCATTGACACAGAAGCACACGGCAATAATATTGCCACGCGCGTCATTGGCACAGACGCACACAGTGCTGACACGGACGCGCACAACAGTCAAACGGAAAGGTACCACGCTAACGCGCACATGCACAGCAGTGATGAAGGCAGGCACGACACTAGCACAGGGACACACCGCACGAACACGCATGCACACAGCAGTGATACGTATATATGTGACGTGAACACAGACACAAGTAGTGCTGGCGCAGACGCACGTACTAACGTGGACATAGAGGACAAAAACATAGCCACGCGGAGCAGGAACACAGATGCACGCCACACGAGCACAGACATTCACTGCAATGACACAGACAGACGCCACACTAGCACAGGCACGCACGCCATTGACGCGCCAGCCTCGAGCTCCTTTGAGAGCGTTGCGTCTGAAGTCGGCGAGGACCCAGGCCTGGGTTGCGGCCGCTTCATCGTCCGCCGAAGCAGCGACTCGAGCGCTCGTGAGGGCAGGGCCCCGAGCGGTCACCTTCACTCCGCTCTGCTGGGAATGCTGAGAGGTGAGGACCACAGAGCAGCAGCTCGTGATTTTTGTTTTTTTATCGCCGTTTGCCGAGCGCTGGTCAAAAACGGCCAGTGATCGGCGACAAACAGCAGGATAACAACTCGGCGAAAGGAGACGGTGGAAGGGAATTATGTATATCAAAGGTAGAACTCATTAATTTTCTGCTTTATGCTGCCATGCAACGTGTGGGATCTCCATCTCATGGTTTGGTCTGGTCCATGTGAGTAGGAGCTTATTTTTCGAGGGAGTCTATTAGGGTGGTTATTTGGTAGGCAAGGGCATGTAATGATGCATCCGTTTTATAGATTAAAGTCAATTCTACGATTCTTACACTCTCTACAAGTCTTGAGGAGTTCCCGACGACGACTTGGAGACGGCTTGGAGGTTAAGGGCTTTCGCCGTAAGTTTATTAGAGTTATTCCAATACACAAAGGGTGTAACAACTCCTAAGCTAGGTCCTTCCACACGACCCTACTCTGTCTGGTCCCTGCCCGGCTAGCTCCGGTCTCTCTCCCTCGAGTCGGATGGGGGAATTTGCCAACCCCACCGACCGGGAAGAGCAGCACCTCCTACGGCTACCACCGGCTTCCTTCCAGACTCACCACTTGGTCGCTCTTCACCCTTCTTACTCTACGCGTTCCCACAGTGACCCCGCTTTCGTCATGGGGTCCGCCTGAAGTACTCTACGAGACATGACGTCATCGAGCCGCCCAGCCCGCATGACGTCACGTTCCCATTTTACTTCTCTACACAAGCATCAAAACTTGTGTATGTGAGAATGTATTTTTTAATGCAAATTATATGCTATAAATCTGTATTTTGCGTGCCAATATTGCACTCAATAATATAGGCATCGGTGCACAGTACAGCAGAATGAGAACAGTACAGGGGCACCTCCGATTAGCGCGATTGGCTACGTATGGTGCGAAAGAAGTTCAACATGCATACATAGAGCAACAGGCATGACCTCGTCTTACATTTATTTGAATGGAGCAAAACGTATACATGAGATGAACAAAACTAAAAACAATATGAGATGACAAGAAACAATTGCGTCTTGAATAGGATTGCCACTCAGATTTGTGACAATTCAATTAGTGGCTGGATAAATTCATAAAATGATGCTCATTGTCACCACCTAACTGAGTTAGTCCTTGGCTTGACGTGAAGCCATGCATGTGAATCTGCGCCCTCTACTCCGCGATCCTCTCCCCGACTGTTGTCTTGCTGCAAGTGCTCATGGGAGAAGGGGATGCGGCGGATGCCCCAGTGCATGCTGGGCCAGTGTTGGAGGCTCTGCGATCACATGGTTGGGAGATCCCGGCACATCAGGAGCAGGTGACCATCATCATCATTCACTATTTATATCACGCCTGCCATGCAGTATTTCTGAAGGCACCAGCACAAATTGGTCATTGAAATAATTACTCGGTAAGGAAGTGATTGCAGACCAAATGACCTGGAATGTGCCCGATCTCATTACACCTCGTGAGCTAAGCGGGAGTTGAGCCATTATTGTACTGTACTTGTATGCACCCATAAACTCTCTACCGTCACCAACCCACACTGACCAGTGTGTTATTGTCAAATAATCCTCTGTGTGATCCACACGACATTTGGGAGGTCCTCGTCCAGCATCGGATTGAGTAACGAGTTCTGTTCTTTTTCGACCAAAGGACGCCCACGAGCTGTTCGCTGTTGTGATGACGACGCTGGAGGAAGAGAGGCAGGGAAGGTCATCGCTTGCATTTTTCGGACTGCAGCTGCAGGTATTGGTGTGCATGTGTGCATAAAGCAATAACCAAAAAGACACAATATCCCCCGTATATAAACTTTGGTTGCAGTAGCTCTCTCGCTACATTTCTTCCTGCCTCAGCAGTCCGCCTGCTGTATTGTTTCACCTGAAGACGATTTGCTTGTGTTGCGATCGAAGCGTCTTGATCTATTGGTTATTTTTCTACCTACGTGACTTTACCGAAAGAACCAAAGAGTATAAATTCCTGCAGTCACGAAAGCTTCAAATGAAGTGTATTATTACGATATAACAATGTTTTTTTTTAATGTGAGCAACCATTGTGAAGACCAGCCACTTGCTACATTAAGGACCTTACTTATATGTAGCGGTGGCCTCACTTAAAACCCAGGATCTCAGCAATGCAGGATCAGTGGTTCGACATTGTTTAGCCCCTGTGAGCCACCCTGGCCACCTCCCATTGTAGTGTACGCAATGCGACCCTTTGAAAGAGACGTAATGAATCTCGCTGATGATGGAGTTTGACCAATTGTTTGTTACAGAGGCTGCCAATGCTGGAGTCAGCTGGAGTGGTCAACAGAGTGACTGGTAACTCACCATCATCACCAATTCTATCACCACATCTCCATGACCAACACTGTCACCTTCATTATCAGATCATTAACAGTCCTTAAGATCACTGTGTAATGTCCATTTACATCATCATGAACACCATCTCTCGCATTCCATATCATCATTTCTCCCTTCATTGTTATGGCATCACTGTAAGCACATCAGCGTTAGAAGACTGCCAGTTCACATTCTCAGCCTTTCAGATTTCTTACTCTTTGGTTCTTTCGGTAAAGTCACGTAGGTGACTTAACCGTGACTTTACTGTGACTGTACCGTGACTTTACCGTGACTTTACCGTAAGAACCAAAGAGTATGGATTCCTGCAGTCACGAAAGCTTCAAATCAAGATTTCAGATTTCTTGATTCGTTGAATGACTACACCTTTGTTGGAAGGTAGTAGTTGTGCATCTAGAGACACTGGCCCCTACTATTGGAGGAATGTGGGATTCCCATCAATGGTGCAGCACTGTGAATGTCGATGAGCACTGAGGAAGGCTTATTTGAGCATGGAAACACTTTCAGTTTGTATAAACAAATTGCCATCCATTTATATCACATTACCACTGCCACCATTCCCCATTGCCATCATGAACAAAATCTCCATCATCACAGCTCTGATCCCCTAGTTAAAATGCATATTGGGAAGTGTTCATCTTAGTAAACTGTCCTGATCTAGTGGTGAAATTCCATGTTGCCTTGGCAGGAACCAGGTTATCGGTCCTGATAATCAATCCAAATGAGGCAGTACAAAAAAAAACAAGACAAAACGTATAAGTAATGGAATCTAAATGAGACCCTGAGACCATGTATACACAGACAGCAGTCACTGTCAACTTCCCACGAGCAATCTTCACATACGGGGCTGCTTATACAAACCTGAGGGATGACCATAGTGAATAGGCCTACAATCAGGGGTGGAGCCACAGGGAGGGCTGGGGGGGGGGGGGGCTCGGCCCCTTCTGAAATTTTGGGAAAGTCGGTAATCGGGATAACCGGATATCCGGCTGCTGCAAAATGCTGCAGGCTGCCACCTTGTGTGCTGCCCTGCAGGCTGTCACCTTGTGCGCTGCCCTGCAGGCTGTCACCTTGTGCGCTGCCCTGCAGGCTGCCACCTTGTGTGCTGCCCTGCAGGCTGCCACCTTGTGCTGCCCTGCAGGCTGTCACCTTGTGTGCTGCCCTGCAGGCTGCCACCTTGTGTGCTGCCCTGCAGGCTGCCACCTTGCGTGCTGCCCTGTAGGCTGCCACCTTGTGTGCTGCCCTGCAGGCTGCCACCTCGTGCTGCCCTGCAGGCTGCCACCCTGTGCTGCCCTGCAGGCTGCCACCTTGTGCTGCCACCTTGTGTGCTGCCCTGCAGGCTGCCACCTCGTGCTGCCCCTGCAGGCTGATTGAGTGGCAGCCTTTCGAACTTATCGAACTTATTAGCCACATCAGCGGCTCCGTCCTATTAATAAACTCCGTGTTCAAATCCAATAAAATTAGTTGTATGCATTTGTGGCGCCCATTGGAAAACATAAACACTGGATATCTCAGAATACTGAAGTCAGCCCCCCCCCCCCAAAGTCAAAATCCTGGCTCTGCCCCTGCCTACAATTAATCACTCCCACCTGCAGTGATTGGATGAATTGCCTCAATTCAGTCTCTCACTTGAATGCCATTACGTATTCGTTCGGTGTTGTTTTTTACTGCCTCGTTTGTATTGTGTCTCTGATTATTTTGTCTTATTTAGTCTAACCCATTAGTGTAATCATAACATACCCATGTCAATTGCACATAATGATGATAAATTTGTAATTAATTGAGTCTCAGCGCACGTAATTCAATGCATGTAATGTGAGCTAACAAGCCATTTTTACACGCTTTTATTTAACGCGCTCGTTGTTGTATCCTCAAATCTCGTAACTCAATTTTAACCCACTTCCCAATGTAGTGTTGACTGCAAACTTGGTATACTTATGTCATACTGATGACAATACTATATTCTATCATAAAAAATAAAAAATAAATGTTCATATTTAAACGTTATTTTTTTATATGTTATGTTTCGGCTTGGGTCTAATTGTCCACGGTCAACTGACGTTGGCTGTAATTGCCCACGGCGCCTTACGTTGTGGCGAGCTTCGGGGCCACTTCCTGGGGTCGTGGAGTTCTTCCATTACTACAGTACATTCATGTTTACCATGTGACGATCGATCTACTGCTGAATGGCTGCTATGAATCTCTACGCGATGTGCTTCTTCGTCGAGCTATCGTTTGTGGCCAGGTAGGTTCTGCAAAAAGCGTGTGTAAAAAAAAAAAAAAAAGTGTTTTTTAATTATATATTATTCATTGAAGAATTAGTACATGCCTAGTGGTTGAAATGCTGGCTAGGATTTGAACTGGTTGTGTCATGCTTGAGGGGGGGCCCTGTCGTGCCACTTGTATCCTCGGCTTCAGTTGCTTGATTGCGAGGGGCGTTTGAAGCAGGTGAGTAAGTGGCGCGCTGGCGTTCTAAACACCTGCCTTGTGCCCGGCCATCAGGAGGCCTCCACGTTCCTCTGGCCAAGACCAGGGTGTCCCCTTTCCTCGGCCGATTTGCGATCACCCTGCAGTGCACGCGGTGCAAACACAAGGTGAGCGTGCATTCGCGCACGTACGCGCACAGACGCTCGCACTTTCCCATGCACGCTGTAGTGCATACGCATCCTCCAATGCACACCGTAGTGCATACGACCCTATGTGCAAAGCCAATGGTTCTCCGTGTAGCCTACATAGTCTGTGTCAGCGAGTGCTGCTAGCGAGCGCCTATTAAGGCCGGCACGGCGCTCGAGGGAGCGGTGTTTCCAGCGCTACGCCCGACCGCCTTTGTATCCCCAGTGCTGAGCTTCACACTCGCACCAGATACTAATTTTAGGGCGAATCGGGGATGCCCAGAGCTAATTCGGATATCTACAGCCTGGCTTCGCAAAAGCTTGCCTACAAAGACAAAGCTTTTAAGAGATTGTTGGGGGCAAGTGCTATTATTAGCGAGCACCTATGAAGGCCGGCAACGGCATACGAGGGGGTGGGTGGCCAGCACCATGCCCGGCCGCCTTTGTCTCCCTAGTGGCTATGTTACCACGCCAGGTACTCATTTGAGGCTGAGTCGACCTAGGAAAGGCCCTGGACCGGTTCAGATAATCGTCACCGGTGTTGGCCATGAGCGGAAATTGAACTCGGGTCACCAGGTTCATAGTGTGGTACACTAACCGCCACACCACCACTCCCCACCTCAACGCATTTGCACACAAAGACACGCAGAGACACGCAAACCCGTACACATACAAGCATGGTGTACTCTGCATTGGCAAAAAGTCAATGCATTTCCCTGCTCAAGTGACTGTACACGCTGGTGCATATCTAGATTTCTGGCCACGTGCGAGTAGTTAAACATTCCACATGTGCAAGTCGTTAAACGTTCCACATGCTATGGCCCTTTGGAGCCTTCCGAGAGGACAACCGGGTTCGTAGGGCTAACTGCTAAACTACCGTTCCATGCAGTGACAAGCATGTATACACAAATACACACACATTCATGCCTACACACTGATTACACACATATGCACACACAAGTATACACACATATCCAGATACGTGCATGCAAGTATGGGCATATTGAATACAGAAAGATGTAGCTTTATATATCATTAATTTCTTTTACACCGTACGTAGCCAACCATGCTATTCAGAGGTGGTGTAGGCGTATATATCTACAGCCAGGTGCAGGGGTGGAGCCAGGATTTTAACTTTGGGCGGGGGCTGACTTCAATATTCTGAGATATCCAGTTTATAATAACAATCTCTTAAAAGACAAAGCTTTTACGAGATTGTTGGGGGCAAGTGCTATTATTAGCGAGCACCTATGAAGGCCGGCAACGGCATACGAGGGGGTGGGTGGCCAGCACCATGCCCGGCCGCCTTTGTCTCCCTAGTGGCTATGTTACCACACCAGGTACTCATTTGAGGCTGAGTCGACCTAGGAGAGGCCCTGGACCGGTTCAGATAATCGTCACCGGTGTTGGCCATGAGCGGAAATTGAACTCGGGTCGCCGGGTTTTGTAGCGCAACGTGCTAAATGCCACACTGCCACTCCCCTTACAAGTGTAGTGACTGACTTGGAGACGTAAGTTCTTGGAGGCAGCTCGTTAATTAACACCGAGCACACTTTGTAGAATACACACCCTACACTGTTACACACTCTCCTCTGTCTCTCGCTTATACACAACTCTACACTTGGTTGCTAGCCTACACACAGCGCTAGCCATCTCACACTGACGGCGCTGAACTAAGGCAGCCAACTACCGTCTAGCAGCGCAATATCAAGTGACGACAACGACGAAGGCGGAGAGACAACCGCGATGATGGTGACGATCTTCAGCAGCAACGGCGACGGGGATCCCACTCCAAACGACAGCCCCGAGGCACCTTCCCGGGGCCCCTCTTATACTGTGAGCGTGGCTTGGCTCCGCACTGGCCACGAGTCCCTTCTGTCACCTACATCCCTCTCTGGTCTATCACGTGGCCTGCTGTCAGTCAGGGCTGCTAACACATTCCTGCGGAGGGAGCGTGTAGGAACGTTGGGTTGCTCGGTCAATGGCCAGGGTCAACGGCGGCGTGGTGTATTCCGCAAATATGCCCGACTGTGGGTGGGTGACCAGGAGGAAGTAGAGTTTTGCACATTTGGGAATGATGATGTCCGTGATGTCCTTTGTGATGTTGATGACGATGGTGGTGGTGATGCTGAGAATGCTAGAGAATGATGATGTTGATGACATCGGTCTTGTTTTTTCAGGGTCCCGTGAGGCTTGAGAGCTTTGAAAGCATCTCGCTCCCAATCCCTCCCAACAAGCACGTAAGCACACGCGCACAGACATTGCACAAACACATTCCTGCGGAGGGAGCTGGTTGGAACGTTGGGTTGCTCGGTCAGTGGCCAGGGTGAACAGCGGCGTGGTGTATTCCGCAAATATGCCCAACTGTGAGGGTGGGCACAAGCCGGCGTGAGTAGGTGAAACGTTGAGTTTTATAAGGGCACCACGGGGTGACCAGCCCCTCCCCACCCAGCCCCACCCTTCCCACCCCCCATCCAGCCCCATCCTCCCCACCCATCCCCTCCCCACCCAGCCCCTCCCCACCCAGCCCCTCCCCACCCTCCCGTCCCCACCCAGCCCCTCCCTCCCCACCCAGCCCCTCCCCACCCTCCCCTCTCCACCCAGCCCCACCCCTCCCATTTTTGGATGCATGACGGACGGACACAATAATCCCCTGTGGGATAGTGTAACCAGAGGTTCCTACCAGTAATATCCTTAGCATAGCCTCACACAGACTGTTGGGGTGAGTGTTGTGAGCGAACACCTATTGAGGCTAACCCGGCAGATCACCATGGCACGTCGACTTTGTCTTCTCAAGGCTAATGTTTGAATAAACGACACTAGGTACCAGTTTTAAGGCTAAGTCAAGTCGACTTTATTGATCACATACCGATGCATACATGAGGTACATGGCAGTGATATTCTTTGTTCCCGTGTCGCTCTCTCGCAGCTTTTGCAAATTAACAACAGCAATGTAAACAGCAGCAACAATATTTTAAAATCTCTTTTTTAAAAATGTCTAAAAAAACTAAGTAAAATCGCTGTGCAGATGATAAAAGTGACATGTGCATAGCAGAAACAGGGACCATTGTGGGTGAGCTTTAGAAATGAATTTGTTATGCAAAATTTTCTTGTTTGGTTAATGTCTAGTGCAGTTGGTGGTGGGGGGGGGGGAGAGTGGGTGGGTGTGAATGGGGGTAGGGGGGAGCAAAATCAGGATTGGTGGGGCTTGGGCAGATATTGCACGGGGGTCTTGCTCAGCTCAGCATCCGGAAGGCCTGGGGAGAGAAGCTGTCCCTGAGGCGGTTGGTGGCAGCCACAATGCTGACGTGGCCGGACTTCCTCTTGGATTGTTTCCTGATGAAAAGGCCGTGGCTCGGGTGGCTGGAATCGGCGATTATTTTTTGGGCCTTGGCGATGCACCTCTTGGTGTCGCGGTCTCTCAGGGTGGGCAGCATGCCACCTGTAACCCGCTGGGCAGACCGCATCACTCTCTGAAGCCTCTGCCGGTCCTGTTCGTTGCAGTTACCGTATCAGGTGGTGATGCTGCTAGTCCAAGATGCTCTCAATGGTGCACCTGTAAAAGTTCAAATTTCCACAGCCTTTTGAGGTTCTAAAGGCGCTGCTGGGACTTGTTCACCAGTGTAGCCACGTGCCGGGACCATTTCAGGTCCTCTGAGATGCGAACTCCGAGGAACCTGAAGCTGTTGACCCGCTCCACTGAGGCCCCGTTGATGGTTAGTGGCATGTGCTTACCCCTCTTCCCGAAGTCCAGAATCAGCTCCTTAGTCTTGCCAACATTGAGCTCAAGGTTGTTCCCTTGGCACCACGTCGAGAGTGCCGTCACCTCATCCACGTCAGCCGTGATGTCGCTGTTGGTGATCAGGCCCACCACTGTCGTGTCGTCGGCGAACTTGATGATGGCGTTGGGGCTGTACCTGGCTGTGTACAGTCTATAGTGTAGATGGAGTACAGGAGGCGGCTAAGCACACATCCTTGGGGGGGGGGGGGGGGGGGCACCTATGTTGACGGCCGGGTAAGATGAGATGTTATTGCCCACCTTTAGCGCCTGAGGTCTTCCCGTTAGAAAGTCCAGCACTCAACTGCAGAGGGTGACGTTCGCACTCAAGGCCTCCATGCTCTTTGGTTCTTTCGGTAAAGTCACATAGGTGAAAAAATAAATAAATAGAAATAAATAAATCACGATGTTTCGATTGCAACACAAGCAATCATCATCAGGTGTGACAACCACAGCAAGGAAATGTTTACTGAAGTGGGAGAGAGACCAGGGTTAGGGCAGTTAAATAAGTCAGAGAGGGGGAGGGTAGGGGGGTGGTGAAAGGAGTGCGCACACTGCAGGTACAGCAGAGACGCTGAGAGTAAAAGGGCAAGATAGATGATGACATCTAAAGCAGAATAGCCGCACTGCTAAATGCTAAGGATGGAATTAATTCGGTAAAATATACTAATACCCAGTAAATAAGATGGAACAACTATGAACAGTTAAATTTTACTTGGTTAATAACATCTTTCCAATGATTGCTCAATTTATATCCGTCCTCTCGGTTGAAGTTATGTCTATGTTTATATATCTGGATGGTTCTATTTATTTTCACCTACGTGACTTTACCCAATAGAACCAAAGAGTATGGATCCTAGCAGTCACGAAAGCTTTAAATCTAGAATATCTGGATGGCTTCATGAACAAATCTTTGATGGTAGCCAGATGGCTTGCAGAGCACCTTGGTCTCGGAGAAAACAATATCATGGGAGAGACCACAGCGTTATAGCAATGATCAGCAATGGCTGAGGAATTGGTTTTGCCGTGTTTCAGATCTGACTTATGCTCGCGGATCCGGTCAGAGACATGACGTTTCGTTTTCCCAATGTAACAATCACCACAGATGCAACTTGGTTTGCGGACTCCAGGGTATTGCAAGTCAGGAATGACATCCTTCACAGATGGGATTAGATCATGGATTTTGCAGTCACGGAAACTTCAAATCTAGAATCAATCCAGTTTGGAGATGATGATGGAGGGCGCAGTGGTCTTGAATGCTGAGCTGTAATCGATAAACAGAATTCCCACATAGTCCTCCTTCACCTCCAGGTGGGATAGTGCCTTATGCAATGTAATAGCAAAAGCGTCATCCGTGGACCTGTTAGTGCGATACGCAAATGCATGGGAGTCAAGTGTATTTGGTAGGATGGAGCAGATGTGCTTCTTGATTGCACCTCTCAAACCACTTCATGATGATGGGGGCGAGCGCTACGGGCCTTTTGTTATTAAGGCACGTAATTTTGGCCTTTTTTGGGGGACCGGAATGATATATATAGTAGATGCCTTGTGGCATGTTGGAACGGCAGCCTGGGTGAAGGAAATGTTGAAGATGTTCCTTAACACAGGGGCCACCTGGGGTGCGCATGCCCTGAGGACACGGTATCCCGTCTGGGCCGGCTGCCTTGTGTGTGTGTGTGTCAACCTGCCGAAGGATCCTTTGTCACCTCGCCTCTCTTGAGCCTAAGGGACGCCTGCAGGAGAGCTGTGGCCGATGCGATGGGGGAGGGGGGGGATAGACGAAGGTGGGAGATGTAAGGGAAGGCAGGGGATGCTGTGGAGCTGGGGCTGCAGGGATAGCTGTGTTTGCCTCGAACCGCCCGTCGACGGTGTTGAGCTGGCCCGGGGAGGGAGGCGTTGTTGATTGCCTCGCAGCTTATTGTCCCTTTGTAGTTTGCGATGGACTGTACCGTAATCTGCGCCACAGGCTCCTAGAGTTGGAGTCACGGTGCAGGGCCTCCAACTTGTCCCTGTATTGTCTCTTGGCCGCCTTGATGGCTTTTTCAGACCGCGAATTTGCTCCCTCCGATTTCTGCGGGGTCTCTGGATTTGCATGCTTTGCGTCGGTCCTTCAGTGCCGCTTTGACCGCCGCGTTGTTAACCCGGGGGTTGTCATTTGGGTAAGAATGGCACAGCAACGTCCATGCAGAACTTGATATGACCTCGCACTGTCGAAGCAAATTCCTCCACTCTGTCGTTGGCCGCATCCCTTAACGTATCCCAGTCTGTATTCTCCAGGCCATCCGTGAGTCTGCTTCTTCTGACCAGCATTGGACTACTCTTGTATTGGGAGAACTGTGTCTTGAAGAGAGGGCGGTACTTTAGCAGCAGCAGCAGCAGCAAGATGATATTGTGTTCGGTCTTCCCGAGCGGTGGACGGGGGAACGCCTTGTAGGCTTCTTTCAGCATTGAATAACGGTGACCCAAGATGGGCATGTCCCCTGGAGTTGCATTTCACATGTTGGTAAAAGTTTGGGAGTACACTCCCAAGGTTCGCTCTGTTAAAGTCCCCAATTACAATCACAGCCGGCGTCCAGGATGTTTGGTTTCCAGTGCCGAGGTTGTTTTGAGCAGTGCGTCCGTAGCCGGCGTGGTGTTGGTGCTCGGAGGGACGTGCATAGCGACTAAAACAATCGTGCGAAATTCTCTCGGGAGGTAATGATTGGATCGCAAACTCTACATCTGGTGAACACAAAGATGCCTTGATGGAGACATTGCTCACGTCTACACCAAGATGAGTTAATCATCAAGCACACGCCATCACCTTTTGTTTTCCCCACTGACCAAAGTCCGATCGTGGCGAACAAGTGAGAAGCCTATATATATTCTTGGTTCTTTCGGTAAAGTCACGCTGAAGGGAAACAATTAAATAGAATAATAGTCATCATCAGGTGTGATGATGACTGTTTGTGTTACAGTCGAAACGTCGTGAGAATTTTATTGTTTTATATATTTTTTTTATTATTTTATTGTTTCCCTTCTACGTGGTGACTTTACCGAAAGAACCAAGAATATGAATCACTGCAGTCACGAAAGCTTTCAATCGAAACTTAAGTGAGTAGCCTGTTAGCAAACCGATGGTTGCGTCCGGGATGTTTCCATTCAGCCAGCTCTCCGTGAAACACGGAACACTGCAGTCTCGTGTCTCCCGCTAGAACTCGATCCCGGCCCGCAAAAGCATCAAACTTGTTAACCAGAGACTGTGCGCAGCACAAGAACATGCTCGGCATTGCTGTATGTTGAGGGACGTTTTCTATTCCTCATCTGAACTCCGGCTCTTCCACGTCTCGTCTTAAGTTGTTGTCTGGTAAACAAAGGGTCGTCTCCGGGCAGCCTGCATTGGGTGAGCAAGCTCTTCTTTCCGATGTCCAATAATGTTTGTCTGTCATAGGTAATTATCGCAGGTTTGGTTCACATTCTGGTGAAAATTTTATATTTTAAAAAATAAACGACAATAAATTACATTAAACGCTAAAATCTAACTGCGGTGAGAGAGCAAGGCTCGGGAGGCATGCTTACTGCGTTGAGGCCCAGGATCGGTTCAGATATCACTTGCCGCTGAGAGGAATTGATCCCAGGTTGCCAGGTTCATAACACAGTGCTCTAACCACTAAGCCACCGCTCCCCTCACGCACGCACGCGCTCACACATGCATCCAAACGCAGAAAAGTACAGCTTCCACTCCATTCGGGCCAATAAATGAGTCCTTGTACACGTCGGAGGAAAATGGAGCGTCGAGGAAAAAAAAAATCTCAAACGTGCGAGGCGGCAACACTGTCCCATGTAGAGGGGACACGTGATTTGTGTCCATGCTTTTTGCTCTGTACTGCCTTCTGCTCGCAAGCCCAGGGTGTGGCACCTCGATACCTACGGGAAGGGAGTTTCGCAACATTTGAATCATTTTGGGGTCCCGCAAAAATCAGGTCAATGATTATTATTGTTGTGCAGTCCGCCCACTCGTGATCCCGCAAAGGACACCGGATGGACCCCCCCCCCCCCAGGCAGGGAATTTTACGTTTTGATTTAAAGCTTTCGTGACTGCAGTGATTCATATTCTTGGTTCTTTCGGTAAGGTCACGTTGAAGGGAAACAATAAACTAATAAAATCTAGAAATAAAATAATAAAAAATATATAAAACACAATTGTTCTATATATTTTATTATTTTATTGTTTCCCTTCAACGTGACTTTACCGAAAGAACCAAGAATATGAATTTAACGTGTTTATGTAATTTTTCAACTTTTTTACGAAACTTAGTGCCCCGAGTAGCTCTCTACGAGGCCAATCGATTGACACTAGTTTTGTTGTCGGTAAGCCAAGACTCGTGTCGCTACGCGGTTTTTCCCACCCCGGGGCAGCGATGGGACCCCGGGGTCCCGCCAAATTATTCATTTGTGCGATCCACTAACCCCTAGCCTCCACAGTGGCAGATTACAGATGTGCGCAACTACCACCTGGCCAGGGGCAGAGCCATAGGGGAGGGCTGGGGGGGCGGTGCTCAGCCCCCCCTGAAATTTTAGGAAAGTCGGAAATAGGGATAACCGGATATCCGGCTGCTGCAAAATGCTGCAGGCTACCACCTCGTGCTGTCCTGCAGGCTGCCACCTTGTGTGCTGCCCTGCAGGCTGCCACCTTGTGTGCTGCCCTGCTGGCTGCCACCTTGTGCACTGCCCTGCAGGCTGCCACCTTGTGTGCTGCCCTGCAGGCTGCCACCTTGTGTGCTGTCCTGCAGGCTGCCACCTTGTGTGCTGCCCTGCAGGCTGCCACCTTGTGTGCTGCTCTGCTGGCTGCCACCTTGTGCACTGCCCTGCAGGCTGCCACCTTGTGTGCTGCCCTGCAGGCTGCCACCTTGTGTGCTGCCCTGCAGGCTGCCACCTTGTGCACTGCCCTGCAGGCTGCCACCTTGTGTGCTGCCCTGCAGGCTGCCACCTTGTGTGCTGCCCTGCAGGCTGCTTGAGCGGCAGCCTTTCAAACTTATCGAACTTATTAGCCACATCAGCGGCTCCGACCTATTAATAAACTCCACGTTCAAATCCAATAAAATTTGTTTTATACATTCGTGGCGCCCATTGGAAGACATAAACACTGGATACATCATTAGACCTCCTTTGCCAGTACCAAAATATAATAATAGGGTTTTTCCCCTTTTTTATGGCAACAAAACTGAAACCGTTTTTTTACAAGGATTCATGTCTGCATTAACCACAATACCTGCAGTGAAAATGCAAACAAAAAACATATGTTTATTCATGATAAAGGTTTTTGGGTTAGATCGCGTTTATTTATAAATGTGTCGTAACCCTCCACCACCCGACACGGCCAATCAGCAAAAAAAAAGTGTCACGTTGACAAAAGACAAATAATTCACTACTTTAGCCCACCGGTGTGTTGAAGAGTGAATCCACATTTACAGTTTGAGTACGACGTTTCGCTGGTAAATACATCCAGCATCATCGGGCAATTCGCCAGAATGGTAAAGCCCTCGCTTGCTCCCGGTTTTATATAGAGCAGAAGAGTGACGTCATCACTTAACTCATCAGGTGCAGTGATTAGAGGCGGAGGGGGGGGTATTGTAATTATATAATCGATTAGTAATCAGTCATTGGTTATGATTAGTAATGAGTTGTAGATTAGTAATTCTTTAAATCAAAATGTAATGTGTATTATTTAATAATACGCTTCCAGGCCGCACTAAGCCGGTAGCTGTCAGAGCGATTAAAGTTATTCTTGTTCCTCTCAATTTCAATGGATTCTCTAATTAGTCTTTGCCAGTAATAATTAGTTTTACACACCACTGCAACATAAATAAACGCGATCTAACCCAAAAACCTTTATTATGAATAATATTGGTCGCGAAAGCCTACGTGTTAAACTAACATATGTTTATGTTATGTTGTAAAAAAAGGTTTCAGTTTTGTTGCCAGAAAAAAGGGGAAAAACCCTATTATTATAAACTGGATATCTCAGAATATTGAAGTCAGCCCCCCCCCCCAAAGTCAAAATCCTGGCTCCACCCCTGCACCTGGCTGTAGATATATACGCCTACACCACCTCTGAATAGCATGGTTGGCTACGTACGGTGTAAAATAAATTAATCATATATAAAGCTACATATTTCTGTATTCAATATGCCCATACTTGCATGCACGTATCTGGATATGTGTGTATACTTGTGTGTGCATATGTGTGTAATGAGTGTGTAGGCATGAATGTGTGTGTATTTGTGTATACATGCTTGTCACTGCATGGAGCGGTAGTTTAGCAGTTAGCCCTACGAACCCGGTTGTCCTATCAGGAGGCTCCAAAGGGCCATAGCATGTGGAACGTTTAACGACTTGCACATGTGGAATGTTTAACTACTCGCACGTGGCCAGAAATCTAGATATGCACCAGCGTGTACAGTCACTTGAGCAGGGAAATGCATTGACTTTTTGCCAATGCAGAGTACAACGTGCTTGTATGTGTACGGGTTTGCGTGTCTCTGTGTCTTTGTGTGCAAATGTGTTGAGGTGGGGAGTGGTGGTGTGGCGGTTAGTGTACCACACTATGAACCTGGTGACCCGAGTTCAATTTCCGCTCATGGCCAACACCAGTGATGATTATCTGAACCGGTCCTGGGCCTCCCCTCGGTCGATTCAGCCTCAAACGAGTACCTGGTGCGGTGTGAAAACCTCACCACGAGGGAGACAAAGGCAGCCGGGCGTGCTGCTGGCCACCCAATCCCTCGTGTGCCGTGTTGGCCTTCATAGGTGCTTGTTAACAGCACTTGCCCCAATATTCTGTTAAGGTTATAAAGGGGACCTTTGCCTTTTTTTGTGTGAAAATGCACACACATTGGTTGGTCAACCCATGGCACCTGGGTCTGTTCCCTGACCTGTCACGTGGCCTCAATTTTCACCTAGCCTGGCACAAATCGCTATGGCAATGCTACTGCCACTTAGTGTAAAATGGCAGTTGTGTGTAAATACATGCTTCTGTATTTGTGAAATGGACGTAAATAAATACACGCGTTCTCACACGTGTAAGTGCTCGACAAGTTGAATCAAAAACCTGTGCAGGGTATACGGGGGGGGGGATCTTCGTCTTTGTGCATTTATACGGTAAGGTCTCAGAGTACGCGGGCTCAGAGTACACGGATCTGCTCATACGCGACCGACCCCGATTCATAATTACACGCACGGGGTGGGAAGCGAGTGAAATCACCCACGCCATAACGTGAACATGTCTTTGACGGCGTGTAACTGTATCGCCCGCGTAAGAAACGAGTCCACCCAGCTCGAACCTTTCGTGTTTATCATATACAGATGGTTTGTGATGAGTGAATCATTTACTGTGCAGGCCCCCTCGGTCCCTCTGGAACTGTGCTTGGAGAGCTTCTTCCGCTCGGAGCTCCTCACGGGAGTGAAATGTGATGCGTGCAGTCAGGTACGCACGCGAACGCATTCACACGTGCACGCTCGTGCACAACGACACAACGCGCCCTTCGCACCCTCCCCCCCCACCCCCCCCAATGATGACCCTTTCGAAATTAACCTCAAAGTATTTTTTTCCTTCTCAATAATGGCACTTGAAACTCCTATCAGACAGCCTAGGACACACCATGATGGAGCTTTTTTTGGGTTAGAGCATGCAAATAAATAATGTGTCGTTAAACCCGCCACCACCCGACACGGCCAATTTTTGTAAGGTTTGCCACGTAAACAAAAGGTGCCAATTAGTTACTACTGCAGCACACCGGTGCATTGGGGAGTAGACCCCCAAACATTTACAATTCGTGTATGACGTTTCGCTGGTAATTACAACCAGCTCCATCAGCTGGTGTTTTGGTTGTGAAAGGCCCACGTGTTAAACTGGGACACGCCAGTTTATGTAACGAGATTATAGAGATTATAGCCGTTTTTATTAATTTATTTTTTATTATTTGTATTTATTATTTGTATTGCGTCTCCCTTTTTAACGACTAAAGCACCCTGCCGTGCCTTTGTGAATCCCATCGCCGTGGACAAGGCCAGGTGACCATTGTCTCTCTTCTCAGACACATCCTGCAGGTGCCTCAATCCAGGCCGACTTCCTAAAAAGGACTCTCCTGGCAAAGGTGAGTTTTTTTTAGCGTTGGGCATGTGCACACCCAACTCCAACTTTGTTCTTTTGCTCGCCTAATCGCCTGTTGTCCAAGCCTATGTTTGCCAAGTTTACAAAATGAGTTCCAGTTTGGATTACTCCTCATTCATTCGCTCTCTCATTTCAGAAGTTAGGCTGGGCAATTTATATGAATGGCAGGTGGCGGCTGGTTGTTTCTTTGGAATCTGATCATTTTCGCATGACACTGAGCCAGTGACCCTTTTTATCCGATTGTTTTTGGATGTTTCTCTCCTATCATATTACAATTGCATGAGCAGTCATGTCTTGAGACGAAGGCTATTACATTCTAAACTCGCATTGAACGGTGCACGATCTTCTGTCCATGACTGACCCTGGAAGCCAGGAGAGGACATCTTTGGTTGACATTCTTCGCACGTCAACCAAAGACAAATATTCAACACTCCACGCTGGAATATTACAAATTAAGTGGAAAACAGCATTTTCTTACATGAGTGTTTTTTTGGTCAGTTGTTGAAAGCCGATTAATTACAAGCAACTGCACAGATTTCGGCGGTGCAAGCTTAGTGCTCGCATTGGCCCTCTTAAGCCACTGGGCCCACTTTAAAGCTCTTTTTTAAGGTCCTGGGTTCGAATCCTGAAGCTGGGTGTGACTCTCAAGGGACTGGTACTGATACCCACGTTTATAAGCATAACGTTTGTGCCTTTGAGGTGACTGTATCAAGGCACTGGCAAGCACTTATGGTGCCCCAGGTTTCAATCCACAGAGTCCCCCTTGTGGTTAAAGCAGGTTTTCAAGCGAATATTAATTTACACAACTGTGAACTTATATATAGCATCCAAATGCGGCCGCATCTCAAAAGTACACACCAAATATATTATCGTGCACATGGAACATTCTATGGGATCATGTTACAAAGCATCAATAACAATATCTGTATGTATGTTGAACTTTTTTTGCACTGTGCGTAGCTAACCGTGCCAATCGGAGGTGCGGGGGAAGGACAAACTAAACACAAAAAGCACTTCTCAAGAAATACGTTTTCAATCTAGATCTAAAAGTGCATCAAATATAGGGGTATTACTTAAGGATAATTCGGAGAATAAATCCACCAAATGTCTCTTCTTCATGAAAGTAATTGGATAAAATTCCTTGAACCTATCAAGTGTGGGTGTGTTGCATTACTTCTGAAGCGTAATATTATTAGCAATTATTGTTTAATCAGAGATTAAAATACTAATATTTTACATCCCTATGTAAAATAACTTCTGGATGAAGGTATTCCCACACCATTTCTTTGACCATATTTTGCTCCCCGTGGTCGCGTGGATTTTTCTCCGGGTCCTTTGCTTTTTCCCTTCACATTTACAAACGTGTGGTTTGACTTTTTGGCTGCAATACATTTCCACGCGATAAGCCACTTCATTGAGCTATCATTTATGACCAGGCCCCTATAAAGCTCAGTGGGGCTTACCTGGTAATATACAAAAATAGTAAAAATGTCCAGTGTGCTTGCTTTTACCTATTGCCTGTCACACCACAACCCGATGCCGTATGTTCAATGACATTCACTTCTTGCTCTCCGTCGCGTGCACACACCAGCTGCCGCAGTGCGTGTGCATTCACCTGCACCGGCTGGCGTTCTCCCGCGACGCCCACGCCTACAAGGAGCATGGCCACGTCTCGTTCCGATCCTCGCTCGACCTGGCTCGATACACGCTGCGCAGCGGTGAGCAAGCGCTGCTCCCCGAGCACGTCGCTCGTCCACCGCTATGCGCCCTCAAGCGCGGATAAGAAAGAGGAAGTCGGCCCAGCAGCGGAAGCCGCTGCTTGCACAGAATTCTCTGGCACGTGCCGTGGCGGGTGCTGCAAGAGGCAGCCCGCGTCAGTACAGTGCTCGCCGAGCTGCATCGGCTTCCGGTTGCCGGACGAATAAATGATGAGGTCGCGCTCGTGGCACACAAAGTGCTTGCCACAAATGAACCGCAGCACCTTGCTGATCTCGTCAAGGAGCGTACACCGCCACGCGAACTCCGTTCATCCTTGCAGCGGCCTTTGGCTAGCCCATTGACCAAAGGCGGTTACTGCGTCCGTGCACTTTCAGGTGCGCTTCTGCGGCCGTCTGGAACACTCTTCCGATAATAGGAAGCCATGCTCTTTGGTTTTTTTCGGTGTAGTCACGTAGGTAAAAAAATTAAATAAATTAAAGTGAAAACAAAATGAATTAAATCACGACGTTTCGGAAGCAACACAACCAACCGTCATCAGGTGTTGACTGCTCCAGCAAAATTGCTGAAGCGTATGCGGTAATTTCGCTGGAGCAGACTTTACCGAAAAAAAACAAAGAGTGTGGATCCTTACAGTCACGAAAACTTCAAATCTAGAATAGGAAGCCACTCGAGCAATGTACTTTTGAAACCTAGATTGACGACTCATTTATTTAGGACTGCTTTTTGTGTTTTAGTTTGTTGTATTTCCCGGCACCTCCGATTGGTATGGTTGGCTATGTACGGTGCTCTCAAACAATGATCGGAAAATAGGTATGTGTTATAATAATATGTATTGATTATAAAACAATTAACACGGTGCCTCATGCACATGTGTGTACCTGTGTGTGTGTGCACGCTCCCTATAGAGCTGTCGAAAGGACGGGTCGGCCATTGTGGCAGCTGGTTCACCCTCACTGCCGTTGTGGTGCATTATGGGAACTCGACGAGTGGGCACTTTGTGACGTACCGCAGCATACCGAGTGGAGGACGGGGTGAGGGCGCTCGCTTGTGATAGCAACATCACGCACATACAAACACAAATTTGTGCCATACAGCCTTGGCTGGACTTTTGGGGTAAATGCTGTTAGCGAGCGCCTGTTGAGCCTGGCATAGCATACGAAGAGGTGCAGCGGTTACCACCACATCCACCTGGCCTGTCTCCCAAGTGCTGATGTTTACACACTGCACCAGGTATCCATTTAAGGCTCCTCCAAGCTAGTGGAGGCCCGGGACCGGTTCAGCTGTGGCCGGGTATTGAAGTACATCACTGTGACACCACTCTCCAGACACACACTCGTACCATAAAAATGCATTCATACATGTATTGCACCTTATAGAAGAGCCATATAATATACACCCGCACCATGCAATACACATAGGGTTGAGCGATATACACACAATCCTTTTTACTGGATTATTCTACTTATCACGATATAATAATGTGAGTACTATTGACATCATGGCCTCTGCCCACAACGCTGGGCATTAGATGTAACTTATGGAACCTATACAAATCAACAGCAATATATAATTGCCATCGACATTTGATTTGGGGGAGCGATGGCACGCTGGTTTGTGCGCTGCACCATGAACCCGGCGACCTGAGTTTGGCTTCCCGGCCACAGCTATCATCAGTGGCGAGTGACACCTGAACCGGTCCTGGGCAACCCCCCCCCCCCCCCCACCCCCTTGAACGTAACCAACGCACCCTGACTAGCGAGCGTGGTGATGTACGGTTAAACCATCCTCACAACCGACACGGCGTTGGCAGGTCTTCATCCGGCAGTGGATTGACAAAAGGGCTTTATATCATTAACTGTTATCAGTGTTGTTTTTCATTATTGCTTTACTGTATTCATTATCGCTGGGCCAGTATTCTATCGCGTAGCGATGAATGACGCTAAAATTGCCTCCCTGCTCAATGAGGAAATTCCACTTGCCTCTTGCGTAGATCAGTGTAGCTCATTGGGACAAGCACTATTGACGCCTCACCAAGTGGGACTTTCTTACGACCTCAGCAGAGTGATGCGCGGAGTTGAACCCTCGACTGGGATGATTGTAACTTTTAACATTTGTGGTTTGAGTTTGTGGAGCTATAGCCACAGCGCTAACTGTGACCCTTCGTCAGTATGATTATTAAATATATTACGTGCAGACGACCTGCAGTCTATAGTAATAGGTTTTACCCTTTTAACTGGCACAAAAACTGACACCTTTATTCAAGGCATCATGCTTGCAATAACCACAACACAAGCAGTCAAAATGCAAACAAAATGCGCTGTTTTTGAGTTGTACGCCTTTTGGCATCTTCTGGTCCAACACCAGTGGAGAGTAGGCTCTAAGAAAAGCCGTCTCGGGTGTGGACCAATCAAATTCAAGGACAGTGCATATCATTATCAGAGTTGTCTCTTTTGTTTGCATTTTGACTGCTTGTGTTGTGGTTATTGCAAACATGATGCCTTGAATAAAGGTGTCAGTTTTTGTGCCAGTTAACAGGGTAAAACCTATTACTATATCTTGTTACTGGCAAAGGAGGTCTCATAATGTAAAAGACCTGCAGTGTGTTGGCTTCAGGGTCGTGCTCCATCGGAGGCGAATTGCTTGGTCCAGTGATGAGTTAGGATCTGTGTGTAAATTTCGACAGGCACGGCGCTATGATTGATGGCAAGCAACTTCTGGACTGTTCTTTTTTTCCCCCAGTGATGCATATTTGTACATTTTGAGATTTTATTAAAGTTACCAGCATTGAAACTATAATTATGAGAAAAAAAATCCAACTTTCTAGCCCTTATAAAATCTTATTACGATGTGCATTTATTAGTCAGTCATAACCATCTGTGTATGTTTCTGTATTTTGTGTGTGTGCGTACGTGTCAGCAGTCCGCGGTCGCTGGGTTTGCTGCTCCGATGATGAGGTTCGCTCTGTGAGTCTCTCTGAGGTTCTCAACTCCCGGGCCTACCTACTTTTCTATACACGCACGTGATGTCATCACCACCACCAACACCATCATCATCGTCGTCGCCATCGGCACTTTCACGACCGCCAGCTGCATTAACTTCACTACCGTCACTGTCACCATGATCATCACTATCACCACATTTGCCATTATTATTGCTATCGCCACCACTGTCATTATCACCTCCATCATTACCAGTATCGTCCACACCACCACAATCATGACCCCCGACATCATCACTTGCACCACCATTGCCATCATTACCACCACCTCGTAACGCCATCATAACTGCAACCACAATCATCACAATCATCATCGCCATCAGCTCTGCCATCACTACCATCATCACCACAACCATTGTAGTATCCATCTCACCCATAGCCATTGTGCTTGAAATCCAGTCTGTACATTTTTTTAATTCTATTTGAAATAATAAAACTTGATGTATATGTATCGTCATTCTGTGGTTTTACGATTCATTGTTTCGTTTCGGTTAGGTCGTGTGGGAATGTACATTTTCCCCCTATTATCCTTCGAACCGTTAATAGCCAATTAAAGCAATTTGTCACGTTGGCAAATATGCCAATTTGGGTTATCAGCAGACAGGAACTTGGAAAGACAAGCAACACTATATTCTTGGTTCTTTGGGTAAAGTCACGTAGAAGGGAAACAATAAAATAATAAAAATATGAAACAGTAAAATTCTCACGACGTTTCGACTGCAACACAAGCAATCATCAGGTGTGAAAACCACAGCAAGATAATTTTATTGTTTTATATTTTTAGTATGCTATTGTTTACCTTCTACGTGACTTTACCGAAAGAACCAAGAATATGAATCCCTGCAGTCACGAAAGCTTTAAATCAAAACAAGCAACATTGTTACAATTTTGTACGACGTTTTGCTGGAGATTACATCCAGCACCATCAGGTGTTAATAAAAGCTCAACTGTCACGTAGTTCTGTCGTTATAATCTAATATCTTCGCGATATATTAATTAGTTTATTCACCCACTCACTATTGTATTCACAAAACTAATAATTTATACCGGCTAACAAATGTGCACACCACCGCAAAATACCCAAGAGCTGTTCTTACACAACAGATTGGATTTTGAATATATTTCTAAGAATGGATCATTTGTGGTGTTGTGTATAGGCTAGCAACAGTAATAGTGTGTACCCACGTAGTGTTGTGTATAGGCTAGCAACAGTAATAGTGTGTACCCACGTAGTATTGTGTTTAGGCTAGCAACAGTGATAGTGTGTACCCACGTGGTGTTGTGTATAGGCTAGCAACAGTAATAGTGTGTACCCACGTGGTGTTGTGTATAGGCTAGCAACAGTAATAGTGTGTACCCACGTGGTGTTGTGTATAGGCTAGCAACAGTAATAGTGTGTACGCACGTAGAGTTGTGTATAGGCTAGCAACAGTAATAGTGTGTACCCACGTAGTGTTGTGTATAGGCTAGCAACAGTAATAGTGTGTACCCACGTGGTGTTGTGTATAGGCTAGCAACAGTAATAGTGTGTACCCACGTGGTGTTGTGTATAGGCTAGCAAGAGTGATAGTGTGTACCCACGTGGTGTTGTGTATAGGCTAGCAACAGTAATAGTGTGTACCCACGTGGTGTTGTGTATAGGCTAGCAACAGTAATAGTGTGTACCCACGTGGTGTTGTGTATAGGCTAACAACAATAATAGTGTGTACCCACGTGGTGTTGTGTATAGGCTAGCAACAGTAATAGTGTGTACCCACGTAGTGTTGTGTATAGGCTAGCAACAGTAATAGTGTGTACCCACGTAGTATTGTGTTTAGGCTAGCAACAGTAATAGTGTGTACCCACGTGGTGTTGTGTATAGGCTAGCAACAGTAATAGTGTGTACCCACGTGGTGTTGTGTATAGGCTAACAACAATAATAGTGTGTACCCACGTGGTGTTGTGTATAGGCTAGCAACAGTAATAGTGTGTACCCACGTAGTGTTGTGTATAGGCTAGCAACAGTAATAGTGTGTACCCACGTAGTATTGTGTTTAGGCTAGCAACAGTGATAGTGTGTACCCACGTGGTGTTGTGTATAGGCTAGCAACAGTAATAGTGTGTACCCACGTGGTGTTGTGTATAGGCTAGCAACAGTAATAGTGTGTACCCACGTGGTGTTGTGTATAGGCTAGCAACAGTAATAGTGTGTACGCACGTAGAGTTGTGTATTGGCTAGCAACAGTAATAGTGTGTACCCACGTAGTGTTGTGTATAGGCTAGCAACAGTAATAGTGTGTACCCACGTAGAGTTGTGAATAGGCTAGCAACAGTAATAGTGTGTACCCACGTGGTGTTGTGCATAGGCTTGCAACAGTAATAGTGTTTACCCACGTAGTGTTGTGTATAGGCTAGCAACAGTAATAGTGTGTACCCACGTAGGCTGTGTATTATCCCGATGGTGTTCGTTAAATGAAAGTGCCTCCAAGTCTTAGTCTCCGAGCTAGTCACTACACAGGTACAAAAGAGGTTCATCCAAAACTCGTGTATCGGCAACATTGTTTTGATAAACCTTACCAGAAATGCACGTGCGTGAACACAATTCCCTTTTATATGTTTGTAAGCACAAACAAATAACAAGTCTGCGGTGCCACGTGGCTGCAATCTGGATTCGAATTAACGAAGTCTATTTCGCCTCGATGACGATGCGAGTTGTGCTTCAGGTAATATAAAAATACATAACAGGTGGGGGCCACTGCAAAAGAAGGCTACCGTCTCCGACCCAAGCGCCTCAATTGAAACCTCAAACATCGCACCTCCTTGCCTTGACATTCCTCGAAGACACCAGTGGTGTAACCATCAACTGCGTCGGAACATCAGCAGGTTGATGCGCACATCTCATTCACGAATGGAAAATTAAATACACAAGCCATGCAACCTTAAAACTATGGAGCAAAACAGTAAGCCACTGGAGTATCTGCGCTCCTTCAATGGAGGAGGAACGGCAAAACTCGACGAACTCTCATGGAGCCCTTTCGTGACTTGTAGACTTCCACATTTGGTATTTCGTCCCTTAACATATCGCCACAAGCAAGAATCGAATGGCTGCAATCCCGGGACATTTTTACAAAATGTGTTGTATACTACGGTGAAATATTTTGGGTAATAATATCCAGACCAGGGGGGGTTCTGTTGTATCGCGTACAAATGAAGTCACTTATTTGGGGCATCAGCCGGCCTATGAGTCATGGGGATCAATACATTCCAGCAGCATTTCTTGTAACCAGCTAAGTTCCGGAATTGATTTCAAATTTCCGAGTCTCTTAAGTACACAGCTTTGGTGCAATTTTGCTGTACTTTAGTGGCAACCACTATGTCCACTAAGCAGCCTTTGCCTGTAAACATCAGGGAACCCAACAACATTTCGTTAACATGCCACATTCTGCTCCATTCTGAGATGTTTTAAGTAATTCTTCCACATGCACGAGATGACCATTTACCGGTTCTGAATTTATAATTGGTGAACGTGCAGCAGGCATGACTCGAAAGTTTCTGTAGCTATGCAAAACAAAAACATTCTCAGGACGATCATCGAGCTAAGTAATAATTTCAGCTTGTAACATGCCGCACAGCATTGACAAGGAACCACAGTTCAGTTCAGTTTATTTTGGTATAGCCCTGTGAGCCATCCGGCTCTTGAATCGGGTGCAACCACAACAAACAAAAAAACAAAAACACGAACAAGAAAAACATCTTAAAGTGACTATGTGTTGACTTTGCAAACAGAAAATCCATGGAAAAAAAAACAGCAAAAATATTCCTGAAAAAGCAACCATACACCAACGCTGTGTGCAAAAAATCCCAGTGCGATGCAAGTCAAACAACAACAACAACCACAAGAAAACTTAGATTAAGGCCGTCGGTCTAACTCCGTACTACAACAAAACAAACATGTCCAAACCAAAAAAAGCGTTTTCCAAATCACCAACAAAATAAAGCCATAATTGCAACGTAACAGCGATCACAGGGACTGTGACCGAACTTTTACAATAAACCACATAAATAACATGTAACACCACAGACAATTTGGAAGACAGCCACACGGTGATCCAGTGCCAACAACTTCCCGAGCTCTGGAGTGCTCTATATACGTAGGTGTTAGGCAAGTAACGAGTGGTAGGAAATTGGTGGCGCCTGCAGAAAACCCACACTCTTTCCCACACAGATGGGAGTCCACATTTTTGCCGCACCGCCTATCTGGCGAGTCAGGGCATGGCACCTCGATGCCCACTAGAAGGGAGCCTCCGTAACATCCGTGTGACCCAGCAACCTTCGCCTCCGCAAGTGCTGGATTACAGGCGAGCATAGCCACCACCGCCCGGCTAAATGTAACACACGTACCATAACATTCCATTGACATAAATTGAAAATCATTATTGATTCACACGTGTATGGTTCAATGCACGCATTGTGTGTGATAGTGGCGCTCACCGGTCCTGCTCTTGCAATCTCCGTCATCTTTATCTTTCCATTGGTCCCTGGCCTCTTGGTAGCACATCAAAGCCTGTATTTGTAATCAATCAATATTTATTTAACGTACCAATATCGACCTAAAAAAAAAAGTAAGCATCAGTGCACATTACAGCAGAACGGCAACGGTACAGGGGGTGGGAAAAGAGACCCCTAACGACCTCCATGGCTAACACAGACTGAGCAAACCTGCCCCGACTGGACATCTGTGAAAAAGAGCTTTATAGCTCATCGGATTCCTCCAGTATAAATAAATATTATGATTCTGAATTGCAACCGCTCGCAAAAATATTGCAACCGTGCACAACGAATAGCATAAGAAAGTTAAGTAGTAAATATAAATAAGTTAAAAGTAAAGCGTTTTTATTTTGGTTTAACACGTAGGCTTTCGCGACCAATATTATTCATAATAAAGCTTTTTGGCGCGCATTTATAAATGTGTCGCAACCCTCCACCACCCGACACGGTCAATCAGTAAAAAATGTGTCACGTTGATAAAAGACAAAAATAGTTCACTACTTTAGCCCACCGGTGTGTTGAAAAGTGAATCCACAACATTTTTAATTTTTGAGGACGACGTTTCGCTGGTAATTACATCCAGCATCATCGGGCAATTTGCCAGAATATAATTTTACATTTTAGATGTTGTGGGAAGTCACCTGCCCTCCTGCACCCTGCTGTATACGCCCTCCACCCAAGTGTGGCTTCCCCATGTCCCCCTGTGCACTGCACAAATCACCTCCACCCACACGTCTATCCCACCCTCCCTCCGCGTCCCTTCCCCATCCCCCTCATCTCCCACCCCTTGTTGTCACAGCGCCACGTTGCCTCTTTGTAAACGGCCCCACCCCTCAACCCTTGGACGCCCCCGTAACCTCTGGTCATCAACTTCAGCCCAGCACGGGCCGAATGAAGTTCACGTTTAACTGTGGAATTTGCACCGCGTGTGATAAAGTCCGAATCCGGGACGGCTCAGAAAGCGCAGCGTTGCTGTTTTTTTCTCTTTTTGTTTTCCGCACGCGAGATTGTTTTTCGTGGATTGGATCTTTGCTATAAACTAAACTATTTACCAGGTAATGCCCACTGAGCTATATGGCTCTTTTTCCTGGCCACACATGACAGCTCAACGAAGTGGCTTATCACGTGGAAATGTATAGCAGCCAAAATACTCAAAATGCATGTTGATTCTAAATGAGGGAAAAACCGGAGGACCCGGAGGAAAAAAAAATCCACGCAAACACGGGGAAAACATACAAACTCCAAATATATGAAGGCGTCAGAGTCGGGATCGAACCGACGACCTCCTGTATACTAGGCGAGGTAGTTAACATCTTGCTACCGTGGCGGAAGACCACAAGTTTCACACAACACGCACACGTGGGAAAGCACTCAACCACCGTGCGTTATGAAAAACCCGCACGCAGTTCATGAAGCAGTGCATTGTAGTGTTCTTGTCTTATAGGTTCACCATCAAAATGCGAACAAATGTGACCCACTGACGGCAGCAGAGATTCGGAGAAAGACAACTGTAGGCGAGTTTCATCCGTATTCGTACTCATCGGTACAGCACTGCATAATGACGAACCCCGGGTCCACAGTTGTCGAACTGCATCACTGCTGAACTTGCTGCCACTCGCTCGGTCATATTTGCGCAAATGCATTCCGATGGCGAGCCAAGACAATTGGACCACAATGCACTTCTTCAGCAACTACCGATGGTGTTTGGCACAAACGCACGTTTACGGGTGTTGTTTAAAATAAATGCTGATGGGAGCACATAGTTTGGGAAAGCACAAAGGTCGATGGACAAAACATACGTTTTTATTTTGCGTGGGTGGGGGGGGAAGCTGTCTTTTTTCGTAATTTACTTATCACAGGGCAAAATCCTGGGTGCCCATCCGGTCCTGTGCGGTCCTTCTTGAAGCTCTGCCTTAGCTGGGGGCTATCCGTGTGTGTGAGGGGAGTCATGGTGTCGTGGTCAGCGCCTTGCGCAGTATTTGACTGCTATACATTTCCACGCGATAAGCCAGCCCGTTGAAATATCATTTGTGGCCAGGTCGCTTCTGAAAAAGAGCTGTGGTAGCTAGGTGGTTCTAGCCTGGTAAAATAAAATATACAGTAAAACCTTGGATTGCTGAGCAATACTTCGTTCCGGAAACGTGTTTTGTAATCCAAAGCACTCGTATATCAAAGCACTCGTATATCAGTTGTGATCACGTGACGCTCGGCAGACAAAGCGCATACGTACTACTACTCGTATTGCAAGACCCTCGCTCGTTTATCAAATTACGATTTATTTCCAAATTTTTGCTAGTCTTGCAAAACACTCGCAGACCAAGTTACTCGCAATCCAAGGTTTCACTGTACATAAATAATTTTAATAGCACTCCAGACCCGGCCACCCAAGTTCTATTCCCGCTCACGGCCTACATCAGTGACGGATGTCTGATCCGGTTCTGGGTGACCCCCTGTCGAATCAGCTTCAAATGAGTGCCGAGCTGCGGCGTGTAAATATCGCGTCTAGGGAGACAAACGCGGCCGGGCGTGGAGCTGGCCACCCACCCCCTCGTGTGCCTTCATAGGCGGATGCTTACGCACAGCAGCACTTGTGCCCAGCAGTCTGTTGAGGCTACACGGTGGTGGGGGGGGGGGTCTTTGTCTTTAGGGGGAAGGGGTTGGGTCGGCGGCAGGTTTTTTTGCGGAGGCTCGGGGCAAAATTCCAGAGGAGGTCCGCCACCCTTCTCTCTCCCCTCCCTCCTCTCTCTGGGGGCTTTCTGGGCAGGTGGGTGGAGAGAGATGGGTGGAGAGAGGCGGGGCTACAACGCTCGCTCTGGCTCCAGGAACACAGCTCGCTCGCTCGCAACTTCTGCGGCCGTCTGCAACGAACGCTCTTCCTTCCATTCGATGTTTCGAAAGCCGTCGGAGCGATGCACCGCTAAATCATCTCGATCGAAAACGCATTTCTTTACAACTGATTGTTTTGTTTAGTTTCCTCCCCCCACCCACCCCCCACACGATCCCCTTCACCACCTCCGATCGGCACGGTTGGCCACGTACGTTGCGAAAGAAGTTCAACACAAACACACGCGCGCGCACGCACGCGCGCAGCGGCGACCGGCGTTTTGGCATTAACGCACGGAACCCCCGGGTGGACCCCCGGTGGGCCCCCCCCCCCCCCCGCACGATGGACGGTGTCCCTGCGACCCCGCTGCACCAGCAGACGCCTCTGCGGGAGAGTCCGCGCCTCTCGGCCGTGGCCGGAGTGGACGTGCTGCTCAAGCTGGAGAACGCGCAGCCCGGCGGCGGTTCATTCAAGATCCGCGGCGTGGGGCTGCTCTGCCAGAGGGCCTCGGCGCTCTGGCACGCCGCTGGCGGCCTCGGTGGCGGCCTCGGCGGCGGCGGCCTCGGCGGCGGCCTCCACTTCGTCTGCTCCTCCGGCGGCAACGCGGGCATGGCCACGGCGTACGCGGCGCGCAGGCTCGGAGGGCGCTCCACCGTCTTCGTGCCGCGCTCCACCGCAAGCTCCACCAGAGAGGCGCGGGGTTGACGTCACTCACACGAGGGGGCGGGGGAGGGGGCAGGGAGTGGGGCAAGGATGAGGTTGGGGTGGAGGCGTTCACCGCGGTATGGGGCCGTTCATAAATGACGTCACGCACCTAGGGGAGGAGGGTAGGGGGTGTGGGTCAGACATTTGTGACGATGTGTGACAAAGGGGGGTGGGGGGTGGGGTTTGAGAAATGTGACGTCACATCAAAAGGGCGCAACTTTAAATAAATATAGACAACACGTTCTACTTAATTAAATAGACTTTTTAATAAATGTTTTTCTCCTACAACATCAGAGTGCAGCGGCACATTAAATACGCACTACAATGACAATAGTTTAAAGCGATTTGAAGCACGTTTTTATTTTTTTGGGGGGGTGGGGCAGAGCTTTGTGACGTCATATTTGAGAGGGGGAGGTCTGACTTTTTGTGACGTCGTGTGACGAGGCGGGGGTCAAAAATCGTAAAAAATCGGGTGACGTCATTTATGGACGGCCCCTAAATCATATATATTAAATATCTTATATTTAATTTATTATACTGTACGTGTCATAAATTAAATATAATATGTCTTATTTAATATTTCTAAAGATATTTACGTTTATAAATAGAATATGTTACATATGATATGTTATATATTCTTGTGCAGTGTAATTGAGGAATGTGTTAACATTTAATTTATGCTTACTGCCTCACTAAGTATCACCTAACAAACTGGTAGAGCCGTGGTACAACGGTTGTACAAAAGGAAACCCAATGACCAACAGTGTGGGGGTGCCTATCGTCATCATCATCATCCAGTTGTGGAAAGGCAACGCTGAAACTTTACATCATACCTAACATTTTACTGTGTAGGAACCTCCTGGTTACTACACCAGCCCACAGGGAATTATTGTGTCCGTCCGTCCGTCGTGCATCCAAAAATGGGAGGGGTGGGGCTGGGTGGAGAGGGGAGGGTGGGGAGGGGCTGGGGGGGGGAGGGTGGGGCTGGGGGGGGAGGGGCTGGGTGGGGAGGGGAGGGGCTGGGTAGGGAGGGTGGGGAGAGGCTGGGTGGAGAGGGTGGGGCTGGGTGGGGAGGGGGTGGGTGGGGGTTGGGAGGGGTGGGGCGGGGTGGGGAGAGGCTGGTCACCCCGTGGTGCCCTTATAAAACTCAACGTTTAACCTACTCACGCCGGCTTGTGCCCGCCCTCACAGTCGGGCATATTTGCGGAATATACCACGTGGTGGTGCCGCCGTTGACCCTGGCCATTGACGGAGCAACCCAACGTTCCTACCAGCTCCCTCCGCAGGAATGTGTTTGCAGCCCATTCATTGGAAATCCATTGCGAAAGAGGTCGTCACGCTACATGAATGCAATGTGCACATTGCTGTGATGTCTTCTTCACTCCTTGCTGATCTCGGCAAAGAGCGTGAACCATCGCGCGAACTTTGGTCATCCTCGCAGTGACTTTTTGGCTGGCCATCAAACAATGACGGTCAACTGCATCGCGCGCTTTCAGATGCGCTTCTGCGGCCGTCTGGAACGTTCTTCCTTCTGATATTAGGAAGCCACTGGAGCTATGCACTTTTAAATCTAGATCGCAAACTAACATCTTTAGAACTGCTTTTTGTGTTTAGTTCGTTGTCTTTCTCCTGCACCTCCGATTAGCACGGTTGGCTACGTACGGTGCGAAAGAGTTCAACATGCTAAATGAAACTTTTTTTTATTTTACCAGGTAAGGCCCATTGAGCTACATAGCTATTTTTTTCGGAAGCGATCTAGCCACAAATTATAGCTGAACGAAGCGGCTTCTCACTTGGAAATTTATAGCAGCCAAATATACTCGAAACGCATGCTTCTGAATATGGAGGGAAAAACCGGTGGACCCGGAGAAAAATCCGCGCGACGACGGAAAGAAGAGAGACACGCAGACTTCAAATTTACAGACGTCAGGGGTCGGTATCGAACCCACGAACCTCCCGTGCGCCAGGCGAGGTAGTCAACAGCTCGCCACCGTTGCGCCAATAATACGTGCATACCTAAATACACTCGGGCAGTAGAAAAGCGTCGCACAGGTGGGGCTTAAGCGACAACGAACGCGAACTGCAGCTGTGTCCTGAGGTGGACGGAGCCGCACGTTGTTGAAGACTGCGGTCCCCTAAGCAAGCCGAGTGACGGTCTGAGAACAATTGATGAAAGCTCCTGTCTGGTTCGGTGCACACGCTCAATAAAGAATCAACTGATGGATGGAGGGGAATGGGGTGGGGGGGGACCGGTGGCTGGGATTGAAGAAACGTTCAACATCGAGGTGTAGTGGTATTCATGACCTAATGACCTTTTTGCCTCTTGACATCGGACTGCCGCACTCGAATGTAATCGCGCACAGACCTTGCGAATCTCCACCCCGTGTCAGTCATGTTCAGTGCGGCTTAGTGGGTCGGGGGTGGCGGGGGGTGAAACCAAGTCCAGTTGGGATATCATTCGCCACTGATGTTTGCCATGGGAATGCAACTCGGGTTCGCCGGGTTTCAGAGCGCTGTGTGTTACTGTTCCATCACCAAATCGGTGATATCGATGCTTATCCCCAACCCCCACCACAAGTTTCTTAAATCCCTCCCCCTGCCGCCATCCACTCAACTATATACATGGGTGCACCAATTTTTGTTTTATTATGCAGTTTTTCACGACCAATATTATGATTCGTAATTCGTTTAGTTTTGTTTAGGTCGTGTAGGTAACATACCAGTTTTCATTTAAGGCCCTCCGTTTTCTAAAAAAAAAAAAATTGGCCAATCTGTCCACGTGACAACTTAATTTGATTGGCTCTGTCGGGTGGTGGAGGGTTATTATAAAAGTTGACATTATACCTACAGGATCTAACCCAAAATAAACTATAGTAATTCTGAATTGTGCACACCGCAGTTAATCTGTATGCAGTTCGCGTGTGGTGGGATAAAGTGTGTGGCTTCCTCCCCAACGTCTGGCCAACATGGAAGAATAGGCCAAAGCACTCAATGGAGAGAGGGAGCTCTTTATTAGCTTGTTGAGCTCCCTCTCTTTATTGGATGCCCTTCTGCCAAAGCAGCGGCGTGGTAAAGTTAAACAATTCAGAGTGTTTGGCTGCAATACATTTCCACGTGATAAGCTACTTTATTGAGCTATCATTTGTGTATGTTGAAATTCTTTAGCACTGTACGGAGCTAACCGTTCTAATCGGAATTGCGGGGGAAGGACATCAAACTAAACACATAAAAGCAGTTCTAAAAAATATAGTTTTCAATCTAGATTTAAAAGTGTATAACGCCAGTGGCTGCCTAATATCGGAAGGCAGAACGTTCCAGACGGCAACACAAAAATCAGTTTCGAGAAAAGAGTTTTAAATCTAGATTTTAAGAAATCAATCTTCATTTGTGGCCAGATGGCTTCTGAAAAATATCTGTATAGCTCAGTGGGACTTACCTGGCCAAAAAAAAAAAACGGTTCATAGTTTTAGTTTAAACAATTGCACGGCTGCTAACACCCCCCCCTGGATCTTTGCCGGGATCCTTCCCCTTGCTCAGCGGCTGCAGGAGGAGGGCGCCTCCGTGCAGGTGGTGGGGGACGCGTGGGACGAGACCAACGTGCACGCGCTGCGCGTGGCGACGGAGGGGGGCGATGGCTGCTGCTACGTTCACCCCTTCGACGACCCCCTCCTGTGGGAGGGCCACGCCAGCCTGGTGCACGAGCTCAAGGCGACCCTGGCGGCCGGCTCCAAGCCCGGGGCCGTCGTCGTGTCCGTGGGCGGCGGCGGCCTCCTCTGCGGGGTGGTGCGGGGGCTCAGGGAGGTGGGCGGCTGGGGGGACGTGCCCGTCATCGCCGTCGAGACGGAGGGGGCGCACAGCCTGCACGCCGCGCTGAGCGCGGGGGAGCTCGTCACGCTGCCGGCCATCACCAGGTGGGGAGGGAGCGCACTGCGCGTGTGAGCCAAAGCGGGGGGGGGGGGCTTTGGTCGGTGCCATCTGGGTGGGGGGGGGGGGGGGGCGGGGGGGGTGGCGAATGTCACCTATTCACCGTGGGCGGTCTCGACCGTGAGAATAAATCCTAGCGTACGTGAAGCCGTCTTGTTTTCTTGATATGCGCGTGTGTATTTCCGTGTTTTGTGGATGTTTAATATCGCATTGGCAGGAATTTGTTCTACTCGTGAAACGTTGGTCTTCCGCCGCGGTGGCTAGGAGATGTTAACTACCTTGTCTGGTACGCAGGAGGTCGTGGATTCGACCCCGACCCTGACGCCTGCTGCTGCTGTATGTTTGGAGTTTGCGTGTCTCTCTCTCTCTCATCATCATCACGGTGGCTAGGAGATGTTAACTACCTTGTCTGGTACGCAGGAGGTCGTGGATTCGACCCCGACCCTGACGCCTGCTGCTGCTGTATATTTGGAGTTTGCGTGTCTCTATATCATCATCACGGTGGCTAGGAGATGTTAACTACCTTGTCTGGTACGCAGGAGGTCGTGGATTCGACCCCGACCCTGACGCCTGCTGCTGCTGTATGTTTGGAGTTTGCGTGTCTCTCTCTCTCATCATCATCACGCTGGCTAGGAGATGTTAACTACCTTGTCTGGTACTCAGGAGGTCGTGGATTCGACCCCGACCCTGACGCCTGCTGCTGCTGTATATTTGGAGTTTGCGTGTCTCTCTCTCTCTCATCATCATCACGGTGGCTAGGAGATGTTAACTACCTTGTCTGGTACGCAGGAAGTCGTGGATTCGACCCCGACCCTGACGCCTGCTGCTGCTGTATATTTGGAGTGTGCGTATCTCTCTCTCATCATCACGGTGGCTAGGAGATGTTAACTACCTTGTCTGGTACGCAGGAGGTCGTGGATTCGACCCCGACCCTGACGCCTGCTGCTGCTGTATATTTGGAGTTTGCGTGTCTCTCTCTCTCTCTCATCACGGTGGCTAGGAGATGTTAACTACCTTGTCTGGTACGCAGGAAGTCGTGGATTCGACCCCGACCCTGACGCCTGCTGCTGCTGTATATTTGGAGTGTGCGTATCTCTCTCTCATCATCACGGTGGCTAGGAGATGTTAACTACCTTGTCTGGTACGCAGGAGGTCGTGGATTCGACCCCGACCCTGACGCCTGCTGCTGCTGTATATTTGGAGTTTGCGTGTCTCTCTCTCTCTCTCATCACGGTGGCTAGGAGATGTTAACTACCTTGTCTGGTACGCAGGAGGTCGTGGATTCGACCCCGACCCTGACGCCTGCTGCTGCTGTATATTTGGAGTTTGCGTGTCTCTCTCTCTCTCATCATCATCACGGTGGCTAGGAGATGTTAACTACCTTGTCTGGTACGCAGGAGGTCGTGGATTCGACCCCGACCCTGACACCTGCTGCTGCTGCTGTATATTTGGAGTTTGCGTGTCTCTCACCTTGGTCGCGTGGAATTTTTCTCCGGGTCCTCCGGTTTCTCTCTGCACATTTAAAAAGACAACGTCACGCGTTTAGAGTATTTGGCTGTTATACATTTCCACGTGAAAATAAGCCACGTCAGTTTTACACGTCGGCTTTCGCGACCAGTGTTATCCATAATAGAGGTTTTTGGGTTAGATCGCGCGAATATACAAATGTGTCGTTAAAAAGGTTTGCCACGTAAACAGAACAAGCCAATTCGTTACTAGTACGGCACACCGGTGTGTTGGAGAGTAAACCCACAGCATTTACAATTTGAGTATTTCGAGTACTCGAATCGTACGAGTAAACCCACATTTACAATTCGATTACTCGAATTGTAAAATTCGATTACTCGAATTGTAAATGCTGTGGGTTTACTAGCAACGAATTGGCATGTTTGTGTTTACGTGACAAACCTTACTAATTGTTTGCGTCGGGGTTGTGGCGGGCTTATAACGACACATTCATATTCACGCTACCTAACCCAACAACCTCTGTTATGGATGAGCCACTTCTACGTTGAGCTATCGCTTCTGAAAAAAAAACCCAAAAAATCTCTATAGAGCCTGACCTGGTAAAATATAACAGCAACAAACATTTGACCGACTCCTCTGCGATGTGTGTGTATGCGTCACAGCGTGGCCAAGACCCTGGGTGCGAAGCGCGTGGCCGAGCAGGCGTTTACGCTCGCCCGGGAGCACGTGGTCTTCTCCGAGGTCGTCTCGGACCGTGACGCCATCGACGCCGTGCAGAGGTTCCTGGACGATGAGCGGATGCTCGTGGAGCCGGCGTGCGGAGCCGCTCTGGCCGCCGTCTACTCGGGGGCGGTGCGCCGCCTCGTGGCCGAGGGGCGGCTGGGCCCGCTGCCTGGCCCCGTCGTGGCGGTGGTGTGCGGGGGGAGCGGCGTCACGCTGGGGCAGCTCCGCGAGTGGAGGGAGCAGCTGGGCATGGGCCCCGAGTGAATTAAGTAAAACTTATATTCTTAGCTCTTTCGGTAATGTCACGTTGAAGGGAAACAATAAAATATATTTTATTGTTTTATGTGTATTTTATTACTTTATTGTTTCCCTTCAACGTGACTTTACCGAAAGAGCTAAGAATATGAATTACTGCAGTCACGGAAGCTTTAAATCAAAATTTAAGTAAAACTTATTTTGTTCTTTCGGTAAAGTCACGTAGAGTGAGAATAAAATAATAAAATAACACGATAAAATTCTCACGACGTTTCGGCCACAACGCAAGCGGCCGTCTGCAGGTGAAAGGTACAGTTCTGTACCTTTCCCCATGAAGACGACCTTTCACCTGAAGACGGCCCGCTTGCATTGTGGCCGAAACGTCGTGAGAATTTTATTGTGTTATTTTATTATTTTATTCTCATTCTACGTTACTTTACCGAAAGAAGCAAAGAAGATGAATCCTTGCAGTCACGAAAGCTTCAAATCGATAAGTAAAACTTTTTATTTCATTTTACCCAGGTAAGGCCCACTGAGCTATATAGCTATTTTTTATTATTATTATTATTATCAAAAGCGACATAGCCGCAAATTATCGTGCAACCAAGTGGCACATGTGGAAATGTATAGCAAATAAACTCGAAGCGCATGTTTCGAAATGTGGAGGGAAAACCCGGAGGAGCCCGGGATAAATCCACGCCGCCACGGAGAGAACATGCAAACTCCAAATATTCAGGCGTCAGGATCGAACGCACGAACTCCTGCGGCCTTGAGTGAGGCTGAGAAGGGGCCTCGGAGAGTAACTCCTTGTGTTTCCAACTCAGTAAAAAAAATATTCGATTCATAATAATGGATTCATAATTCCTCATTCCTATTTTGTGCAACGATTCCCTCTCCCAAGAAATGTGATGAATTGACATGATTGGAGGTCGTGCCTCGATTCGAAAATCGGTTGTAGTCTTTTCACTGTCTTGTTTGTAATGTTTCTACAATTTCTAAATTTGTTCCCGTTTTCTTCGTGCAGGCTTAGGTTTATAAAACTTCTATTTTAGCGCAGATAAACTCATTCAGCAATAAATGCTCATTTTTGTACGAGGAATTCCTTGTTTGCCTCTTTAGCCTAAATGTAACACTTGAAAATAATCCGTAATGCAGTTTGCACAAACCGTAAATAATCGAGCCTTATATTCACAACGTTAAAGCTTGTAGAGGACTGATGGCAATCGATGATTGTGCATCATTAAATGCCGGCATGTTTCCACGGCCACTGACTGACGTTAGTTTGATTTTCCTGTCACGGCTATTATCAATGTCTGAGTGACATCTGAACCGGCCCTGGCCGCCACAAGCGAGTTGACGTATGGCCAAACAACCCCCACGACCGACACGGCGTGGGGAGATCATCCAGCAGTGAACTACCATAGCTACACATCGGTTGTTTCTGAAGTACAGTACTTGTCTTCCCCGCTTTTTTTTGGTTTACATTGTTGTGTTGCTTTCAATATTAAATTCAGTTTTCTAAAAGCACGTGGGTTGGTGCAGATTGGTGCCACTGGCTCAATCTGGCCCCGATCCCCGGACTGCTTTGACACGTTGTGACGTGCTCAAAATTGCTCAGTTAAAACCTACCTTTTTTAGTTAACAAACAAAATAAGTAGACAATCCGTCTCTGCATGAACAATGAAAGTATGTACATCATTAGACCTCCTTTGCCAGTACCAAAATATAAGAGTAGGGTTTTTCCCCAAAAGAAAGCCGTCTCTGGTGTGGACCAATCAGTTTCAAGGACAATGCATCATATATTATCAGTGTGTTGTTTGTTTGCATTTTGACCACAAGTATTGTGGTTAATGCAGACATGATTCCTTGAAAAAAAAAGGTTTCAGTTTTGTTGCCAGAAAAAAAGGGGAAAAACCCTATTCTTATATTTTGGTACAGGCAAAGGAGGTCTAATGATGTAGATGCTTACCCGGAGCCCTCATTACTCTGATAGTGCATTGTCTTTGAGCTTTACGCCTTTTGGCGTCCTCCGGACTAGCACCAATAGAGACGAGGCTCAAAAGAAAGCCGTCTCTGGTGTGGAGCAGTCAGTTTCAAGGACAATGCATCATATATTATCAGCGTGTGTTGTTTGTTTGTTTGCATTTTGACCACAAGTATTGTAGTTAATGCACACATGATTCCTTGTAAAAAAAAGGTTTCAGATTTGTTGCCAGAAAAAAAGGGGACAAACCCCTATTCTTAATGAAAGTATGTCTTACGCAACCCATCAGCCAGGCAGCCTTCTGGGAGTGCATCATCTCAGCGGCATCGATTCGGGACAAGTAAACGCTGCATCGTGGTGTCGACAAGTTTCTCATCACCTCCAATAGTCTGCGACCGTGGTCATCCAGAACAGACCTGGAGTATAACATATAATGACGCAATGCCCCCCCCCCCCTCGATCCACACAAATACGAAGGGGACACTCCGCTGCTCAAACCTACATCAGCCATTCGAAGTAAGCAAGCAGTCAAGACTTTCTTGAATGCTGGTGAAACTGCCAATGTTACAGGCAAGAACCCTTATGAAGCCTGACTCTGCCGATGAGACCCTGGATGTCAACCCGGCTATGAATTTGCTTGCCTTGAATCAACGCTGCTTTTATGCAATCGCAGAAGGACGTCCAGGTGAAGGGTTTGTGTAGGACTTACTTTTTTTTACGGATATGTGAAGGGGGGACATTGTCCGCTCATTCATTTTGTTATTTCTATTCTCCACAACGCCGTTCGTGATGTTGTAAGTTACGCACGTGACACCTGGCCCGCCCCTCGGTCCGCCCATTCACCTTGAAGCACTGCAGACGACCCGCCACCGTAACTTATAAGCCGCTTTAATAAACGCAACAGAACTTACCACACCAGCTGACAGATACAACTGCCCACAATATTGAGCACAAATTGGAATCGGTTGAATGAAAAAAAAACACCGAATAAAAGCAAATCTTATATAAAATAACCTTTTTTGTTGTTGTTGTTTTAGAATTGTCTCACAAAACCATTTGCGATTGGCAGCAGACTTACCCAATGGTCGGATATCGAGATACAAGTCGCAATCGTGACTCTCAAAAGTGGAAAACTCCGGTCCCACTTTTAATAGTAACACAAGACAACACAGTACAGTACAATGTGATTGCTTCCAACGTCAACATTTGAAACCGCGTTGTCGCTCTATACCAGGCTTTTTTTCCCAAATGCCAGTACTTTCCGCGTTTACTAAGATACTTTTCCCAATAAAAATGCTAATTAACTCGTTACACGTTGCATGCGCCAGACGATTGTAAAACGTGTTCCCGCATGACGCGCTAAGCAATTAACGCCGTCCGGCTTAATAGAGAGCCGATTCCAATTAAGGTTGAGCTCTCGGTGCGTGCGTGCGTGAGTACACACGTGCGCATACACGTGTGTTTGTGTGTGCACATGTGTTCCATCGATAACAGCACTTGTCCCAACAGTCTGGTAAGGCGATACAGGGGGATCTTTGCCTTTGCTTGTTCAACGTGATGCAGACAGCGTGAATTGCTCAGCGTGCCACGTGGGACCGATTTAACAATCATCGGGCGCGTTGCAGCGTGGAATGACCGAATTCATATTTGCGAGTAAATTGGGTCGTGAGGACTGGAGTTTGGGAAACCTTTCTCTTTACCATCGACTGATACACATCTCGTTTCAGTGTTGTCACATCGGAGGTTTTAGCGTGAAATCGAGACGGTCCCTCTTTGGGAAACTGACGCTTTCGATATTTTATTTAATTCCAGGTTTTTCCACCCATATGGAAGTACCGTGCATGTTGCACCACGTGCGATTTATTTCCAAAGCAACACAAATATGGAGGGAGGGGGGCGGGGAGGGAGAGGATTAAATATTACATCCATTACAACGTGGATTAATGCAACACGTGTTCATACGAAGGAGACATCATCACAGCGATGCACTCCGGTGCTCCTGACGCGGTTATCTGGCTTGACCGCCTGAGTGTGAATTTGTAGTTGCTGCTCTGCATCTACATCAGCCATACGAAAGAAGAGGAAGAAGAATATGATCCAATTAATTAATTAAAGTCCACAAGTGTTCCCAAAGCCAATTCGTGAAAGTGTCACAAGAAACGCATTTCTTAAACCAGCTTGAAACTGACGCTGGTTCCTGTGCCCATTGCCCTTACTTCGTTGTATTGTACTTCTATGCTCCCACAACTATGCTGCACTTCATCATCGACCCGCACTGGCATTATACTTGATTGTCAATGAATCCCCACATGACCTGCATTGCGTGGAGAGGAGGTCCTCATCCAGCGTCGACTGTAAATCGGTCAGTCGTGTACGCGTGGGTCAGCGGAGTATCCATTCACTGTGGACCTTTCCTTCTCCATAATTGGTTGATTACATTGAGCCGCACTGGCTCTTCCCACTGCAGGGAAACTTCAACAGAACCACGGTGTCATCAGGCGGCTGAATAACGTCGACCTGTTGATGTTAATTCACCCTCAACACCACCCACTGTGGCCGGGGACCATGCGGCAAATCACGAGACTGGAGAAAGTGCAAAGGGTTTTTTCCTCCCCCCGAAAAAAAGTGCACATTTATTGTGAATCTGAGCGATTTTTCATTGTTATTGTAGAGTTTTCTTTTTCATATTTGACAATGTCAAGGGGGCTCATCGCAATGTTACCGATGCCACCACCACCGCGCTTCTCCAATGCTTCCTTCGTTGCTTGTGCGATATCCCCTGAGGGTTCGTACGGTCGACATGCGACCGGCAAGGACTGCCAATTAGAAGCCTCATCACCACCAGCCTCTTGTCTGTAAGTCCCGCCCCTCCCCACCAACATTCCATGAGCTGTCACAATTCTGGGATTCTTTACTTTTGGCGATTGTTGATGCAGGGGGGCGCTATGGGTGGATCTGCACGTCCCGCTATTTTCCTGCATGGAAAATCATGGCCAATTCCGGGTTACCCCCTCTCACCCACGTTTGAGTGTCGCGAATAAGATCAAATCGTACAATTACATAATTTCTACTTGTAACGTGCACCTCCGATTAGCACGGTTGGCTACGCACGGTGCAAAAGAAGTTCAACGTGCATACGTGCACGGTATTCGCTCACTCTGAAAGACGGAAAAAACAACTCGGAGATGCGGGGAAGAACCATACATGGGAAAGACAGCCAAGCGGCGTGACAGCGCCAAATTTCCCCACAAGCCCTGTGGTCCTTTGTACGGTAAGGTGTAATCGGCACGTTAGTGAGTGTTTACACGTGGGAGGAAACCAGAGCACCACTAGTGCGAGGGGGTAATACTCGATCCCATACAGATGGAACTGGTAGGGTCCACATTTTGCTGTACTGCCTTCTCCTGGCAAGCCAGGGTGTGGAACCTCATCGATGCCCACAGGGAGTTTTATAACCTGATCCACCAATCCTCGCCTCGACACAGCCCGGCAAAATAAAATGCTTCCGTGAGGCCTCTTATGGGTACATTTGGGTTGGTTCAAAAGCTGCGAATAAGAACGGCTAATGGAATGGGACCGGCCACTAATTCTGTGTTACGCCTCTTATCTGTGCACACGAGTGGATAATAGGAAGGTCCGATTGTAAGTGAAGTAAGTCGCGGCATTTCTTGCCGCGCACTCTTACGAGTCCAGTCCGTCACGAGTGCACACAAGTTGCGGCTGCAGAATACACAAAGTTGCGGCAAATAGAAGGCTGTATAGGATGAGTTTCACTGTCATTTATGTGGCACACGATCACATCGGTAGCTCGGCGCGTTGGGCATATTCTAATTATAACATGCAGTTGGTACAAATTGCAAGTGACCATGTATATGACCTTGACTACAGCCACGTAACTGTGGACCCCTTGAATTTTTGTGAACTGGCCTGCTTTGTCGTCACGGCCACGTTAAGACGTCTATTATTGGGCAGATGTTTTAGAACCCCGTCCATTGGTGGGTGAAGGAAGAGGCCAGGTGTTGGCACCTCTCTTTGAGCAGAGCAAACTAAGAAACACGTCTCTCCATATTGCAAGTCCTCTCTCGCTCGATGCCATCCCTCGGTGTTTATGCGCGCTAACTAAACTAAACCACTTTTTTTTTATTCTACCAGGTAAGGCCCACTGAAGCTGTGTAGCTGTTTTCCAGAAACAACCTGGCTATCACAAATGATGACAGCTCAACGGAGTGGCTTATCGCGTGGAAATTTAGCAGCAGCCAAATACTCCAGACGCATGTTCCTAAATATTCTTGGTTCTTTCGGTAAAGTCACGTAGAAGGGAAACAATAAAAGAACAACCGAAAGAACCAAGAATATGAATCCCTGCAGTCACGAAAGCTTTAAATCAAAATGTTTCTAAATGTGGAGGGAAAAAAAACGAAAGACCCGGGAGAAGAATCCACGCGAGCACGGGGAGAACATTCACACTCCAACTATACAGCAGGCGTCAGGGTCAGGATCAAACCCGCAACCTCCTCTATACCAGGCGAGGTAGTTAACAACTCGCCACCATGGCACCCTTACGGCCACCAGAGTAACCCTGCCGGGTGTTAGCCTTTAGTACTGCAAGGGTTTAATTCACAATTATCAACGATCGGTATGACACGGTGTTTCTCCTGCATGTCCAATCCGGCAGCACGGGAGGATGGTTCTGGTGGACCAATCAATCAGCCAGCAAGGACATCATGAATGGTGAAACGCCACTCTCAGCAATAGCAATGCTGAGCAATGAGCATGAGTCGACCATCAACTGGGCAATGAAGTATGATTTGTGGAGGGCAGTAAGAGATGCCTGCTTTTGGATTTCATTGTATTTTACGTATAATGTTGAGTGTAATAATTCTCATCAAAGCTGATAATAAATATACAGTCCTTAATTTTACTTTTGGCTTTTCTTGTAGTTTTACCGATACCGAGTGCAATTATTATTATTGGCTTTTATTGTGGTTGGTCTGAATTCTAAAAAAAATTAATAAAAATTGTTTTATTTTATTTTACCAGGTAAGGCTCACTGAGCTATATAGCTCTTTTTCAGAAGCAAACCTGGCCACAAATGATAGCTCAACGAAGTGGCTTATCATGTAGAAATGCATAGCAGCCAAATACTCTAAAACGCATGTTTCTAAATGTGGAGGGAAAAACCAGAGGACCCGGAGAAAAAATCCACACAAACACGGGGAGAGAGACATGCAAACTCCAAATATACAGCAGGCGCCAGGATCGTGATCGAACCCACGACCTCCTGCATGCCAGGTGAGGGAGTCAACATCTCGCCACCTATTTCTGTTGCAAGTGTAGTTACCATTATTGTTATTTGTTATCGGGTTTTACTGCATTTCGATTTGATTGTATGCGTACTTGTGAGGATAGATTAAACTTTTTTTTTACATAACAGCACGTTGAGATAATTCGATATGAAAGGCGCATTATAAAATAAAGATTATCGTTCCTAAAGTTTCCTCCAAAAACCAAAGACTCCAAAAACAAATTCACCTCTCGCCTGACATTGCGGAAGAAGAGTCTTAGAGAAGACCCAGCGGCGAAGCTCTCATGAGTGGAAAGATTTGAAATCAATTTGAATGTGTTTAGCACACGCTTACAACTCCTTATGTATATACGAAACTCCATTCGTCAGCAACGTAACTTACTTGAGTACTTTTCGTGCCGTACAGAAACTAGTAACGACTCGTTCTGCCCAGAAGGAATGAGACGGACTGCTAGATCAGCTCCATACCACCTCAGATGTTTGACCTATGTAAAAAAAAACTCACTTGACCCCCCAATCCATGAATACACCGCGCCTCCACTAGGGGGCAGCAGTGGCAAGGTAGTGGTTTACTTGGGTTAAAGCCCCAGTCGTACGAGGTGAAAAGTGACCCGGTGGTGGGGGGCGAAGTCTAAGGGGGCTTCAAGTCACTCAGACAACGCAGTCCCATTAAGAATTGTAATTTTAAAAGGCATTGTGTCATCCACAAGCACATATTTCTATTTAACCTTTGACCGATTCCAAAAAAAGTGCCTTGATACAGCCGAGTTACACGGGAGGGTGACTGATCGATCGCCTGAATTTGAGCACTGATTTACGACTGCTGAAGTTCTAGGTTCGGAAATACAGGCAGTCACCTGTGGCTAAACCAGGTTTATCGATTGTAGCGAGCTGATGATCTCAAACCTGCTCACCGATGTGCACCAAATTCATCCTTTTGGTTATCACAATGTTCGTGTTGGCCAACTCCTGACAGCCGAAATGTATAATTATTCATAATAAAGGTTTTTGGGTTAGATCGCGTTATTTATAAATGTGTCGTAACCCTCCACCACCCGACACGGCCAATCAGCAAAAAAAAAGTGTCACGTTGACAAAAGACAAATAATTCACTACTTTAGCCCACCGGTGTGTTGAAGAATGAATGTTGTGGATTCACTCTTCAACACACACCGGTGGGCTAAAGTAGTGAATTATTTGTCTTTTGTCAACATGACACTTTTTTTGCTGATTGGCCGTGTCGGGTGGTGGAGGGTTACGACACATTTATAAATAAACACGATCTAACCCAAAAACCTTTATTATGAATAATATTGGTCGCGAACGCCTACGTGTTAAATGTATAAACATATCAAGAGGCTGAAATGCGGCGTGCCGCACTGCACAGCATTAAAGAAGTACCATCGAATTGCTCGTTAGGAGGTGTCTATTGAAAAAAGGCAACAGAAGAAGATCTGTAGCATCAGCTTCTCCAGCCTTTCCCTGAAAAATCGATAGATGTGAAGCCCTGCCACGCTACCAGACGTGCCCCGCAATGGATGCACCTTCCGGCCCCAGCACGTCTGATAGTCTTAACGCCTGGGAAACAATTATGACACAATCCAAAAGGTTCCAAGATATTCTTCTGTCAAGCATTTCAATTTAAGAGCTCGTGTGCGCGTCCAGCGGCCCCCCACCCCCCCCTCGACCCCCGGAACGAGCGTCACACGACCGCCTGAGTGCCTGGCGATTTGTCTTTGTCTGAGTGCGAGTCCCCTTTGCCCGAGGGCACCTCGGCTATTGTGGCAAGTGGCTCCGAGTGAACCTCGCCTGCACCCGAAATGGTGGCAGGGACATCCTTGTCCGCATCCGTCTGCCTAGGCTCGCTAACGCTCACCTCACTGTCCCCGTGGGGCGTGTCCTTCCCCGTGTGCGCCCCCGTCTCCTCGTGGGTGTCCCTGTCTGCCACCCTGTCCTTGCGTTTGTCCAACCGTGTCTCTATGTTAAAGTGTTTGTCTTTCTGCTTGTCCTTGTCGAGCAGTGTCTCGATGTTAAAGTGTTTTTCTTTGTCCGATACTCTGTCCTTGGCCCTGTCCGAGCATTCAATTCTATCTTGAGACTTATCTCTGGCTTTGTCTAGGTGCGCTTCTTTGTCCACCGATTTGTCTCTGCCTTTTTCCTTATCCCTGATTTTGCCCTTCTCTGAGTGCGTGGCTAAGTCCGAACGATTGTCTTTGTCTTTTGCTTGAGCCCTCGCTTTTTCCACACTCTTTTCATTGCCTGCAGCTTTGTCTCTGTCTGAACAGTCCTCCCTGTCCTTCGCCTTATCCCTGGCTTTGTCCGAGCGCGCCTCGGCCTCGTTCCCCCTCCCCTTCTCCTTCGCCTTATCTTTCTCCGAGTGCGAACGGCCCTCTTTCTCCTTCGTCTTAACCCCACCCTCGTCCGAGCGCCTGTCAACAGCGACATCTCTGCCTTTGTCTCTGGCCCTGTCTGGGTCCGGGAGCGGCTCCCTCCTCCCCGCCGGCGCTTTGTCTGCATGCGCGCGCGCCGACGGCTGCCCCCACCCGCGTCCGGCGTCCGCGTCCCGTCCGCTCGACGGGCCATCCCAGTGCCAGTCCCGGCCACCCGTCGACCGGGAGGGCTCCTCGTCCGAGTCGACCATAGCGAGGGCCTCCTCCAAGGCCTGAGTCAGCGACGACACCGACTCCTCGAGCTGCCCGATGCGGCGCTCCTGGTTGCGCACGACCGTGCGCAGCAGCCCCACCTCGTCGCACACGTCCTTGAGGATGTCCTCGTATGACTGAGCGGGGGGGGGGGGGGGGGGGGTGGAGAAAAAAGCACGCTCGCCATACAAAGACAAAGTTGGCCCACGTATAGCATTAACAAGACTACGTGATATTCTTAGTTCTTTCGGTAAAGTCACGTTGAAGGGAAACAACAAAATAATAAAATATATATAAAACAATAAAAATTCTCACGACGTTTCGACCATAACACAAACGGTCGTCTTCAGGTGTGTTGGTTTGCATACATTTATTTTTAAACGGTGCATTGTTTTATTTATAAAAAACGTTAGCGCCACGCGCAGCGATTTGGCAGTTTATTTAGGACTAGTCCATCTATATTCTGAAAAGAGGAGGGGGGAGACGAAATTATTATTATTTTATTTTATTTTTTACCGAAAGAACCAAAGAGTATGGATCCTTGCAGTCGCGAAAACTTCAAATCTTCGAATTAACAAGACTGTTGGGGCAAGTGCTCTCAGTGAGCAGCACCTATGAAGGCCGCCACGGCCATATTAGGGGGTGGGTGGCCAGCATCCACGCCTGGCCGCCTTTGTCTCCCCAGTTGTGACGTTTGCACATCGCAGCAGGGTAATTACTTAAGGCTGAAACGACCCGGGCGAGGCCCAGGACAGGTTCAAATTAATCGTTCGAGTTCCTTATCGTTTCCTCCTCATCGGCTGCGTTGAACCGTGTGGAAGCTGCCCCGGCCACAATCCTCCCCTCGATCAACACTTGGAACACACTGACTCCTTCACAGGAACACTGGCACTGGTCTGGCACACTGAGGCTGGCCTGCCTACAATCAGTCCTGGGTGTATCCACAGTAGATTGTGTGAGGAGCTCATATGCTCTTGAAAGAGATCTATAGGGTGCTTCAAAAAAAAATGTGAACACTTCCGGGGAATATGCAAAATAATGCCACAAGAGAAAATGTGCCTCCGGGCTCTGGATGACCATCTGGAGAAGATTCCAGGCACGTGTCGACAATGATGGCGAACAAGTCGAGACTCTTTGGCTTTTTGAAGCTATTAACATACATTTGTTACGGTGTATTATCCGTTCTTTTTCCATTGAAAACGATCGTGCCGTGTAAGTGTTAAAACAAACATTGAATCACCCTGTATTGTTCCCATTAGGGTCCTCCAGCAGGCATGGAGGACCTAATGAGGAATAGACGGATTGGGTTGGATCACGTGGCCCACATGCCAAGCCACCGCTCATAATGAATACAAGTGCTGGGTGACTCTTTGGTTCTATTCGGTAAAGTCACGTAGGTAAAAAAATAAAACAACAAAAATCACGACGTTTCGGCCACAACGCAAGCGGCCTTCATCAGGTGAAGGGACCAGACTGTCTCGAAGACTGCGCTGATCTAGAATAAGTGCTGGGTGACTGTAACACGGCAGGCTGGCACACAGCGGGCAGTGCATCTGCCCATCATCTCTTTCAGCCCATACGTAAGACCTGCGTCTATCCCGTTGACGCTCTTGTCAGCAAGCCTTCAACATCTGACGTAGCCTGAACGTGCACCCAGCCTGGCGCAAGCACCGTAGTCACCTCACTACTGCTGCACGTGCTCGTGTGCCTGTACGTAGTGGGGAGTGGTGGCGTAGCGGTTACCGCTACGCTGCGCTACGAACCTGGCGTCCCGAGTTCAGTTCCCGCTCACGGCCAACGCCGGTGACGGTTATCTGAACCAGTCCTAGGCCTCCCCTAGGTCGACTCAGCCTCAAATGAGTACCTGGTGCGGTGTGTAAACATCGCCACTAGGGAGACAAAGGCGGTCGGGCGTGGCTGCTGGCCGTCCAACCCCTCGTGTGCCTGCTCCGGCCTTCATAGGTGCTCGCTAACAGCACTTGCCCCAACAGTCTGTTACAGGCTATACGGGGGAATCTTTGTCTTTGCACATAAATAACCTCCTGCCGAGGAGCCTCCGACACTTCACGTGGCGTCAAGGTGCACCTGGCCTGCCAGAGGCGCCGTGGTAACGTCACCGTCACTTAGTGGCGAATGGCGGCAGCACATTGCGATGTGAATCTGGCAACCCGAGGTCGGTTCCTGATCATGGCCAACATAACTGGAGAATATCTGAACCAGGTCCTGGTGCTGCCATATCGGCCTTCATAGGTGGTCGCAGCACTTAGCCATAGCAGTTTGATAAAAAAAAACTATTTGGGGTCGTCTTCGTGTACATATGTACGTGTGTGGACATGTACGTGGCACACGTGCCCGTGATCATTTCCACTTAAGTGGCACATTCCTGCTGTCTTCTGAACGTGTGTATATGTCTGGGGAGTGGTAGCGTCGTGATCAGTATGGTGCACTACGAGCCCGGCAACCAGAGTTTCGATTCCTGCTCAAGGCCAACATTGGTGACGAATATCTGAACTGGTCCTGCACCCCCCCCCCCCCCCCAGGTCAACTCAGCCTCCAATGAGTAACTGGTGCGGTGCGTAAAACATCGCCACTAGGGGGCCAAAATCCACCCACCCCCTCGTTTTCCGCACCGCACCTTCATAGGTGTCCCCTAATGGCTTGTAGAGGTGTTAACTACGCGCTGTTGTGTAACCTGCATTGCCACCAGGGCAGTGCAGCATTACCCCTGGGTACAACGGTTGGGGTCAGTCAAGGTGAAACGGATCGTGGCCAGGGTTTGGTACAAACCAATCAGATGGTTCCACGTGGGAATGTATGATTGGTTCTACCTGGCCACGAAGGAGTATAAGACAGGTGACCCAACGGACCTCGGGGAGTTCTCTCCCTGCACGAAGATAGAAGACTGGGCTGGAGCCTAGCTAGGACCCTGGACCCAGCCTTCCAGCCCTTCTGAGGGCTAAGGCTCGGCATACCCAGTGGTCAGGACCCACCGGGCCAGCGGTGGGTCAGATAGCCTTCCCTAGGTCCTAGCCAGAGGACTAGGATAGCGGTAGACGTGTGAGTCCCGCCAGGTCCGGAGGCTGTGTACCTCCTTAGGTATCAAGGAGGTTAGCGGTAGATGTGTGAGTTCCGCCAGGTCCGGAGGCTGTACCTTCCTAGGGTATCGGGTGAGGGGACCGAATATCCCTCTGTGTGTGTTAAGCGTTGTATAAGGAAATAATACAATAAACAGAGTGTGCCTCCTAAAGAAGTCTGCTCGTCCTTACAACACTACAGGCTTATGCCCCCAAAAAGTTTGTGAAGGCTGTGCGGGGGATCTCTGCCTGTGTTGCTGTGTGTTTGTGTGTTCACCATTTCCTTGCCGCCCATGCACACCGATTTGCTGCGGGCGAGCGTTGGGGGCGGAGCTGCTCCATTGCGAACGTCCGGGTTCGCCGGCCGGTTGTCCAACACGTTCCGTCGCACAACCTGCGACGAGCGCGCAAGCAGTGTAAGACACAGATGGCGCCATTCAACTAGCACTGTTCAATAATGACGCTAATACAATTTCAGCCGTTCCACGAGGTCCCACAAATGTGGTACAACCGACATCGGCTGCGCGCATCAGACGAGGCGACTGCCGCTGATGCGTGTGTGTGTCACGCGGGCCTTATCGCCACTCGCCTACGGACACCTGACCTCCAAGGGCCGCTCTCACAGTCTCATCACCACCCCCGTATGGATTAAGATGTTCCCCTTTGATCACCGACCTCTGGGTGCTTTGTCTCGCCAACCTGCGCTCTCCTGAACCACAACACCTCGCTGGTCTCGTCAAGGAGCGCAGACCATCATGCAAACCCCGGTCATCCTCGCAGCAGCAGCAGCTTTTGGCTAGCCATTGGATGAAGTCACTGCATCACACACTTTCAGATGCACTTCTGCGGCCTGCCTAGAACACTTTGCCTTCCGATATTGGGAAGCCACTGGAGCTATGCGCTGTTAAATCAAGATTAAAAGCCAATTTTCTTTATACCTGCTTTTTTGTGTTAAGTTTGTTGCCTTTTCCCCCCCGCACTTCCGATTAGTATGGTCGGCTACGCACGGTGTGAAAGAAGTTCGACATACATACATGTGGTCATGGGCAGTGTCTGAAGGCTCCTCGATTGAAGGTCAAAAGGACAGAAATAGGTGCTGAGGATGGAAGGCTGTAGGCTCGCTAATGGGAGGTCATACGACAGACCCGGTCCTTGAAGGTGGAGTTGTGAAGGTTCATAGACCCAGGTTCTGTGGGTGAGGCAGTCGATGCTTGCCGACAGGAGGTAACGATACAGATGCAGGTGGAGTGGCGGAGCCTCCTGTTCTGAGAAAATATGGACTGATGCGATACTGGAGGACGCGCAGCTGAGTGGACTTGCCAAAGACTGGTACCAGCGGTGTCAAGATCGGCATCTATAAAAGACACTTCTGGTCAGTTGAAGGCAGTCGCCCTCCGACAAAAACGGAGGGCGGAGGAGCGACGCGCACAACAACGAGCGGAGCGCCGAGTGGCTAAAATCCAGCAGGTTGGCACAGTAGGGGGCACAGGTGGTGCATCTGCCAGTCATCTCGGTCGGTCAACCCATGGCACCTGGGCCTGTACCGTGACCTCCTGTCTGACGTCACCACCACTTAGCGTGCGAATGACGCATGGTTGGTATTGGTGTAGTTGTGCTGAAGGTGCAGAGGGAATGCACCTTGACGTCCTTGCTACGCGTAGACACGTAGCCCGCCCGCAGTGACACGAGCACGGGCTCGCCATCCTTGCCGCTCAGCCACTCGTCCGCCTCTATGGCTGCTTGAGCTGCTGCCGTGTCCGGGTAGAGGTCGTCCTGGAAAAGGTCCGACTGTAAAGACAGAGACACCCCCAGTGTGTAGACCATGGGGGGTCAAGTATTGCGAGCGGGCACCCAGTAAAGGGGCGGAGTGATCAGAAGGAGTGTTAAAGGAAAGTCAGATCAGAATCAGATCGTAATATGTTTTCATACTGGAGGAATCCAATGAGCTATAAAGCTCTTTTTTGTTTACAGACGTCCAGGAGACATTTGTGAGTGGTGGCGCAGTGGTTAGCGCATTGCGCTATCAACCTGGCCACTCGAGTTTGGTTGCCAGCCATGGCTAACATCAGTGTCGGCTCTGGGCACCTCTTCACCAACCGGCGCTGACCGGCGTGGTGAAGTATGTCCAGACACAGCCTGGGGAGACCTTCATCCAAAATGACAGACGATTGTGAATTCTAACCTTGCGGGTGGAAACATGGAAAGGGGGATGGTAGCCTTCTCGTCACCCAAGTTGTCGTGTTTCCTTAAACATAACTAATACCACCCTCTAGGCCAGCGGTTCTTAACCTGGGGTATGCAGACCCCGTGGGGTATGTGGCAATATTCCAGGGGGTACACAAGGTGATTTATACGTGCAGAATTATATCATGCGCGAGAGTCATTGTTGAACAATCACGTATGAATCTGCCAAAATAAAATAACGACGATAAAATTGAAATCAATATGGTAACCTAGACCGATATAAGAGACCTTTCTAAACTCGTTGATGGTGAACAATGTGGTTTCCGAGCGTCACCAGCAAGCGCGAACAATTTACGTCATGAACGCTGAGCGTCCCGTTGATTTTGTTTTATTCCCACGCAGTTACTTAGCCGGTTAGGATACCTCACCAAATGGACAACTGGTTAAAAATATTGACGTTCATTATTCATACATTCATTTCTCAGAACCACGATAAGGTGACGCAAGGGGGGTTACTCGGTTGAAAAAAAAACTCAACACGGGGGTACAGTAGCCATAAAAAAGGTTGAGAACCACTGATCTAGGCGAAATGGACATCATTCGAATCCAGATATGATCAGTAAAGATTGTAAATTATTATTAAATAGGCGGCACGGCACACGAACGGTTGACGCGACCAGCATTACGCCCGACTGCCTCGGTCTTCCAAGTGCTTAAATTCATACACCCTGCAGCCAGCCACTCACTTAAGGCTGAGTCGACCTGCTAGGGGAGGCCCACTGCAAGCTCAGATATCACTTGCCTGTCAGGTTGCATATGGCGGAGATTCAGAGGCGCATTGACCTACTTCAACGGGGGTATGCAGCATACAACCGTGGGCATCCCTCCCCCCCTCCTTTCTCCCGACTTACTTTTACTGACGCAAACTATACGTATATATTATTTTAGTTGCACCGTGTATTGGGTTTACAGGAAGACAGTCTCACAGGGACAGTATTAATAAAAAATATATTTAAAGGTACAAAACTCACAATTAAGTTATCATGCCTCTTGCTTTCAATCACTGGTGGTTCAGTAACAAACACCAGTAGCGCTACTATATTTTACGCTACGCATTTTTTCGGAAATATTATTTTTTCATTTGTAACAATGTTTTTGTTTTGTTTTTGCCATTCATGGTTCATTTTGGAGAAAAAAATATATAATTAGAATATTTTTTCTTAACATTTTGTACTCGTTTCATCTGTTGATTCGGGGGCCCCCTTGCGGCTGTCTGGGCATCTATGTGTCGCATCACGCTGCATACCCAGATAGTTGCAACCCTGCCGAGGATGAAACATCTCGTCACCAGGACCTTAGTGCAGAGTGTGAGGCATCGTGGCCCAATGTACGATTGTGTCTGTTGGCAGGTCCTGGGTCGTCAAGTCTGTCAATGACGAGCAAACCCTCACCAAAACAGAATTAGATATTGCAGGCTGGACAACCGTAGTTTTCAAGCAACGCACGACAACGTATAGAAATCACTCAGCCTCTGCGCATGATGCAAAAAAAACAGCAGTAGTTCTTGATTGTCTAAGGACACCATCAGAAAAATCTGAGTAAATGTGACCATCTGAAGGCAGCAGTCAGTGATGACCGAATACACAAGGACCACAATGCACTTCTTCAGGAAGTGTTGATAGTTGTTGCACAATGCACAAAGTCTGAGTGCTTGTGTATGCTATTGTGTGTTATTTGAAACGTAAGCCCTGAGTCAGCAGTGGAAATTCCACATTTCCGTGGTGGGGGCCAGTTTATCCATACCAAAACCACGATTGACTTTCCCCCAAAGTCATACATGTTTTATTGACCTCTGATGTATGATGGAATGGGTCCAACCCCCAAGCAGAATTTGAATGTGAACCCTTCCAAGTGTGAGTCAATCACAGCACCACCTTAGCCAGATTTAGCTGAGCTACTACATCATATAAAAAACATTTCAAACACAATACAATATTGAAGAATAAGCTAAATGTATTTGATAAACCGTCTGGAACACCCTTGCTTCCGATATTAGGAAGCAACTGGAGTTATGCACTTTTAAATCTACATTGAAAACTCATTTCTTCAGAACTACTTTTGTGTTTCGTTTGTTGTCCTTCCCCCGCGCCTCCGATTAGCACGGTTGGCTACGTACTGTGTGAAAGAAGTTCAACATACACACAAACATTTTGGGTGCTGGATTTACAACGTTGAGGTCGCCAGTAGGGTTTTATTTCCCGGCACGGCAATTACAAACAATGGGGCTAGTTTATTGAAACCCCCCCTCCCCCCACAATCTCTGTCTACCCATTAGTGTAAATGGGTTCACCACAATTAGTCGATCGGCACGCCACGTGTGGTGGGGTAAATAGTGTGGGGTACTTCCACCTCTTCCAAGACCGTCTGTCCATTGTGGAAGAGTTGGGACAATATACCCCCTAGAGGGGCTTGTCTTGAGCTCCCTCTAACGGAGGCCCCTTCCCCCAGCAGTGGCATGAGAGAGCAACATCAGGGCTGAACCTTTACCCACGTAATCAAGGTGAACTCATTTTGTATCAATGTTATGATTTTGCATAAACGGTGCACGAAAACATTTTCCATTGCGAAATTGATGCCGAATTTTACGCTCGGGGATTCATATTGTGGAAGAGACCTTTAGCCTCAGCGAGCTTTTACCCGATTACAAAATATTTACAGCCACTATTGCTGCTGCTGCAGCGAAATTAAGGTGTTCCTTACCTTCCTGGGCACGGTCATGATGATGGGCTCACATCTGCGTTCATGGAGCTTGTAAAATCTGGAAGAGATTGCAAAAACCTAGAACAAATTATAAAACATTTACCGTATTTATAATGCCAGCTTCAAATTGCTGAATCTGTAAATGCGTCATTAAAAGCTGGAGCCGAAGCCAACATCTATAAAGGCCTTTTAAACCAAAATGCGTTTTCAGACCTTGGAGAGTAAATGTGTCCAAATAATGCGACACCTGTAACGGATTGTAAACAACTTGAAATGTATTTATAAACCTGAAACAAGCTGCAGGACATGAACCTCACGGCGGAATCCCGGGGTCCCATAAGCCCCCGGGGCTCTCACGCAAACTGCCGTTGCGACGTCATTTCATGTCTGTTGAAGGCGAACTCACACGGCAATGTATTCCTCTCGACGAGCTCTACACGATGCGCTGATCAAAGTTTTGTTTCGTCTGCGCATTCGTCCTCGCTGCTGCGCTTGGATGGCACGACAACAGGATGAACCGCGCCAGGCGGGTCGCGGCGTTTGTGTGCGCGGTGGGGACGGAGTCGCCAAAAATAAATTAATTAGTTACGATTTTTTTTTTAAACGTTTATTCGGGACCCCGGGGTCCCGCCATGAGGTTCATATGAAACAATGGAAAATGTGGAATAGATTCAAGAAGCCACACTACAGAACCATAAAACCAGGCCCTTGCATGATACACATAGTCCGTTCTCCTGTAACACAGTATTCGTGCTCCTAAAGAATGCCACTTTACGGTAAAACCTTGTTATAATAAATAATTACGACTATAATGAGCCAAGAATGTCGTGTTTGTGTGTAACGTGCGTGACGTCACTCCACATGCCGGCCCCCCCCCCCCCCCCATCATTAATATTAATTTTTACACTCACGCAGAAGGTCGAGCGGAAATACATTTTTTTCCGCAAATTTGCTTTAAGTTTCACGTTTCTTTATTGAAAGTGAATCTAATAAATAATTCTACGCAGCAACAAAGTGGATTTGGTGTCTTTATTTCTTCAGCACTTGAGACAAAAGGTAAGTCTAATTTACGCTTCTACGTTATGGTAAAATAGACATTTCTCGGTGATTTTCCAGATATTGTATCGAATTCCAATTTATGTCAACCCCAGCGACCAAAAGCAGAAGAGGATAAAGGATCAGAGCAGTGAATTTGAACAAATTGAAGGTCAGTTATATACAGTGCTACAGTGACATGAAGTGAGTTGTTTTATGAATTAGTTTTGTGCAAGATTCACTTCCATTAATACAGAGCTACGGTGAAATGCAGTGAAGTGTTTGATGACATACTTTCGTGCAATATTAACTCCCATTAAAATTTACACAAGCTGCTGCTCAATTTTTTCGTAAATATTACAGCTTCCGTCCTAGGACGGGCAAAGAAGCTAGTTAAATATATCATAAGGTAAGGCGCAGTCTGGGATAACGCGTGAGATGCGTACGCAGGCCGAACAGAGACTGAGGCACGTGGGTAGCATCTCGAAGCATCCAGCAGCATCCCCGGCTTGTGTGACGCTACGCCGAGGCAGCCGTACAACCGATTATTCCTACTCACGCGAGGTAGCTCTGTCCACTCATTCGAGTTACATCCAATTCGCATCCCCCGCGCCAACCGGCATGTTCACCCGCATGTACACCACCTCTACACCGTTCATCATGCTAAGTCGGCCAATCAAATGCTAATTTTTTATGCTAATTCCTTTGTCAAGGCACCTTGTTTCCTCGCACACAGCTTAAAGGTCACGGTCTGAGCGTGGCTGTGTTTCACTCCAGCGCTGTCCTCGAGACAGCCTGATCCCTTCACCTGATGAAGGCCGCTTGTGTTGTGGCCGAAACGTCGTGATTTTTGTTGTTTTATTTTTTTTACCTACGTGACTTTACCGGATAGACCCAAAGAGTATAAAAATGTGTTCCAATAGATTCATAGCATTATCTCCAATTCGCGTTATGAAAACATACATTATAGGAGAACAGACTGAATATAAAAACTGGAATAAATAGGACAAAGTGGATTTTTTTTTTAACTGGAGTTGTTTATAACACGATGGAGCTGCTCAGTCGTTAATACAATCAGTGGATGTCTCCCCACGACTGTGAGCGCTAACCTGGGGGAGCCACGTGGTTGAGGTGGCACATGGCAGCTCCAAGGTCAGGGTGCACAGTTGGCACGGCTGTGACCCTAGGTTTGAATCCACAATAAAGGCTGTAGGAAGACACAGCCTCTACCAGCCACAGGTCTAGCCGGCACCCTCTGCAACGCGCTTCTTAAAAGCAATTGGCTAAGTGGCCGAGTGGCTCAGAGATCAGAGCACTGAGCCAGCACCACTGATATCCTACGGTTAGAATCCGGGATTCAGATGCTCGTGATCATACCGGGTTCTCAATCTCATGAATGTATGCTCTTGTACACCACACACACACACCACACGCGCGTACCTCGCGATCTCACACTTGTTGACGTCCAGGCCACGCTTGGGCATGAAGCCCATGCCGCGCTGAGGCTCCTTGCTGCTGAAAAGGTTCAAGAAGTGGACGTAGGGAGGTTCCGGGGTGACCTCGAAATAGCGGATCGTGCAGTCGCCCTGGCACGCACACAAAGACAAATATCCCCCGTATAGCCTCAATAGACTTTTGGGGCAAGTTAGCGAGCACCTATACAGGCCTGCATGGTACACGAGGGAGTGGGTGGCCAGCACCACGCCCGACTGCCTTTGTCTCCCCCAGCGGCGATGTTTACACACCGCACCAGATCCTCATTTTGAGGCTGAGTGGACCTAGCAGAGGCCTAGGACCGGTTCAGATAATCATTACTGGTGTTCGCCGTGAGCGGGAATCAAACTCAGGTCGCCAGGTTCGCAGCGCTGGGTGCTAACCGCGACACAACCACTCTCCACACACCCATGTGTCATTTAAATAACAGCAACATCAGTGACAGCAGCGAAAATAACAACCTCCTCAAGAACTGTCAATGAGCACTAAGTGGCAGTGACATCGAAACCGAATGACATCTGCGGCAGGCCTGCTTCGCTGCGAAGGTGAGTGGAGTGGTGGAGCGATGAGAGCTCATTGGGCAGACCCAGGTGCTGTGGTGGAGAGGTGCATGATAGGGAGGGATGGACGCAGGTGTAATGGGTAGAGACGTGAAGGCTCACCTACAGGTAACAGGGGAACACGTACCTCGCAATTTCACACCTGTTGTTCATGAGGTGGAGTGGTAAAGCTTGCTGATGGAAAGATAAGGAGGGACACACTCAGGTGATGGGGCGAGAGTAGTGGAGATGTGTGCATTATGGGCAGTGAAGACATCGCTGGGGTGTTACGGTGTAGACCATTCTGCTGCACGTGGAGTGAAGGCTTGCTCATGGATAATGGAGAGTAAAAGAAGCTTGGAGACAGGGGGGGGGGTCACAGGTGGACTGACACAGATGCTGTAGGTGTGGTGGAAGAGGCTCGCTCAGAGGAGATCGCAGATGGACACAGGTGCTAGGGCTTGGGTTTTAAAGGCTCGCTCATGGGAGGTGCGGACGGACAGACCTAGTAACTGAGAGTGAAAGTGGTGAATGGTTGATGTAGGTGTGTTGAGCTTCCTACGCGCCGTGCTGAGTCGACCGCGCAAGTCGGAGGCGCGGGGGAAGGACAACACACTGAACACAAAAAAGCAGTTCTAAAGGAGCTGACGATGACACGAGCTGATGGGAGGAGACCCAAGGACTTGATGGGTGGCCTTCGTACAGACGCCGGTGTCAGTGTTGGAGCTGAAAGGTTCAGAGACAGGTCACAGGGGCCGAGACCCATTGTGCTGCGATCAGACCGGTGGAGGCTCACGACAGGGGAAAAAAAAAAACGGAGTGTACCTTTCCGCATAGGTAGATGATGTTTGTGTCCATATCGTAGTACGGGATGAGGACTCCGTTGCTCGAGTCCAGCTCCTGCAGCGTGATTGGCTCTTCGAATTTTTTCTGAAACAAAGGGAGAAAAATCAGGCGTGGATTTTGCAACGCTTGCCGATGCGAGCATTCAATTCGCGATGATGATAGCGTCGCCATCCCGAGGTGCACAACGGCATGATAATAATACGCAGTACTTATTGATCCAAGCGAGTCGCACCGAGATTTGAGGTTTTCGTGACTGCAAGGATCCATACTCTTTGGTTCTTTCGGTAAAGTCACGTGGGGGGGAATAAATAAATAATAAACTACAACAAAGATGAATTTAGTTGTTTTCATGTTTGTTGTATTCCGTTTAATTATTTATTATTATTATATATTTTTCCCCACGTGACTTTACCGAAAGAACCAAGGGGTAAGGCACGCCGAGTCCAAGGACTATTTTACGGGAGAGTTCTGCTGCTTGCAGCCAATTAGAGAGTGTTTACGCATGTGGGAGGAGAGCGGAGCCACACGGAGAAAACTCACGCGCATGGCGGGGGGGGGGGGGGTAATACTCGATCCCCGTACAGATTACAACGGATGGCGTTTAGTCCACCTGCTGTACTGCCTTCACCTGGCGAGTCACGGGGTACGACATCTAAAATGCCCACGGGAAGGGAGTTTCAGAACGTTTGCGCGATTCACCAACCCCTCATCTCCCACAACGCGGCGACCGCACGACTACGACGTCACATCGCATATGGCGTGTGGCGCCGCGACATGCCGTCATGTGCATCGACGTCACGGGGAGGCGAGCCACTGGGCGGTGAGATGTCATAATCACCTTGGCTGAAAAGGCATATCCATTTAAATTTTGATTTAAAGCTTTCGTGACTGCAGTAATTCATATTCTTAGCTCTTTCGGTAAAGTCACGTTGAAGGGAAACAATAAAATATATAAAACAATAAAAATTCTCACGACGTTTCGACCATAACACAAACGGTCGTCATCAGGTGTGTCAGTTCGCATTAATTAATTTATTTTTAAACGGTGCATTTATTTATTTATAAAAACACGTCACTTTAATGGAATCGCTCCTGGGGTTCTTTGTAAGCCATCTGGCTACCATGAGAGATTCGTTCATCAGGCTATCCACATATACAAGCACAGAGACAATTTCAACCGAGAAGATGGATTATGGCTTAGCAATCATTGGAAAGATTTGATAAACCATTTCAGGTCTTAATTGATTGTTCACGCTTACAGTGGCTTTCAGACAGCATACATTAATTTTTCGTCTCCCCCCTCCTCTTTTCAGAACATAGATGGACTAGTCCTTCTAAACAAATTGCCAAGTCGCTGCGCGTGGCGCTGACGTTTTTTTTATAAACAAATACACCGTTTAAAAATAAATTAATTAATGCAAACCGACACACCTGATGACGACCGTTTGTGTTATGGTCGAACCGTCGTGAGAATTTTTATTGTTTTATATATATTTTATTGTTTCCCTTCAACGTGACTTTACCGAAAGAGCTAAGAATATGCATATCCATTTAGTCGAGTGTTCCCCGTTGCAAGGCCCACGGGCCACTCACGGCCCCCTGGTGGCCTTTAGTGCGGCCCCCGACATTACAAAAAAATGTGAAAACACCCCCCACATCATGCTGTCAAACCCCAATGCTTTCAAATGTGTGGTGGCACCTCACACTGATGATGTCTCATCGGCGAAAATGCCCCCTACCCCCATCTGAAAATGAGTGAAGAACACTGCATTTAGCGCTGTCTTTCATAACAACCTTTTGATCAATGTGGCTGGGGATTTCTATTGGGCAAGTCCTTTATAGCAACGAAATTTAAGGCAAACATTTCTCACGTATGTTGAGTCAACCTTCGCGATTGTTATCGTGACCCCCATTGTTACAGACGGGCACAGCAAATGCATTTTGTCAACCTGTGTTGGAAAATAACAAGTGGTATATATATATAAAAAAGATAGAAACGCAGATGAAAGCCAGACACCTAAGCATCTCACTTTTCACACGAACGCGCTGCACTTCTCCACTCGTGGCCCACTGCTGGTGGTGGAAAATTCCACATTTCCATGGCTGGGACCGGGTTATTCATAGTACACACACACACTGTAAAGTTCTCACAAAGTGGCATTCATTGTATTTGACCCCTTTGGTATCATGGACTGATAACAAAGCATTCTACAAAAAAGCCTCGAGGTGCACCTAGCCTGGAACAGGTTCTCGTGATCGCTTCCACTTCGATGGCAAACTCCTGCCGTCTTGAAAACGTGTGTGTACGTATGGGGAGCAGTTGTGCAGCATTTAGAGCATCGTATTCTTGGTTAATTTTTGGTAAAGTCACATCGAAGGGAAATAATAATAATGATAGAATAGAAATCAAACAATACAATTCTCACGACGTTTCGATTGCAAACACAAGCAATCGTCATCAATCGAAACGTCGTGAGAATTTTATTGTTTTATATTTTTATTATTTTATTGTTTCCCTTCCACGTGACGACTTTACAGAAAGAACCAAGAATATGAATCCCCGCGGTCACGAAAGCTTTAAGTCGAAATTTAGAGCATCGTGTTACGAACCCGGCGACCCGAGTTCGATTCCCGCTCGCAGCCAGCACCAGTGATGACTATCTGAACCGGTCCTGGGCCTCACCTAGGTCGACTCAGCCTCAAGTGAGTACCTGGTGTGATGTGTAAACATCGCCACTTGGGAGACAGAGTCGGCCGGGTGGGGTGCTGGCCACCCATTCCCTCACGCGACGTGCCTTCCATGCCCTGTGGCTCACCACAAGTTTTATCTGTATATATATTTAAGTGATTTGTTTACCTTCCCTATATATATTCTTGGTTCTTTCGGTAAAGTCACGTTGAAGGCAAACAACAAAATAATAAAATATATATAAAACAATAAAATTCTCACGACGTTTCGACTGTAAGACAAACAGTCACCATCAGGTGTTGGTTTTCACAATAAAAGTCTCACGACGTTTCGACTGTAACACAAACAGTCATCATCAGGTGTTGGTTTTCACACCTGATGATGACTGTTTGTGTTACAGTCGAAACGTCGTGAGAATTTAATTGTTTATATATATTTTATTATTTTGTTGTTTCCCTTCAACGTGACTTTACCGAAAGAACCAAGAATATGAATCACTGCAGTCACGAAAGCTTTAAATCAAAATACCTTCCCTATACTTTAAACTCCTGTCGTGTTTTCTTACTGGATGTGTGAAAAAAGAGCTTCATAGCTCATCGGATTCCTCCAGTATAAATACATATATTCTGATTCACAGGTTGCTCGCTAACGGCACTTGCCCCAACAGTTGGTTAAAGGCTACATGGGGGGACTGTTTGCCTTTGTATGTATTGCGTGTACGTTCTATGTGCGTGCGCTGTTGGTGGTGGAAGTGTCACCGGGTCCCAGAGGCCGAACTGACGCTCGCTCATGCGCGTGAAGCCGGTGGTGAAGACGAGGTCGTCCCTCGTGAAGAGCGCCCGCATCGGGCGGATCCCCTCGTGCGGGGTCATCCTCTCCTGCACACAAAGACAAAGATCCCCTGTATAGCCTTCAACATACTGTCGGGGCAAGTGCCGCTCGCGAGCACTTGTGAAGGCCAGCAAAGGCAAACGAGGGGGTGGGTGGCCAGCAACATGCCAGGCCATCTTTGTATCTCCCAAATGCTGATGCTTACACACCGCACCAGGTACTCATTTGAGGCTGAGCCGACCTAAGCGAGGCCCATGACCGGTTCAGATCATCGTCACTTGGCGTTGGCCGTGAGCGGGAATCCAACTCGGGTCACCAGGTTCGTAGCGCAGCGTGCTAACTGCTACACCCCGCGCAAGCTCCTACATAGAGTCATACACACACGCACGTTGAGTCATACACACACGCACGTTCACATGGGTCACGCCGGGGTCATCCACACGGGGTCGTACACACACACACACAAGCAATGCACACACACGCACACACACGATCGTACACACGGGAGTCATTCTCTCCTTCCCGCGCACATTTGGATCGAGCAGCAGCAACAACCACCACAACAACAACAGTCGCCGTTCACCACTAAGTGGCGTTGATGTCACCACAGCGCTTCGTGCCAGGCTGGGTGCACGTTGAGGCTACGTAAATCGTCTAAGGTTCGCTGACAGGAGGCCATGGAACAGGACCAAGGTGATGACTGGCGGATGCACCAGCTGTGCTCCCGACGAAGTCGCCAACTTGCTGTGTTTTAGCTGCCGAGCGCTCGGCTCATTGTTGTGAGCGTCGCTCCTCTGCCCTCGTGTTATTGCGTCCTCCAACTGCCCAGTAGCGAGCGTCCTTCACCAGCCTCCTCCACAGAGGCCCCATTGTTACCAGTTATTAGCGAGTCCACTCAGCTACATATCCTCCTGTACCACGTCAGCCGATTTCTCTCGTTTGCAGCCTTTGCTGTGCCCACATTGCCCCCTTGATCTGGCACGAGAGTGATTCGGCATGGAGGCGACATGGCCCAGCTAATGCGGCCTCGCCTGCCGGTGGGAGCTCACCGCTGGGACGGTGTCCAGATCTTTGTGAGGATCTGTGAGCTCCTCACAAGATCCAGCCGAGTGAGAACCCAGGGTGGATCGTGGGCAGGGATATACAGACACAAAGCAAATCTGCCAACACGCACATGCAAAGGTGTCACGCATGCACCTCGCACGTGCGTGTCACGCAAACGCATACACAGGGTCATATATGTCACATATACACACACGCAAAATCATACACATACAGGGTCATCTTCTCACACAACACACGCACACAGGCGTCAATCACGCACAACATGGGCGTGTCGCACACGTCAAGTGCCGTTAGCGAGCACCTACAAAGGCCGATATGGCACACGAGGGGCTCGGTGGCGAGGAAAACACCCGGCCGTCCGTTGTTCCCCCGGTACTTATGTTTACACAATGCACCAGATACTCATTTATGGCTGAGTCGAACTATGGGAGACCTACGATCGGTCGTAATACTCACAAGTAATGTGAGCTGTGAGCGTAAATCGAACTCGGGTCGCTGGGTTTGTCCAGAGTGCGCTAACCGCGACACTACCACTCTCCACAACAACACAAAGACAAAGATCCCCCATATTGATTTAACAGACTGTAGGGGCAAGTGCTGTTAGCGAGCACCTATGAAGGTCGGCACGGCACACGAGGGAGTGGGTGGCCAGCAATACGCCCGACCGCCTTTGTCTCCCTAGTGGTGATGTTTACACACCGCACCAGATTCTTTTTTTTAAGGCTGAGTAGACCTAAGGGAGGCCCAGGACCGGTTCAGATAATCGCCACTGGTATTGGCCAGGAGCAGGAATTGAACTCGTGTGACCGGGTTCGATAGTGCAGGGTGCTAACTGCGACACTATCACCGCTCCGCGCATACTTTGCATACAAGGGATCACACGCATGCAAGGGGAAGCGAGACGAACGCGATGTGTTATGTTTAATTGCGAAAAGATTGAAACGAAAACATGCGTACCGTGCTGCTGCTGCAAGACGGCGCGTTAGCTGTTAGTGCGAGAGGCAGACACAAACAGACACACGTGCACACACGGACATGCATTGGTCACACGTGCTGGGGACACAGTCTGGATCAGGAACCACCTGGCCGGCGGATTGAAATTATCAATAAAAAATACAATCTCGGTTTTCTCATCAACGAAGCTCCCGGGATGCATAGGGACATTCAGCTGCAGCAATTCACCCGTTCGCTTTAAGGGCACCGTCTCCACGTAACAAACTATTACTGCTGGAAAATATTAATCTGGTAGAAAGACCGGAGCTCGATCGAGGAAATGTTTTGTTATTTCCACCCCCCCCCCCTCCCTTTTAAACGATTAAGCAACCCGCAACCGTACGGCTAAGTCTCAGAAGCTAAGCAGGGTTTCAGCCTGAATAGAGACGCAATGGACCACCACCATGAATAACAGGTGTTATAGGCCACGTTATGAGCAAGTCAAGGCAGTGCAGAAAATGCATTGGTGCACAGTACTGTACTTCTATGCTCCCCATCTTTAACAACCCACGACCCGCAAGGAGGAGCTAGGGAGGCTGTCATCCGGCAGTGGATTTTCAAACGGCTCTACATATCCACACGATAAAACCAAAATTCCTTCCATTTACATTTCGACAGCAATTAGTTCATCCTCAGCAGCGCCAAGGCCATGTGGGAGCAGTGCTTTGATGTTTTGTTGCCGGATGTTATTGGCAGGAGCCGCCCTATTTACCTCTGGAGACCATCTCAGCAGAGAGCACGTTCTGTGGGCAACCAAGGTTTATGAGGCCCGACTCCGCTGATGAAACTCAAAAGGTTGAAACCGGTACAGAATGTTGCCCGCTCAGACAAATCCCGTCATGAACGGCCGTGTACAATTTGACGAGCTACGGTTGCATTTAAAATGGAATGAATCCACATATATATACATATAGTACACATATCCTCCGCAGCTCCGATTAGCACGGTTGGCTACGTACGGTGCGAAAGAAGTTCAACATTTTGGGTGCTGGATTTACAACGTAGAGGTCGTCAATTGGGTTTTATTTCTCGGCGCGGCAATTAGAAACAATGGGGCTAGTTTATTAACCCCCCCCCACCGCCCCCCACCATCTCTGCCTACCCATCAGTGTCAATGGGTTTCACCACAGTCGATCGGCACGCCACGTGTGGTGGGGTAAAGTGTGGGTACCCCCACCTCTTCCAAGACCGTCTGTCCAGTGTGGAAGAGTTGGGACAAGACACCCCCTAGAGGGGGGGTGTGTGGGGGGGGTCCATCTCTTGAGCTCTCTCACCGTACAAATATTTAGGCTGAGTCAACCGAGGGGGAGGTGGTGGAGGTGGACGTTAACGCTCCGCAGGTTTAGACACCAGTTGGCCGCATTGTAATAACGATGTGCATCATGGCCCTGCACTTGATGGGAGCGTACAGCCGTGCAGCCGCAGCCTTCGTGACGTACGGGCAGACACTTACACGGACGCCACACAGGCATGGCAAGCGGTGAGCAAATGTGCACTCACTTCGGCAGCGCAGGTTACACGAAACACAAAATGCCAGCTCATGAACCGGGCACGCATTCTTACAACCTGGGCCCAAGGCAAAGGTCCATGGGCAGTCACTGGAGGCAGACTGAGTGGGCACGCGTAAGCGGTTAATAAGCATTGTGGAGTATCTCATACTGTTCATCTATCGAGGCACCCCGGTCACTCAGTAGGCGGTCACTCATTCACCCTTCCCCCAGCAACCGTGCTGAGGACTCCCTGTCCCTGTTCACGTCCAGGCGCAAGGCCTTCCTTGTTTATTCTGCCTATGACCGACTGCCTCTTTCTGTACACGGAGGCAATTTACACTCTTCCTGTAAGCATCTTGAGAAGTGCTTGCACACATAGGCGGCATGAATCCACATTGCATTCGAACTGTATTGTATCTGCTTCTCCAGAGAACGCGCAATGACAATTTACACGCCTTGTGAGATCAGAGACGCAGCCTCCAACGCAAGATGGCTCGATCGTTAATGGCTCAATGCACTGACGCAGATACTTCAGCACTATATGAGAAAAGAGGCAATGAAGCCCTAGGACTCAAACCTAGACAATAGGCACCGCTGGCTAATTGTCCTCATACGAGCATCGACCGACATCAAGACACTCAGCAACAGGGCTCGAACCTCGGGGCTCCACATTGCTTGCTCAGCACAATGAGATGTACATAATCCACATGATTAAAGGGCAGGAGAGAGACGCCCTACACCTGCGGGGGCTCGAATCCAAGACCTACGAATCATTGACTTTACAAAGGAATGATCATTAACCTCCTGAAAGATACACGGCACTAGTAGGGCTCAACGTATAAACTAAAACTAAACTTACTTTTTTACCAGGAAAGGCACACTGAGCTATATAGCTCTTTTTTCAGAAGCGACCTGGCCACAAATGATAGCTCAACGAATTTGCTTATCATGTGGAACGGTATAGCAGCCAAATACTCTAAACGCATGGAGGGAGCAACCGGAGGACCCGGAGAAAAATCCACGAGACCACGGGGAGAACGTGCACAGAAGTGATCTCGCCACAAGTGGCGTATCATGCCGAAATATACTGCAGCCAAGTTCTCTAAACGCTGTCTGTCCATGGCACAAGACAAAGCAAAGTAGAAACAAATGACGACATGTGCCGTGGACACCCATGGTCCATCTGCCCATGGACCGCGATGATGATGACTCTAAACGCTCTGAAACATAACTTCAGATCAAAATAACGACCCTTAGCTCAGAGCCAGAAATTCAACATTTCTGGCTCAATGCTCAGTGAACAAGTATCAATATTCTTAGAGACACCCAGACCTGGAGCTCAAACCTAAGATCTCAACATTGCTGGCTTAATATATCCTGACACAACATCAACGACATAGGTCAATAGGTCACCACGGCCGGTGCCAATGACGCTCCCACTTGTTGCCATCACTCTCTCACCCCTGCTAGATCCCACAGCTGCTGCAAAGTTGACACCTGACATCCACAAGGTCTGCTCTGAGACTCTGACCACCGTGGCTGCCGACCTCTGGGTGCCCTTCCTGTGCCTGTTCCTGTAACCTCTCCTAACTTGCACCCATCACAACCTCCTCTTCCTGATTCACGTCCACAATCCTTTTTGGCCACGTTCTATTTCAAACGCCCAAGTTGCTTCACCCCATCCAAGCAGTGTTTCCGAAAGCCACCGCAAGTTCCCCCGCTCAAACTGACATAGGCGTACGGTGGAATGGGCCTGCGATCCAGTGCCTAGGCGACGAGGGCTGGCTGGAGGATCGCTCGAGAGATCTGCGAAACCCCCCCCCCACCCCCCACCACCACCACCACATCATACTGAGAACAAGTGAGGTGGACAAACGATGGCCGTGCAGCAAGCGAGCAACCGTAGCCGTCAGAGCCACACCATCCATCGCGTGATCCAACAACGCCCCCTCCACCACCAGGGTGGTCGGGGCAGCGGGCTGTGCTGGGGGTGGTGGTCACGTGTCACGTACGGCGACGGTGCACCCCTTGCGGGGGTCGATGACGCGCACGCGCTTGTCTCGGCTCGCGGTCACTACGAGCGAGCCCACGCGGTTCCACGCCGCGCTGTAGATGAGGTCCCCATGCAGGTCGGGCAGGCTCAGCACGGCGTCGCCCGTGCCCACGTTCCACACGATGATGACGTTGTCGCAGCCTGCGGCGAGGAGGTCGGCGGGGGCGCCGCGAATCAGAATCAGAAAGGGTTTTATTCGCCATGTAAGTTCACACCGACACGGAATTTACTTTGGCAGGATGGTGCATACATTCAACATATAGGAATCTAAAATCTTAAATAAGTTTTAAACAAGTCTTACTATAATAAGGGTTAACAGTCTAACACCAAGGGGCTGAAGTATATAAAATTGAATAAATATCGAATATAAAATAGCTTTAAGATATAATTTAAATATAAAAAATACAAATAGGTTAACATAGTTAATATCGGCAAGGTGTCATTATGTAGATAAAATGTTAAAAACAGTGTAAGCCCTTGGCCTTGTTTAACAGGCCAGCAGCAGATGGGAAGAAACTGTTTTTATGGCGTGAGGTTTTGGTCCTGATGAACCGTTTACGTACACACGCGGCAACAACAACACAACAACAACACAACAACAACACAATAACACAACAACAACACAACGACAACACAACAACACAGCAACACAACACAACAACAACACAATAACAACAACACAATAACAGCAGCAGCCGCAGCCGCCATTCGACCGCAAAGTGGCTGTGACGTTACCAACGGCGCCGCTTCGTGCCAGGCTCGGTGCACCTTGAGGCCATGTGAGGTGTCGAAGTGCTCGCTGACAGGTCACAAAACAGAGCCACGTGTTATGGGTCAAATGACTGAAATGACTAGCGGATGCACCACCTTGTGTGCTCCCCGCTGTGCCAATTTGCTGCGTTTTTTTAGTCGCCTGGTGCACTGTGTTCATTGTTGAGAGCGTCGCTCCTCCGCACATCCCACTGTTGTTGGAGGGCGACTGTCTTCGACTGCCTTAGTAGCACCCTTCATGAGCCTCCTCCACAGAGGTCAATTTTGACACTCCCAGGTACCAGTTTTGGGCAAGTCCACTCAGCTCCATATCCTCATGAACATCAGCCCATATATTCTCTAGCCCCTTACTTGCACCCGTTAAACCCCTCTATCTGGCCAAACAGAAATGTGCGTGGTATAGGCATCGGGCTGCACGATCCAAGCAACGTAGTATCACCTGCCGGGCAGAGGAACTCACATCAAAGTCATTCATCCCCCGTCTAGCATTTACAGACTGTTTGGGAAAGTGCACCATGGTGACGTTTACACAACATGCAAGATACTCATTTTAGGCTGAGTCGACCCACGGGAGGCCCAGGGCCGGTTCAGATAATCGTCACCGGTATTGGGCGCGAGCGGGAATCGAACTCGGGCACTGCAGGTTCGTAACGCAGTGTGCGCTAACCGCTACACTACCGCTCCACAACAACAGCCGCCATTCGCCACCAAGTGGCGGTGATGTCACCATGACGCCCGTGCCATGTCAGGTACACGTTGAGGCCACACACACAAAGACAAAGACCCCCCGTGTAGCCTGTAACAGACTGCAGGGGCAAGTGCTGTTAGCGAGCACCTACGAAGGCCGGTAACGGCACACGAGGGGGTGGGTGGCCAACACAACGCCCGGCCGCCTTTGTCTCCCTAGCGGCGACGCTTACACATCGCACCGGGTACTCATTTGAGGCTGAGTCGACCTAGAGGAGGCCCGGGACCGGTTTAGATAATCGCCACCGGTGTTGGCCGTGAGCGGGAATCGAACCCGGGTCTGCAGGTTCATAGCGCAGCGCGCTAACCGCTACACGACCGCTCCCGCACATACACACAAACACATATGTACATACACACAAAAACATACATACACACAAACACACACAAGAATATACAAAGATATACATACAAACACATAAAGCACGTAACAAGATCGACATAAACATACAAGCAAATACATACGCATACAAACTTAAACGTGCACGCACTTATACATACAAGCACATGCATAGATACATGAACATACATTTAAAAATAAAACCACATAGATCCCCTCTTTGATTCGATCATTTTCATCACGGAGTCACACGGCACCAGGACTCGAATATGATGCTCTTGACGAAGTTGATCTTGGTCTGGGTCATGATAATGACACTGTTGATGATAATGACACTGATCACAGTAACACATTCAATGTTGACATTCATCCACAACACAACACAAGTTAGAGTAAGTGGTTTTCGGCAGACTAGCAGCAGAAAGACAGATAAATGGGGGAACTCGGGCAAAAACACGTCCCCCATGGAGATGGAGCGAAGACATCACCTCGTGTGCAGGAGCTTGTTGCATTGTGACACCATGAGAATCGAAGACAACTTGGGGGGGTGGGGGGTGGCTTCATCCAGCAGTGGATAGTTCATGGCTGATGATGCCAATAAAGCTGATGACAGTGCTGCTGATGAGAGTGATGCTGATGGCAGTGACGTTGATGGCGATGTTGATGATGGCAGTGCTGCCGATGACAGTTGCTGCTCGTGATACTGATGGCGATAGGCGGTGTTTGATGATGGCAGTGCTGAAGCACCTGCACTCATGAGGATGTTGCGAGCCGTCGGGTGCCAGGCCACGATGCCCACGCGCCGTGAGTGCCCCTCCAGGCACACGACCGGCTCCGTCATGGGGCGGTAAAGCCCCGCGTCAGGGATCTGCCACACCTGCTCCCACGCACCATACCACGGTGAGTCACACCTGCTCCCACGCACCATACCACAATGAGTAACACTTGTTCCCACGCACCACACCACGGTGAGTCACACCTGCTCCCACGCACCATACCACAATGAGTAACACTTGTTCCCACGCATCACACCACAGTGAGTCACATCTGCTCCCACGCACCACACCACGGTGAGTCACACCTGCTCCCACGCACCATACCACAATGAGTAACACCTGCTCCCACGCACCACACCACAATGAGTCACACCTGCTCCCACGCACCACACCACAGTGAGTCACACCTGCTCCCACGCACCATACCACGGTGAGTCACACCTGCTCCCATGCACCACACCACAGTGAGCCACACCTGCTCCCACGCACCACACGACAGTGAGTCACACCTGCTCCCACGCACCACACCACAGTGAGCCACACCTGGTCCCACGCACCACACCACGCTGAGCCACACCTGCTCCCACGCACCACACCACAATGAGTCACACCTGCTCCCACGCACCACACCCCAGTGAGTCACACCTGCTCCCACGCACCACCCCACAGTGAGTCACACCTGCTCCCACGCACCATACCACAGTGATTCACACCTGCTCCCACGCACCACACCACAGTGAGTCACACCTGCTCCCACGCACCACACCACAGTAAGTCACACCTGCTCCAAAATGAGTCACACCTGCTCCCACGCACCATACCATGCTGAGTCACACCTGCTCCCACGCACCACACCACGGTGAGTCACACCTGCTCCCACGCACCATACCACAGTGAGTCACACCTGCTCCCACGCACCACACCAAAATGAGTCACACCTGCTCCCACGCACCACACCACAGTGAGTCACACCTGCTCCCACGCACCATACCACAGTGAGTCACACCTGCTCCCACGCACCACACCACAATGAGTCACACCTGCTCCCACGCACCACACCACAGTGAGTCACACCTGCTCCCACGCACCACACCACAGTGAGTCACACCTGCTCCCACGCACCACACCACGGTGAGCCACACCTGGTCCCACGCACCACACCACAGTGAGTCACACCTGCTCCCACGCATCACACCACGCTGAGGCACACCTGGTCCCACGCACCACACCACAGTGAGTCACACCTGCTCCCACGCACCACACCACAATGAGTCACACCTGCTCCCACGCACCACACCACAGTGAGTCACACCTGCTCCCACGCACCACACCACAGTGAGTCACACCTGCTCCCACGCACCACACCACGGTGAGTCACACCTGCTCCCACGCACCACACCACAGTGAGCCACACCTGCTCCCACGCACCACACCACAGTGAGTCACACCTGCTCCCACGCACCACACCACAGTGAGCCACACCTGGTCCCACGCACCACACCACGCTGAGCCACACCTGCTCCCACGCACCACACCACAATGAGTCACACCTGCTCCCACGCACCACACCCCAGTGAGTCACACCTGCTCCCACGCACCACCCCACAGTGAGTCACACCTGCTCCCACGCACCATACCACAGTGATTCACACCTGCTCCCACGCACCACACCACAGTGAGTCACACCTGCTCCCACGCACCACACCACAGTAAGTCACACCTGCTCCCACGCACCACACCAAAATGAGTCACACCTGCTCCCACGCACCATACCATGCTGAGTCACACCTGCTCCCACGCACCACACCACGGTGAGTCACACCTGCTCCCACGCACCATACCACAGTGAGTCACACCTGCTCCCACGCACCACACCAAAATGAGTCACACCTGCTCCCACGCACCACACCACAGTGAGTCACACCTGCTCCCACGCACCATACCACAGTGAGTCACACCTGCTCCCACGCACCACACCACAATGAGTCACACCTGCTCCCACGCACCACACCACAGTGAGTCACACCTGCTCCCACGCACCACACCACAGTGAGTCACACCTGCTCCCACGCACCACACCACGGTGAGCCACACCTGGTCCCACGCACCACACCACAGTGAGTCACACCTGCTCCCACGCACCACACCACGCTGAGGCACACCTGGTCCCACGCACCACACCACAGTGAGTCACACCTGCTCCCACGCACCACACCACAATGAGTCACACCTGCTCCCACGCACCACACCACAGTGAGTCACACCTGCTCCCACGCACCACACCACAGTGAGTCACACCTGCTCCCACGCACCACACCACGGTGAGTCACACCTGCTCCCACGCACCACACCACAGTGAGTCACACCTGCTCCCACGCACCACACCACAGTGAGCCACACCTGGTCCCACGCACCACACCACGCTGAGCCACACCTGGTCCCACGCACCACCCCACAGTGAGTCACACCTGCTCCCACGCACCACACCACAATGAGTCACACCTGCTCCCACGCACCACACCACAATGAGTCACACCTGCTCCCATGCACCACACCACAGTGAGTCACACCTGCTCCCACGCACCACACCACGGTGAGTCACACCTGCTCCCACGCATCACACCACAGTGAGTCACACCTGTTCCCATGCATCACACCACAGTGAGTCACACCTGCTCCCATGCACCACACCACAGTGAGTCACACCTGCTCCCACGCACCATACCACGGTGAGTCACACCTGCTCCCACGCACCACACCACGGTGAGTCACACCATCGTAGATTGCACCACACATTGACGAGACTGGTCACGCATATTGGTAGCCAAAGGAGGAAAACGTGTCCCAAATTACGTCGCCTGTGGAGACTGAGCGATTAAATAATTTGACGTGCAAGTGCTCGATGGCTTGGAGGGGGGGGGGAGCGCTTAACACCAGCGGTGAATTTATCATGGTTAACTAAACTATTAAACTATATTTATTTTACCGGGTAAGGCCCACTTAGCTATTTTTCCTGAAGCGACCTGACAACAAATAGTAGCCCGACGAAGTGGCTTATCGCGTGGAAATATATATAGCGGGCAAATTCTCCCAACCCATGTTGATTCTAAACGATGTGGTGGATGACCCTTGAGACGTAATGAAAAGGTGCTTGACAAAAACCATGCATAGGTGTTAGAAATAGTAGTGGTACAGGCAGACCTCGCTTAGAGCGGCCCCGTAGAACGCCGATTCGTTACGGCGCTAGAAATATCACGTCAAAATACGGCGTCTCGGGAAGTGCTTCCGAGCGAGAACACGACGAAACGTGCCCGCCCCCATCGTTCGCTCAGCCAATGAGACCGACGTACGCTCTGAGCCAATCAGATCGCGCCCCTCACAATTCGATTATGACGATATCTTAGTCACGATATAAAAAAAAATCTCTTCTTTGGTTCTTTCGGTAAAGTCACGTAGAATGAGAATAAAATAATAAATTAACATAATAAAATAACACAAAAAAATTCTGACGACGTTTCGGCCACAACACAAGTGGCCTTCATCAGGTGAAGGGACGAGACTGTCTCAATAACACAATAAAATTCTCACGACGTTTCGGCCACAACACAAGTGGCCTTCATCAGTTGAAGGGACGAGACTGTCTGAGACAGTCTGTGTTATTTTATTTGATAAATGTATTATTTTATTCTCATTCTACGTGACTTTACCGAAAGAACCAAAGAAGATGAATCCTTGCAGTCACGAAAGCTTTAAATCGAATTTTTAAAATTATTTTTCTCGTGTTTTTTGGTTTTGTCACGGAACGTCGTAGCCAGGTGAGAACTCACAAGACCAGGATAGAGTCTCCGGCTCCACCTACAAGAAACCTCGCCACAGACATTTAGGACTGAGGGCATCACAAAGAACCACATCTGGGAGCGCCGCATCTCCAATCCCATCTCCTACTGCTGCCTTGTTAGGAGTACAGAAGAATGCACGAGTAAGTACGGTAAAAAAAATGTGTAAAATCATTTGAAGCTCCGTCGTCCCGACAGTTCTGTACCTTTCACCTGAAGACGGCGGCTTGCGTTGTGGCCGAAACGTCGTGAGAATTTTATTGTGTTATTTTATTATTATTTTATTCTCATTCTACGTGACCTTACCGAAAGAACCAAAGAAGATACTTACTGGTGTTATCATAAAATATCATTTGTATGTCTGAAATAATGTTTAGCATCTGTATTATTATTATTATTTGCGCGATTGACGATACCCCCAATGTATCCTTCATGCAATGCTCATGTGAAAGAAATATCGCTGTCGGAAAACGCATCCCCATATGTACAGTGGCATAATGCCCCTTTTGAGCGCCGATTCGATATAGCGCTCACTTCTCCAGGAACGCATCGTGAGTGCTCAGCGAGGTCTGCCTGTACAGTGACCCGTTTACAGATACCCCACTTCGAACGACCCTTCTCAACAGCTGATTGAGTGTCGTGAAATCGGTGGCTCAAAAATGTGTAAAATCAAGCAAACTCTTGACAAATTTGTACGACATTTCACTGGAGCTCGCAACCACCACCACCACCATCATCATCATCAGGCGTTAACAAAAGCTCAGCTCTCGCGTGAAAGAGCTCCCTCATCCGGGTCCTTAATCTATTTTTATCCTACTATTTTAGTGGGGTGTCTATAAATGGATCGCCGCCCCGTATGACCGCCATAGTCGTCGTCATCGTCGCCGCCATCGTCACCATGACGGTGCAGTCCTCGGAGCCGCTGGCGATGACGTTGTCATCGTGCGGGCACCAGGCGATGTCGAGGACGGGTGCCGTGTGGCCGCACACGGTGGGGTTCGACTTGTCCACGCGCCCCGTCTGTGGGACACGCGGGGGATGGCCACCGCCAACACCACCACCATCAACACCACCATCAAAACCACCATCAACACCACCATCAACACCACCGCCAACACCACCACCACCACCATCAAAACCACCATCAACACCACCATCAACACCACCGCCAACACCACCACCATCAAAACCACCATCAACACCACCATCAACAATAACACCATCAACACCACCATCAACACCACCATCAACACCACCGTCAACACCACCGTCAACACCACCGTCAACACCACCATCAACACCACCATCAACACCACCATCAACACCACCTTCAACACCACCATCAACACCACCATCAACACCACCATCAACACCACCTTCAACACCACCATCAACACCACCGTCCAACACCACCGTCAACACCACCGTCAACACCACCGTCAACACCACCATCAACACCACCATCAACACCACCTTCAACACCACCGTCAACACCACCTTCAACACCACCGTCAACACCACCGTCAACAATAACACCATCAACACCCACCATCAATAACACCATCAACACCACCTTCAACACCACCATCAACACCACCGTCCAACACCACCGTCAACACCACCGTCAACACCACCGTCAACACAACCATCAACACCACCTTCAACACCACCGTCAACACCACCTTCAACACCACCGTCAACACCACCGTCAACAATAACACCATCAACACCACCATCAACACCACCATCAACACCACCTTCAACACCACCGTCAACACCACCGTCAACACCACCTTCAACACCACCGTCAAAACCACCGTCAACAATAACACCATCAACACCACCATCAATAACACCATCAACACCACCATCAACACCACCATCAACACCACCTTCAACACCACCATCAACACCACCGTCAACACCACCGTCAACAATAACACCATCAACACCACCATCAATAACACCATCAACACCACCATCAACACCACCGTCAACAATAACACCATCAACACCACCATCAATAACACCATCAACACCACCATCAACAGTGACACCGCCAACACCACCATCAACACCACCATCAACACCACCATCAACACCACCTTCAACACCACCATCAAAACCACCGTCAACACCACCTTCAACACCACCATCAACACCACCATCAACACCACCATCAACACCACCGTCAACACCACCTTCAACAATAACACCATCAACACCACCATCAACAGTGACATCATCAACACCACCATCAACACCACCGTCAACACCACCTTCAACAATAACACTATCAACACCACCATCAACACCACCTTCAACACCAATATCAACACCACCGTCAACACCACCGTCAACACCACCTTCAATACCATCATCAACAATAATACCATCAACACCACCATCAACACCACCATCAACACCACCATCAACACCACCATCAACACCACCACCATCATCAATCACACCATCAACAACACCACCACCATCAACACCACCATGAACACCACCATCAACACCACCATCAACACCACCATCAACAATCACACCATCAACACCACCATCAACACCACTATCAACACCAACATCAACAATAACACCTTCAACACCACCATCAACACGACCATCAACACAACCGTCAACACCACCATTAGCAATCAGACCATCAACACCACCATCAACACCACCATTAACACCACCATCAACACCACCATCAACACCACCATCAACACCACCATCAACACCACCATCATCAACACCACCATCAACAATCACACCATCAACACCACAGTCAACACCACCATCAACACCACCATCAACACCACAATCAACACCACTATCAACAATAACACCATCAACACCACCATCAACACGACCATCAACACAACCGTCAACACCACCAATAATAATCAGACCATCAACACCACCTTCAACACCACCATTAACACCACCATCAACACCACCATCAACACCACCATCAACACCACCATCAACACCACCATCACCATCATCAACACCACCATCAACAATCACACCATCAACACCACCGTCAACACCACCATCAACACCACCGTCAACACCACCATCAATAATCACAGCGTCAACACCACCATCAACACCACTATCAACACCACCATCAACAATAACACCATCAACACCACCATCAACACGACCATCAACACAACCGTCAACACTACCATCAACACCACCATCAATAATCACACCGTCAACACCACCATCAACACCACCATCAACACCACCATCATCAATTACACCATCAACACCACCACCACCATCAACACCACCATCAACACCACCATCAACAATCACACCGTCAACACCACCATCAACACCACCATCAACAATCACACCGTCAACACCACCATCAACACCACTATCAACACCACCATCAACAATAACACCATCAACACCACCATCAACACGACCATCAACACAACCGTCAACACCACCAATAATAATCAGACCATCAACACCACCTTCAACACCACCATTAACACCACCATCAACACCACCATCAACACCACCATCAACACCACCATCAACACCACCATCACCATCATCAACACCACCATCAACAATCACACCATCAACACCACCGTCAACACCACCATCAACACCACCGTCAACACCACCATCAATAATCACACCGTCAACACCACCATCAACACCACTATCAACACCACCATCAACAATAACACCATCAACACCACCATCAACACGACCATCAACACAACCGTCAACACTACCATCAACACCACCATCAATAATCACACCGTCAACACCACCATCAACACCACTATCAACACCACCATCAACAATAACACCATCAACACCACCATCAACACGACCATCAACACAACTTTCAACACTACCATCAACACCACCATTAACACCACCATCAACACCACCATCAACACCACCATCAACACCACCATCAACACCACCATCATCAACACCACCATCAACAATCACACCATCAACACCACCGTCAACACCACCATCAACACCACCGTCAACACCACCATCAATAATCACACCGTCAACACCACCATCAACACCACTATCAACACCACCATCAACAATAACACCATCAACACCACCATCAACACGACCATCAACACAACCGTCAACACTACCATCAACACCACCATCAATAATCACACCGTCAACACCACCATCAACACCACTATCAACACCACCATCAACAATAACACCATCAACACCACCATCAACACGACCATCAACACAACCGTCAACACTACCATCAACACCACCATTAACAACACCATCAACACCACCATCAACACCACCATCAACACCACCATCAACACCACCACTACCATCATCAACACCACCATCAACAATCACACCATCAACACCACCGTCAACACCACGATCAACACTACCGTCAACACCACCATCAACACCACCATCAACACCACCATCAACACCACCACCATCATCAACACCACCATCAACAATCACACCATCAACACCACTGTCAACACCACCATCAACACCACCATCAACACGACCGTCAACAATAACACCATCAACACCACCATCAATAACACCATCAACACCACCATCAACACCACCATCAACACCACCTTCAACACCACCATCAACACCACCGTCAACACCACCGTCAACAATAACACCATCAACACCACCATCAATAACACCATCAACACCACCATCAACACCACCATCAACAATCACACCGTCAACACCACCATCAACACCACCATCAACACCACCATCAACAATCACACCGTAAACACCACCATAAACACCACTATCAACACCACCATCAACAATAACACCATCAACACCACCATCAACACTACCATCAACACAACCGTCAACACCACCATTAATAATCACACCATCAACACCACCATCAACACCACCATCAACACCACCATCAACACCACCATCAACACCACCATCAACACCACCACCACCATCATCAACACCACCATCAACAATCACACCATCAACACCACCGTCAACACCACCATCAACACCACCGTCAACACCACCATCAACACCACCATCAACAACATCAACACCACCATCAACAATCACACCGTCAACACCACCATCAACACCACCATCAACACCACCATCAATAATCACACCGTCAACACCACCATCAACACCACTATCAACACCACCATCAACAATAACACCATCAACACCACCATCAACACGACCATCAACACAACCGTCAACACTACCATCAACACCACCATTAACAACACCATCAACACCACCATCAACACCACCATCAACACCACCATCAACACCACCACTACCATCATCAACAAGCACCATCAACAATCACACCATCAACACCACCGTCAACACCACCATCAACACTACCGTCAACACCACCATCAACACCACCATCAACACCACCATCAACACCACCACCATCATCAACACCACCATCAACAATCACACCATCAACACCACTGTCAACACCACCATCAACACCACCATCAACACGACCGTCAACAATAACACCATCAACACCACCATCAATAACACCATCAACACCACCATCAACACCACCATCAACACCACCTTCAACACCACCATCAACACCACCGTCAACACCACCGTCAACAATAACACCATCAACACCACCATCAATAACACCATCAACACCACCATCAACACCACCGTCAACAATAACACCATCAACACCACCATCAATAACACCATCAACACCACCATCAACAGTGACACCGCCAACACCACCATCAACACCACAATCAACACCACCATCAACACCACCATCAACACCACCATCAACACCACCGTCAACACCACCTTCAACAATAACACCATCAACACCACCATCAACACCACCATCAACAGTGACATCATCAACACCACCATCAACACCACCGTCAACACCACCTTCAACAATAACACTATCAACACCACCATCAACACCACCTTCAACACCACCATCAACATCACCG